CTTCAAAAGTGTTAGTTAATAATTAGGCCATCATAACTACTCAATCATTAGTGAAAATGCTGTCAACATGATTTGAAAGCATCATTACCAACTACAAAATGGTTGATGATAAAAAGATCGTGAATCTATAAAGTAAATAAACTAATCGACTAACTAATTGTGGTCGCGAAGAGGGCGATATGCAGAGAGATTAGTCTCTACCTCTTAAAAGTATACTAAATGTAATGAAGAGCCTCCCTTGTTACGCGAATTAGAGGATAAAGCTTTACAAGACATGTCCCACTCCCATGTATCACCATCAAGTGACAGTTGTCAAAGATCTGAACGTCACCGTATTTTCACTCTATTGAATGATAATTATTAGAAATGATTTGCTGACCCACTTCACTGATTTCTAAATTTTGTAAGAAGATCTAGAGATTGTCCACACCATCTTTGTCTAAAGATAGCTCTTTTGAAGTTAAAGATATCGCACCATAATCTTTTTGAACACACAGAATTCTGATGATCACTGATGTAAGTAGAAACTTTATTTTTCTTAGTTTTAACTTTAGTTTTACTTAATTTAATAATATTTTATGTGATTTAAAGTTTCAAAACTATTCTTCATTAAATTATGATTCTTTTGACTTTCACTAAACTTAATTTAATCAATTAAATTATTTATAATTACTTACATAAGAATCACTAGATGGAACTCTATTCTACCTAATTCACGTTCGTCTAGACACTTACATCATTTTGATGTCTACACCCTAAATTTCTCTTTCTTGTGAATTTTAAATATATTTTATCTTCATTATTTAGTCTAAAAATCATTAAAAAAATATTATTCTTAGAGATTTTTTTAAAATAACAAAAAAAAGTCTTAAATCCTTATGATCAATTTGGAAATTTCTCACTATTTTTACAATATTTTATCAAATTATGATTGATATATTTATTCTTAAATATTTTTAAAAATTAAAAAATTGATGTTTCTAGTTTTTTAAAATCTAAATTTATGCGACTTATCATACAATAATTAAGTAATGCTAGACTATACTTAATTAAGGACTTGTGTTTGTAAGAAATTCTATAGTTGTTTCTTTTCTTATTTTAGTGGAGAATTCATTTTGCTACTCCAAGATGATGAAACAATTAAGAATGCATGTATCTTGAAAGAATAATAACTGAAATATTATATTTGGCTCACTACCAATTAAATACATTAAAACACCAACTAGGCTTCTCTAAAAAATATTTCATCTATTTTTGGAATTACTTTATCAATATATAATTTATTATTAGTGATTATTGGAGTATGTCTAAATTTATTATTTATTTCAACATATTAAATTTCTTAAATAATCGAATGCATATTTCTCACGTGAAATGAATATATAAGATAACCTTGAAAATTTTGAGCTCTAAGTAAGAAGAAGTAATTATCTATTATATCAATTTTGACATCATAAAATTATTTAATTTATAAATCTATAAATAATGTAATCTGGTATGTATAATGTCATCATGTAAACACATACTATGAGTATATCATTTTCATGAATCTTGACATAAATGGTTAGCTCATTATCACATCTATAAAAAATGTTCTTATGTAGATATAAATCAAGAGCTTCCCTAACATACTCTAGGTAACTATTTAAATCCATAAAGTGATTCTATTTTTTAGGATTAATTCCCGTTGTCATCAGGTAGAAAAACTTGCAACTTCTCAATATATATCTTCATTCAAATAATAATTTAGAAGGAGATTTAATATCAAATTGAACTACATGTCATTTTATTTGTGATCTATGGCCAAAATAATTCTAACTATTTCAAATGTTAAAATGAGAGAAAATATTTGAAAATATGTAATACCATGTTGTTGTGTATACCTTTTACAACCTACCTTACTTCATATTTTTGACCATTTTTATTGGTCCTATAGTTTGTCTATAAATTCATTTTACATTAATCACTTTGTTATCTAAAATTGGATTCGCAAACTCTCAAGTGTTATTCTTTTTCACAAGCATTTTTACCCTAAGCCGGTTCATAGCTTGTCGGTTGCACAACCATCAGAGTGGAAATATATGATCTATACATTTCACTTATCTCACCTTTCTTAGAGGGCTCAATCACTCTACATTAAAACCATTATTATTTTTTAAAACTAGTAAAAGACTTGGTGAGTCTCTCTAAGTGAACTAGAAGATAAATCAGTTTCAAACACTAAACCTTGCCCCAACTGCATCATTTTCTGTACATTTTCGAGAGAATATATTTTTCTAATTAAATTATTGTTCTAATTTCAATAGATATTTTAATAAAAATAAAAATTTTGATGAATTAATATTTTCTTAGTTTCAGGATTATATAAATGATATCTTACTCTCCTTACCAAATACAATAAAATGACTATTTTTTGACTTCTTGTGATACCATAGTTCAGAAGGAGTCAATTTCATTGCTACCTTTGTCAAAGAAATGTTAAGAAAATAATAGACTGCTCTCACAATTTTAGCCCAAAAATCATTTAAATATGTTTTTTTATTATAATTAAGCATATTTTGTATCATTTCTACCATTATTCTATTTTTCCTTTAGCAATACCATTTCCTATGAATCCAATGCTACTTACAAAAAGAATCAAATTCAAGGTATAAAGTTTTCCCCTATGTATTTATTCAGGGAGTATTCATAACATACTCACTTGAGGTTTCTAAACAACTTTTAAACCATTTAAAGTTTCAAATATCTCAGATTTATGAACTAAAAAATATAATATATACGAAAATTTATAGATAATAAATAAAAGAATATCAATTTTTAATGATGGATTCTTGGTCAGATAAAAAATATCATGTTTCTGATGGAGTTCTGATCATATAAAAAATATCAGCATATAATAGTTCTAGAGGTGACCTTGGTGTCCGAAATTTAATAATTATAGAGGCAAACTAGAAATCACATATTTATGATTTAATAATTTCATTCTATTCAAAATAGAACTGGTCATAACATAAATTTAAATAACAAGAACCATAAATATCTTTAATAATAATTGAAAATTCAATAGGTTTTTAAATCCTAAGGAGATGTTATTTTTCCAAACTTAGAAATGAACATAGGGTGAATCTCATTTTTTGTACCCTTAAGAACACATGTATCATCTTGGAAATCAAAAGTAAAAATCCATTCTATCAATTCACCCAAGTTGAGAAGATTGGGCATCAATTTTGGAACCAAATACACCTCAAATATTCATATATTTACGTAATATTTTTTGACAACCATGGTTCCAACACCTTCAATTTGAAACGTTTCATTATTTTCTCTTGCAATATTGACACGTTCCTTTTTCTTATACCAAAAATTGATTTCAAGGTGACAATACTTTTTACAAAAATTCCAACTCATTGTTTTAGAATTCTCTTTTGTATAATTTTATTGTTATTTTGTCTTGCCCTTTTTATAAACTTCAATATGCCTATATTTCTTACAAAATGAGCACTATATTATTTTCTTTTAATTTTTATTATCACCACCATCATACCTTTGATGCACAAACGTGATCTACCATAACCTCTTCCTTGGCCAAAATTATGATAAGTTCATGTACCTCAATTTCTATTATTATGTCATAGATTAGATGGGCATTCAATAGTTTTCTATTTATTTGAGATTTTAACTTTATTCTAAATTGGTGAATTTTTCTATGCATATATCTAATTCCTTTTAAGAGTAGATAGATAAGTTATTAAAATCTTCAATAGCACTAATAATGTGATCAAGCTTAGATGAAAGGCTTCTCAATAACTTTTTCAATGATTGTTTATATAAAATCTTTCCTAGATACTTTTGTCTAATTAATAATAAATTTAATATGAGAAAAGTGATGGTGAATGAAGTCGTCACATTTCATTAAGAGAGTTTCAAATTCTCTATGGAAGCTTGAAGTTTTATTGCTGTAAGCTTCTTACCTCCATGAAGTTCATCTTTTAAATTTTTTGATACTTTTGAAGGCCTCATGGTATTAGTAATTCATGAAAAAATAACTTAAGTTATGAAAAATCAAATAAATCAATTTTACTTAACACTATTATTTAGTAGAAAATTAATATTTAAGATAAAATATATCAAAATTCACACGATTATTTAATAGAACGTATTGAAATATAGATGCCCAAATTATGGTATCACCTCATATCTCATTAGAAATATTTAAGATCCTCATATTAATAAATTATTACAATAGGTACATAGAAAAATAACCAATGTATCCAATATGTTGTGATTATAATAAAAAATGATAAAGACTAATCATTAGGGTTTCAAGTAATCAAGGGAGCTATTGAAAGGGTAAAAGTGTATCTCCAATTTATCCAGAACCGAAATGTTTCAAAATTCCAACAATGAGTAGCTTTATATTCTAACAAAACATCTCAATACTAGAATAACTTTAATATTAGAACTTAACTTAGCTATTTACAATAACTTCCCATCAGAATCCAAACACTCCGCATTGTCCTAATTAATTGAAATATTTGAAGAATGAACACATCTCTTATATTTGAAGCCAATTAATACCGAATTTAGATAATAATAATAAAAAATCTGATTCCACAAGCCTGGGGATTCTTTTTTCACAATGATTATATTGTGTCAATGGAAGCTTTTTTGTCAAGTTTTACCGTTAATTTATCTTTGTAGCGGATGTGTAGCTAGATATTGGGCTTATCATTTATTAATGATCAGAAAATACAACTCTCCCCACCCCCTCACCCCCCCCACACAAAAACTTCCACCACCCCTAATTTCTCTATTTCTCCAGGTAGCAAGCACCTGATTGTCTCAGCTTTAATCAATAAATAATTCTTTGTGGCCATTGCATTTCCACGTATTGACAGGACAAGATGACCAGGTTGTTTTACAACTTTCCCAAAGACGTCTCCATTTTTCTTTGTATTCTCTCTTTGACTTTTCCTATCTAACTGGCAGTGGGGCCGCCCTCAGAAGTTCTCCTTGTGGAACTCGAAGCTGGTGGTCGTCTCCCACGAGACATCCTTGGCCAGCCGCCTCAGCTCGCCCACCAGGCTTAGCGGCCCGCAGTAGAACACTCCTGCAAAAATAGCGAAACGGAATCGTCAAGCAGAGGAGAGGACGGTGGAAAAGGAAGATAAGTGAGGAAGAACGGCGAAGGAAAAGGTTCTCACCAACGCGTTCATCACTGTGGTTGGCGGCGACATGGTTGAAGACGGAGCGCCAGTTAGGGCGAGCAAAATGGGTCTTCCCCCACGTGCCGGAGACGATGTCCACTCCGTTCTTGGCGTGGTACAGCGCCTGCAACATGACGAGGAGGGCCGAGCGAGCGTCTCCCTCCTCATATACGCTTGTGCAATAGTTATGGACATCAATGGCGCCGCCGTGGTCCATCTCCGCCATCTCGTTCATCACTCCACGGAACCACTCGAAGGATCCCTGCTCCCGCATGACCCAGTAGAAGTATGTCCGCTTCTTTGAAAACGGCTGCTTCCTCTTCGCCGCTCCGGCGGCCTCTTGGTCTTCCTCATGGCGGCAATGGCGTTGTTGAGGACGATGTGGATCAGCGGGGTGGCGCCGATGCCCAGCCCCACCAGGAGGACGACGTCGTATTTCTTGTAGTCCTGCTCTGGGGCGCCGTAGGGACCGTCAATGAGGAGCCTGGGCAAGCTGGGGCTGCCGGTTCGGCCATTAATGGGGTCTGCTTGGAGGAGACCACTTTGGCTGGCCATCGCCGGCTGGCAAACCTGCCACCCAAGTGCTTGCAGAATGAGACAAATAGCGAGCAATACCTCCGTGATCCAAATGGCGAGCAATACCTCGGAGAAGACGGCCCTGAGCTGCGAAGTCCAGTCGCCGACCGTCCGGATGCGGATGCTCAGATGATCATCTCCCGGTGCAAAGGTGATCGAGAAAGGATGCCTGAAGAGAAAGAAACACAGAGGATTTCATGAGGTCAACAACTGGTCCAGCAATACTTGTTATTTCCAGCGAAGGAGAAGAAGAGGTGATTACCACTGGAAGGGAGACACGGTGGCGCAATTGACGAAAAAAGACGTACTGCCCGCTGGTGTACTTCAATCCTTGGGGCTTTGACATGTACACTGCTATCACATTCCCAGGGTAGACGGCCACCTCACATCCCCGACGCCGGAGAAGATGAAGTTACCATCGGCAATCAGAGTATGGGGGTGAAACCTGACATGTACACTACTTTTACACACGGGGGTCTGAAACCTGCGTCCCCTCTCATTCCTCATCATCACCTCTGCCATCTTCTCCGCCCTCGTCCCCTTCTTCCTCTCATCTTCACCCTCTTTGATGCATGAAGAGATGATGAAATTGACTAGACTAGCCTAAAGGAGGTTAGCTAAAGTAAGATTGAGTGATTTCCGGTTATATTTGAAATAAAAGGTCAACAAGATTAAGAAATCACCAAATGATTGGGGTGCGCTCCAGAAGCAATAAGTCAACCAATTTTAAATCAAATAGGTTAACACTCGTCACTAACCACCAGCTATGAATATAAGTGGACTTATCTATTGATCACACAACGGCAATGTTGCAAGATCAATAATGAACAAAAATCTCAAATTTAGAAAGAAGAGTATTTAGAGAAAACCTTGTCACCAGAAGGGGTGACAGTGAAGAGGAGCACGAGCTGAAGCTTAGACCAACTTTGTAGAAGTTGACCTTACGTTGACGTAGACAGAGTCGTTGACCGTTGACTGTGTAGTTGACTATTGACCGGAAGACCTGATTAACTGGCGGACGGGCTCGAACCGGAGGGTGGGATTAGAGCGGACCAGATGGTCCGGTGGGAGTCGGATCAGCAGGATGAGCTGGTGTGGGCCAATGGTCAAAGATAGTTCGGACCACGCAGTCGGACCGGCTCGGACCAAGCGGCTCGGCCAGGCGGTCGATTTCGGGTCGGGCTGAACCAGACCGGTCGGTCCAGCGGTTTAGGGGGAACACGAACGGCTCGCGCCGGGCGGAAGGAAAGGAAGGCGACGGCAACGGCTGAAAAGGTGGAACGGACGGAGACGGAGGCCGGGCTGGCGGATGGCGGCGGAGGAGGCAGGGAGAGCGGCAGCGGCGGCGAATGGTAAAGGCGGACAACGGCGGGAGCGATGATTCTTGGAAGCCCATGTGACTAGCCGTTGTAGTAGTTTCGAAATATTTTATTTCGGATGCTTCAAGTGAAAACCTTTAGTGTCAAAAGGGATCTTAAATGGAAACAAGTGACTTCACTTAATTTCCTTTCTTAATTAAGAGAATATGAACAGATGATTCTTGGACTCCCTAGTGACTAGCTGAACTAGTAGTTCGTTAATTTATTTATTTTGATTCCTGATGTGAAAACTTTTATCAATGGGTGTGATCTTAAATAGAAAGGTCTCTGTGCAAAATTATTCAAGTATAACATGACCTAAATAGGTTGATCCAAATTAAAAAAATTATGCTTATAATTATGCTGAATAGCTAAAAATATGAAGGGTATGCAACCCAAGTCCCACCGATTGTCAAAATGAATGTTTTGATGGGTCAATGAAAAGAGCTTATGAAGATTCTTCAAGTTTCATTCGAGGTCTGATGATGAATGGTGCTTTAAACAGGAATAAAGTAAAATTTCTCAAAGAAAGCACCATGATTGAGATCTCTTCTCTCTCTCTCTCTCTCTCTCTCTCTCTCTCTCTCTCTCTCTCTCTCTCTCTCTCACACACACACACACACACACACACACACACACACACTGGTATCCCAAGAAAAACGACATTGAAAAACACTAGAATAAGCACACCCTCTCCCTCTCAAAATCTTTTAAGTGCAAGTTATGTGATTCATAATTTTTAAGTGTACCCACTGAAGACATTTATGAAAGAAATTTTAAATAACATAAAATAAATCATGTTGATGTTTTGAAACCCTAACATGATAGTTTTAATACTTGGATTCGTGACCTTAAACTTATTCTTCTATAGGAAGATGTAAAGTTTATGAGCGAAATTGGGCTGGAGGGCTAAAGATTTTCCATCTCTTGGGCAAGACTTCTTCCAAGTAAGAAATTTTCGCCCATTCTATTCAGGTAGACGAATAAATCAAATTTTCCTTCCTCTTGCTTCTTTTCACCGATATGAGTTTTCCACTTTTGTAGATGGCAGAGGAGCCATCAACCAAAAAGGGATCAAGTACCATAATAATCTTATCAATGAACTAGTCAAGCACGGTAACCAGATTGTAAAAGTTTCCTATTTTTTCAATCGGGTGAAAAATGATGTGTACACGCTTTCGGAATCATCACAGGTGTTTCTCATTGGTTCAACAGGGATCCAACCACATGCTACCTTGTATCACCTTGATCTCCCCCAAGTGCTTCAGGATGAGTATGGACGCTGGTTGAGTCCCAAGTTCATGTATTTCAAGAAACCTTGCATTTGTTGCCTCCTTTAGTTTTTTCGTCTTCTAAAAGTGATGATATTTCATTGCAGTGATGATTTTTTAGCATATGCGAACATTTGTTTCCAAGAATTTGGTGATCGGATTTCACACTGGACCACACTTAATGAGCCAAACATTTTCACGCTTGGCTCGTATGACCAGGGGATATTGCCCCCTAATAGGTGCTCTTACCCATTCGGGCTCAGGAATTGTACGTCTGGAAATTCTACAGTGGAACCCTACATTGTCATGCACAACATTGTTTTGGCTCACGCAAGTGTTGTTGAGTTGTACAGAACAAAGTACCAGGTATACCCCAACTAGAGACAAATCAAGAGTTTCATGTTCCTTGATCTTAGTTTCTACAAGGTTCACCTCTATTTTTTGGTTTGATGGTGTAGGCAACTCAGAAAGGTTTTATTGGGGTTAATCTATGGACCCCTGGAATTTATCCACTTACAAACTCAACAGTAGATCTAGAGGCAGCCCAAAGGGTATTTGACTTCCTGTTCGGGTGGTTAGTAAGCAATTTGTTTTCGCTTTCTAGTACTCAACACTCTTGTTAGTTTTTCACTACTTGTTTTGTGTTTTACAAGTGCATTTCCTCTTCAGATTACTTATTCTCATTCACTTAACCATCAATGGCAGGGTTTTGAACCCTCTTCTATTTGGGAACTACCTTATTGCCATCTTTCACAAAGAGCCAATCCAAACAACTGAAGGGCTCCATTGGTTTTCTTGGGATTAATCACTATTCATCTTTGTATGCTTTAGATAATCCTAAGACAGATCAGACAGGTGCCAATAATTTCTATGGCGATATGTCGGCTTCACTTTTAGGTTGTCCTTACATGCGCTCTCTCCTATATTTGGGTGGTCATCTACTAAGGGGGAAAGAAATCCATGTCATGCAATTAACTAAACCGATTGTGTTCCTTATTGCCGAATGGTATTCAGTTTAAAATCCAAATAAACTCCGTAGGTATCGGAACACATGTTTATAGCTTATGTATGCGGTTCCTGTAATTTAAATCGTAGTTAGTATGTGGGTAGCTTTGGAGGAACAAGGGTGAAATAATGGGGGAAAAATAAGTTCTTTCTGACTTTATTCGTACTAGCATCGAGTCTGATGGCTTGATTATCTATCTAACTCCATCTAACGCCACCTTTTTTTATTTTGATATCTTCTTCCTATTGCAATGATCGATTACAGTTTCAATGGATACTGGACCGAGTAAAGAGGTAGAGACTTTCTTTAACTACTTTTATTTTGTGGTTTTGTCGCCTGGTGAGCTGAGGTGCTTGATTGTTCTGTAGCTGCTTGTTCCTGGTTCCCTTCCTGTTGATCCTACTGGCTTGGAGAGTTTTCTACTGTGCTTGAAGAGCAAATATGGAAGCCTACCCATCTACATTCATGAGAATGGTTTGCTTTCTATATCTATTGCAACCTAATATCAACGATTCCCCTGCAAATGGATACTGGTAATAGATATTTTTCCTCTTGTCCTTTGCATCAGGTTTTGGAACTCCATATAATGCTGTGACGTTTAATGACACTGAACGGATTAATGCAATTAATAGTTAGATCGATGCACCGCTATCTGCAATTAGGTGAGTCTGTCCCTCGTAATCTACGTCGAAGCTTCTAGATATGATATGAACTTGTTCGAGTCATTGTAAAAGTCTTAACGTGTTTGTCTTCCAAATATCCGGCTGTTTCAGGAATGGATCGAATGCTAGAGGGTACTTTGTCTGGTCATTCTTGGACGACGAGAACCGAAGGCGCCAATCGAAGCTTTCTGCACTCTGGTACAGAGAATTTCTCAAGAAGATTCAGGACGTGATGGCTTTCTAAAGCTGCACCGCAACCAGCAACCGGATGGCTTTCTTCGTAACAGCTTCACAATAAATCGCTTCACAATAAACCGAATCCAGTTGCTTGTTACGTTTCTAAACTGCAACTGTATGTTCTTAGTACAAGCATCACAATTAATTACTTGATTGTTACTATTGTTTTCGAGATTCAGATTATCAGTTCAAGGTTTTTAACTTCAATTGTTAGACATATGTATGGCATGGAGGCCCTTTTTTCCCACAATCTTAATACGATGAGATTGTATTCTCAGCAAGGCCTTGAAGGATAGAATGTGATCACATTGACTAGTTATGTGATTGTAATGGAGGTTTAGCTGCCTGAATGCTCGAAGTTCATCATCACCATCACTATTTCTCAATGCTATGCTCAACCAGCAAGAGCAATCAAAACCTGAATAACATGGTAGATAAAGTTCAGGTCAACATTATCTCAAGAAAGAAAAACTGCCCTATTTTTATCATTTAGGGGATACGATGCGTGTAGGGTGTAGAGAATTTTGTTTACTCTGTAGATGTATAACGGGATATTAAGGACTGAATTAAATATGTTCGACACCTGTTTCACATAATAATGAAAAAAATGTTACAGTCCAAACAATAGCAATGGAACAACATGTGGCCCGTAATGAAAATGATACGAAGACTTTGGTTTCGTGTCATGTCTTAATTTAGTGATGGTTTCGTCTCCTAGCTTTAAATGGTACTAAAATCTTCTCTCTCTCTCTCTCTCTCTCTCTCTCTCTCTCTCTCTCTCTCTCTCTCTCTCTCTCTCTCTCAATGTGTGCGTGTGACACCTCCACTATATTCAATGCTAGGGAACAAAACATTTAGCAATCTCTAATGTAGTAACTTGTGTTTGAAGAAAATCTACATGTTACAACAAAGATATTTTTTGAGGAGATAGTTGAGTGGTTAAATGGAGAATTTTCTAGCTTAGCCTAGTTTATAATATGCTTTATATGGTATTAGTATGATTTCTTTTATTAGGTAATGGTATTTAAAATAATATTTTGAATCTCTAATAATAAGTTCAAACCCACGATGTTGGGATAGTGGGTGTGGAATGAGGGCTGGTATTGCAGTGGAAGAAAGGAGTAAGAGAAAATAATGTCCACAAGGTAATACATGATAGGAGAAATGGCTTTAAAGATCCAATAGCCCCATCGATTTCATTCCACTTAGGAAGTATAACTTTTAACTATACCTTACTTGACCAAGGTGCTAATATTAACCTTTTACCTACTTCTATACACAATTTAATATGACACAGTTGAAATCATCACAATTGATCCTAGAGTTAGTAGATAGGTCAATAAAGACATTTAGGGGTTTACTCGAGGATGTAGTTGTTCATGAAAAAAGATGTTACTTTCATATAGATTTTCAAGTATTTGATATATCAATACCAAATGAAATTAATACGACTCTTATCATCCTTAAATAAGCTTTTTGTAAGTTCAACAAAGGCTTGGTGAAACATGAAGAGGGAGAGTGAATTGATTTTCTATGACTTTTGTCATTTCTCATTTTTTTCTATTAGTGTATGTGCTCACATAGGTTTTCTTACAACTCTTTCTTTCTCAATGTACATTCTCTCAAGGTTTTCTCTTTCTCAATCTAAGTTTTATTGCAATAATCTTCTCACTACCAAGGACACAAGTTTTTTATACTAGTTAACCCCTCACTTGGTTACTTTTAGTCCTAAAGCATCCTTAATACTAGAGTTTTCTATCTCTTAGAAATACATATTGACTTTCACAAGATTATTAATTCAATAGACTAGTTATATCTCCTTAGAGACCTTGCCTTTCAAGGGCATAGTTAAGCTACCAACACCTCGTACTTTAGCCCAAGCACTTATTCTCTTGCCACCCAAAGACCTTGGGGCTTGATAGATATTGTTGTGAATCATCAATGGTGAATGGAGATGTGAAGTAACATTTGTGTAATTACGTTGAAGCTCATGGTAGAGTGATGGATAGTCATTGGAGCATTTTCTTATCTTCACAAACTTTTTCCTCTTAATCTTCAATGTTCTTTAGTCATTTCTTGTCTTGAAAAATAGTCACACAATTTCAACAATATTTCCTTTGTCTAAAATGTGTATCAATGATCTTTGTCTTTTTCATACTTCAAAGCTCCCTATTTTCTCATTTGTTTATTTATTGTTGAAGTTGATTAAAAAATAAACTCATTTGATCCATCGTTGTCTTCTCATAAGTTGCCAATACGTAACTATCCAGATTTTAAATTCAAGACTCACAAGTGACTTCAATATTTCATGATTTTTCAGATATTTATTTACTTAAGTTGTTGACTTGTTTTTGTCCAGATTTTAAGTTTAAGACTTACTAGTGACTTTGATATTTCGAGATTTTTATTATTATTTTCAATGAAGCATCCGACATGTCATTGACCAAAATCAAAGATTAGCTATAGATCAGTCCCACCCTTTCTTGATCTAAGCGATAACTTACACCTAAGAAATACCTTTTGGGTCACTTATTTTAGTTAAGTACTAGAGGCATTGAGTGAGAAACAAAATTATTAAGCATCCTCTTGCACACATCACAAGAAAAAAATGGCATCACAAATCACACTAATCAAATTGAAATTCAAAACATTTAACATTTATGCTTTAATAGAGTCATATAAAAAAATTGTTGTACATCATTGATTGACGAGACAATGCCACAAGGTAGGTACATGATTGAATAACTATCAACATAGTAGACTAGAAGGCATTAACAAAGAGTGACAATGATAAAAATACATAACCAAACATCTCAATTTGTGTTTCATAGTAATGCATTATATGATAAAATACAACCTGATATTCTTGAAATATGAAAAAGTACAGATACAGCTAAGTGATCCCTTACAGAATTGCCCAAGTGAATTCATTGTCGGTTGCAATTTGCTTCTCATATAGCCTTCAACTCATTTGTCTTCATGAGAAAGTCCCTGTACCAAAGTGCAGAGAGTTTGGGTTTTCGCGTTCGATTCTTGTCCTCGAAGTCAACAAAGTAGAGCCCAAATCGCGTTTGATACCCAGTCAACAACTCAAAGACATCCAAGAGTGACCAAATGAAGTATCCTCTTGTATTTGCACCACGCCTAAAAGAGATCAAAATTTTGATTTAAGGCAGTCATAATGTCAGTAAGGTAACGCAAGTTTAAGTTTCGAATAAATTGAAAGGGGTGAAAATCACCTGATTGCAGATAATATTCCTCCTATATAACTCTTTGTTGCATTTATTCTAACCGTGTCATCCAATGTGACATTGTATCCAGTTGGAATACCTGATCCAGATAATACAAGAACAATTCCATCAATTCACTTTTTAGCTGCAGATAGAAAGTAAAATTCGTAAAAGATGAGCCTAACCATTTTCATGGATGTAGACGGGAAGATTGCCGTATGTATCCTTCAAGTATAGAAGACAACTCTCCAAGCCAATTGGATCAATAGGAATGACAGACGGAATGAACTATTATTGTAGAGGCATCACACAAGTTAGTTCACCAAGAGATAAATGATTAAATAAAGGAAACCAAATATGGTCTTTACCGATCCAGTAGGTGTTTCATCCTTCGAAACTGCATTGGACCATCATAATTATAAGAAGGTATCAATAACGATATGCAGCAATGTAATTAAACCATCAAACCCAAAACTATCTAAACAAAAGGCCACATATTTAGCAACATTATTTTACTAGAAGAAATGTAAGGACGACCTGAAAAGAGAGCGGTCACATCGCCATTGAAATCCTCAAGGCCTCTTTTAGGAGCAGGATCATTTGAAACGTACAGAGAAGCGTAGTAATTTATGGCGATAAAGTCAATGGAGCCCTTTAGCTGTTTCGATTGGCTGTCTGTGATGGATGGAATTTTTGATCCAACCATCTTCTTCATGCTCTTTGGATAGTCCCCAAAGACGAGTGGATCCAAGACCCTACCGTAGACAAAGTCAATGGAGTACCGGAAAGAGTCAAATCCACTAGCAGAAGCAGCTTACTCACCAGCCGACCCAGAAGTCAATGGCTCTCCTAGTTGCCTCCAGATCAGCTGTCGTGTTTGTTCGGGAATAAAACCCAAACGTGTACACATTTATCCCTATCGAACCTTTCTGAATTGCCTGTTTATTGAGAACACAAAAATTTATCACTCAGAATTATCCTCTAGTCCTCAGATGCAGAAAGAAAAATAAACTCTTCGAAAGATTTTACACTGCCATGCACCTGGTATTTTGTTCTGTACAACTCAGCAGCTGCCGCATGAGCCAAAAGGACATTATGCTCGGCAATGTACGGCTCCACTGTGGAATTTCCGGCTGTACAATTGAAAATCCCAAATGGGTAAGAACACCTGCCTGGGGCAAGTACCCCATTGTCATAAGCACCGATCGCCAAGATGTTTGCTTCATTGATTGTGGTCCAATAGGAAACCCTGTCCCCAAACTCCCTGAAACACAAGTCTGCATATGCCACGAAATCGTCCCTGCAGGGACAACTCAGTGTGTTAACAGGCAAAATCAAACAAACGAAGTCAAACAATCAAAGGTTATAGTGAGTACACAATCTTTGGACTGAGCCACCCTTGATATTCATCCTCGAGTGCTTGGGGGAGATCCAGATGATATATAGTAACATGAGGTTGGATCCCTATTGAAGAAATATCGAAGAACACAAGAGATGTGAGAAAATTTCCATGAAACGTTGCAGGTATTATTCTCCATATGACAAGGAGCGGGAAATTTAAATTGTCAAGGATTCCTTGCCATGGTTCACTAGTTCGTTAATGAGATTATTGTAGTACTCAACGCCTTTTGTGTTAACGACTCCTCTACCACCTACACAAAGAAGCACAACCACATTGTACTTATGAAGACAAAAAAGGGGGAAAGAAAGACGAGGAGTCTCCCTGCTCTTCCGATGATTCATTTAGTTCGAGGCATTGAAGAGCGATTCTTACTAGGGAGCAATCTCGACCAAGATATGGAGAATCGATAGCCCTCCAACCCTATTTCACTCATCAGCTTTACATCTCCCTGAAAAAAAAGAATGAGAGTCGTGTGATAATAGATTCTGCCACAAACTTTTATGACGTAAATCTGCATACAAAGCTGAAAAAATAGAGGGAGAAAGTCGCTAGACAGCAGGGTAGATAGGTTTTATTGAACCCTTATCGTTTTACCGCTAAGAGGCGACTGAGCCTTTTTGGATAGAACGCCAGTTCCTTTTCCATGCCCATGAAAAAGAAGCAGTTCATCGACCCATTTGGCTCCTATAACTTACGAGTAACATTATGAAGTGACCACGATGAATAAAATTTCTTAAAAACCCCATAAATGCTGAAAAACATTCATCATTTTTAAATATGCGCACTTCTTGTTCGAGTCGTTCTTTTTGGTCAAGACTGCTCGAAAAAGGCCCTTTTCTGTTCGCTCCCAATTGCAGTCGAGAAAATCGGCTCTAAGTCGAGATAATCCGATCTGTGGAGGTCTGGTCACAAGGAAGCGGAATAGTCGAGGGGTTGTTATTGCGAGAGATAGAGCGAGAGAGAGAGAGAGAGAGACGCCTCCGTAAGAGGAGTAGATTTTTCCCGGCCCGGATTTTGAAGGGCACAGATATTCCAAGAAAATAGGATCTCCGACTTAAACGAATAGCAACAGAAAGAGAAGCTGGCAAAAGGCTTACCTTGTAATGGTGGTAGCCGTCGGCCGTCACGTCCGCCGTGCTCCCGTCGATCACCTTACCTGCAGTTCTCCGTCTTCAGCCATATGAAAAGAGGAAGAAGGTGTGGAAGGGCGAAAGAAAAAGGTGACAAAGAAGACGAGGAAAAAGACGAAGACGATGCAGGGAAGAAGAGTGACCTGCGTGTGTGAAGGTGTCCCAGATGCTAGGGCCCTTCCCATCCTCATTCACCGCCCCTTCTACCTGGTTCCCCCCCCCATCATCAACACAGGATGTCAATTCATTCGCCAGCAGCAAGAAAGATTGCTTCAAATAAGGAAAGATCACACCAACGGGGCGGGGCTTTAGCTCCTCCGTGGCTCCCCTCCTCACCTGATAAGCGGAGGTTCCTGCCCCGAAGACGAAATCTGGAGGGAAATCAGCCCTGCTGAACTCGGAGGCCGAGAGAGACCGCGACGACGAACACAGCGGCGGCGGCAGCAGCAGCAGCAGCACCACCACCACCACCACCACTACCGGAGCCGGGAGTCCGGCGAGGGAACCACCCATTTCTACTGTTCTCCACCGTCGCCGCACCGTGCTCTGGGTTGGAGTGAAGGCCCAGTATTCCGGATAGCCGAATGGATACGGTTCACACACGCAGAAGGGACCTCTGCTGCGATAGTCCGGTAACAGTTGTCTTTATGAATAAAAAAGATGTTCAACGACCTCTGAATTCACACTCCGCAAAAGTTATAATTATTATCTGCACCCATTCCGAGAGATCTAGAGAGAACAATTCAGGCACCCAATTATTCCTTCAATAAAATATGCACACCGTGACATGTTCCGGGTCTCTGTCTTTTCTCTCATTCCTCGCTATGCGGTGTCTTATTATGGACGACCACAAAGCTCTCATGGAAGATGTCAGTTCCGTGAGCGCACCCAAATCTTCTGTAGAATTCAGACCGTGAAAGCGACCATTGACTATCAAGCTCCTTCCATCCATAAACAAGGTCTCTCCATCTGTCCTCCCTCTAACCACAAGTTCCTCTGGGAAACCCTGGCCCCTCTTCTTCCTTGCATCGTCTTCGTCCTCTTCCTCGTCATCTTCGTCTCCTTTTCCTTTCTCTTCTCACGTGCCCGGGGACGTAGAAAAACAGGTAAGATGAGTGACTGGAGCACGGCGGACGTGACAGCGGCGGCTACCACCATTACATGGTAAGCCTGTCGCCAGCCGCTCTTTCTGTTGCTATTTTGTTTAGGTCGGAGATCTTATTTTCATTGAATCTGTGCATTTCAAAATCCGGGCTGGGAAAACCTACTAATACGGGGGGAACGCTCTCTCTCTCTCTCCGTCTCTTTCGCTCTCTCCCCTTCCCTCCCTCCCTCCCTCCCTCTCCGCCCTAAGCCAGTAACGACCCCATGATGCGGCATGCTCCTGGCCTGACGGCACAGAGCGGTTTTACAGGCCTCTGGCCCAATAGCCCAGTTTCTCTGTGTCCAGGATTTGTCAAATAAAAAGTTCTTCGTAAAAACAAAGCAAAAGAGGTCTTATAACCACACAGAAAAGGAACCATTTTTTTCAATCATTCGTGATGTTCTTGGTGACCCGACTACAGAGGGCTTTCCGTTTATTCAACATATTTATTGATATTCCCTTGCTCGAATCTCACTTAGCGTTCAGACCGTTTCGTCTCTGACAATCATTGGATATCTTTTATTCTAAGAATTTGAAGCTACGTAGCCATTAAATGGCTCTTTATTCTAAGAAATCTAAGCATTCCTTTCACCATGATAGCTTTATGGTTATACCTGAAGAGATACATACATAGATACATAGACAAACAAATGGATAGAAAGATAGACAAACAGATAGATGTGTAGATAAATAGATAGATAGATGGATAAATAGATAGATAGATAGATAGATAGATAGAGAAATAGATGGATAGTGAGGAAGACAGATAGATAGTTGGGTACATAGGTGTATAGATCGATTGATAGATGCACAGATAGATATATACATAGATACTTAGACAAATAAACAAACAAATAGAGCGAGAGAGAAAGAGAGAGAGAGAGGTAAGGAGCTGGGAAGAGAAAAGGCCCAAAGATGCACAGAGACTGGGCGAGAGAGCAGATGGGGAAGATGAGGGTGAAAGGGAGACCAGGGGAGAGGAAAGAGAGAGAGAGAGGAAAGATGTGAACCTGGGAATGAGTATAGCTAATATCTCTAAAGATGATCGTTGATGTCTTTTAGGGTAGACTTTATTGAGACCCTAACTATTTCGTTACTTTCTCGAAAGCTATATTATTTTCAATGTCTACTTAATGGATTAATCCAAAGTTTGGAAACATCATTATTTTCTGGATGTTGAAACTTTTATTGACCATATTGAGATTTTCTGTACCCTAATTCATTTTATTCCTCCTCAAGAGCACCAAATTTATGATTTAACATTTCATGGTTCAAAATATTAATTTATTTTCTTATTTAAGAAAAAAATGAACAGATGACTCTTGGACGCCAGGGCGACTAACTGAAGTAGTAGTTCACTTTAAAATATTATTTTTCTATTCCTAATGCGAAAACCTTTATAACGGGTGTGATTGGAAATAGAAAGATCTCGGCACAAAAATATTTAAGTAATGCATGACCCCATGAGATAATCCAAATTCAGAATTTATGCCTATAAGTATGCTAAAGTCAAAATATGAAGAGTATGAGCCCAAGCCCAACTAATTGTATATTTATATTCTAGTTATGGGAGGTTGTGCAAGTTACATGATTCATATTATGTGGAAAAGTATACCCAAGAAATAGACTTACGAAATAAATTTTAAATAACATCAAATAAGAAATATTGATTTGATTTGGTATTTTCCTGTTTCGATTCATGATAACAAAACTTAATTCTTTTATAGGAAAATGTAAAGCTGATAGTGAAACTGGGCTGGAGGGCTACAGATTTTCCATCTCTTGGTCAAGACTGATTCCAAGTAAAGAATCCTCGCTTATCCTATTCGTGTAGACTAATTAAAAAGAGAACGTGAAAAATCATATTTTCTCTCTTCTTCTTTATTATTTTCCCCAATTTGCCTTTTTCTACTTTTTCAGATGGTAGATGAGCCATCAACCCAAAAGAGATCAACTGCTATAATAATCTCATCGAAGAGCTAGTCAAGAACGGTAATTAGATGGTGAAAAGTTTTCCCATTTTTTCAATCAGGCCAAAGAACTCTGTATAAGCTGTCATGAATGTTCACATGTTGTCTATCACTGCTTCAATAGGGATCCGACCTTATATACTACCTTGTATCATTTTGATCTGCCTCTAGTGCTTCAGGATGAGTATGGTGGCTGGCTGAGTCCTAAGATCATGTACGCCCATAAACCTCGCATCTGTTTCCTCCTTTAGTTTACTTCTCTTCTAAACATGACGACGACGATCAAGGAATTTGGTGGAGTACGTGAACTTTCAAGGAATTTGGTGATGGGGTTTCACACCGGACCAAGATTAATGAACCCAACCTCTTGTCACTTGGTTCGTATGACCACGGGATATTCCTTCCAAATAGGTGCTCTGACCCTTTCGGGATCAGCAATTGTACGCATGGAAATTCTACAGTAGAACCCTACATTGGCATGCATAACCTTCTTTTGGCTCACGCAAGTGTTGTTGAGTTGTGTACAGAACAAAGTACCAGTCATACCCCAACGCGAGAAAAGTCGAGAGTTTCTTTCAGTTTCTTTTTATATATGTTCTTAGTTCCCACAAAAGGATCACTTCTATGGTTCGATGGTCTAGGAAACTCAAAAATGTTTGATTGGGATTACTTTAAACACGTTTGGATTCTATCCATGCTCAAACTCAATAGCTGATTGAAAGGCAACCAATAGAGCATTTTACTTCGTGGTCAATTCTCTTGTTGACTTTTCTCTACTTGCATGACATCATACATGTGCATTCCATCTTTAGACTACTTACCCTCTTCCATTTGACCTTCCATCCCAGGGTTCTGAACCCTCTTCTGTTTGGGGACTACCCCGAGATCATGAAGAAGAAAGCAAGATTGAGAATTCCGTCTTTCACAGAGGGTCAATCTAAACAGCTGAAGGGCTCCGTTGACTTTCTTGGAATTAATTACTATTCATCTGTGTATTTTTCGGACAACCATGACACACAGAACATAGATGTTCGAGATTTCATTGCTGATATGTCCGGTCTAGTTTCAGGTTCTCCTAACACGCCCTCGTTCCTACATTAACTAAACGGATTGCGTTCTTCATAGCTAAATGATTTTCAGTTTAATATCCAATGAGTTCTTCATGAAATAATTCAGGAAAAATAAGTTCTTACTGAATTTATTCGTACTAGCTCGATCTAATCAAACCCTTTTGACTTGAATATCTTCTTATTGCACTGATCAAATATAGTTTCTGGGGATGCCGCACCGAGCAAACAGGTAGAGACTCTCTTTAACTCATTTTATTTTGTGGTTTGTCGCTTGGCGAGCTGAGTTGCTTGATTTTTTCTTTCTCCCAATAGTATTGATCCAGCCGCCTTGGAGAGTTTTCTACTGTCTTAGAAGAGCAAATATGGAAATCTACCCATCTACATTCAGGAGAATGGTTTGCTCTCTCTCTCTCTCTCTCTCTCTCTCTCTCTCTCTCTCTCTCTCTCTCTCTCTCTCTCTCTCTCTTGTACACAATAATACCAACGACATTTCCGACAAATGGAAACTAGTAATAGATACTCTCCTTGTCATTTGCATCAGGTTTCCAAACTACATACGGCGTTACATTGGATGACACTAGACGAGTATTACATTAGGTGATTTTATCGTTTCCCATCCATGCCGAAGCCTCTAAGATATGATATGAACTTGTTTGAGGGGCTATAAAAGCATTAACGTGTGTCTTTCAAATACCCATTTGTTGCAGGAATGGAACAAATGCTAGAGTATACTTTGTCTGGTCATTCTTAGACTTATTTGAGATTTTATCAGGGTTCGAGTTTCACCTCTACTATGTTGATTTTAAATATGAGAAGGGGACTTTCAAAGAGTTTCACCCTTCCCAAGGACGTGGTGGCTCTCTAAGCTGCAACGTAACAAGCAACCAGATTTTCTTCATTTCAGCTTCATAAGAAATCACTTCATCGTTTCTAAGAGACTTAGAATTATCACTCTTATGACATGTACTTTAGTTGTTAGATTAATGTATGACGTGAATGCTATTTCTTACCCCAATCTTGGCTACGAATATGGGAAGGGTGAGCACTTGACTGTTGGCCTTCATCATCAATTTGGTAAGAACCTTGATCTAGAAAAGAATAGGATGATTCTTTTCCAAGGGAATGGGAAACAAAGATTAGGGGAACAAGGTTTTGAGTCGTGGAGACCGAATTGAACCAAGTGTCTTTTTTCCTGTCCCCCTATACAGCTGAGTCTCCTTATTTATATTTAACCCTCTGCCCCTCCCCATTTAGAAGCTGGAAGTTTCTTCCTTCTTGACTGTCTTAATGGGAGGCTTATCAACAATCCCCACCATGGCTTTCACCTCGTCTACAAGGTGCAACAATGTTGAGAGCGAACACATCTGTATTACATAACCTAATACCAGAGGCAGAGGGCAGAAAGAGAGAGAGAGAGAATGTATCTTTGTGTACTATTCATAGATGCCTATGGGTCTAGGTAATCGGATTAGGTAATGGCCATCTGTATCCTGTACACTGACTGACAAGCTAACCTTATGTAAATCTCACTAGAAGTTGAGCCAAGAGCAATCACACAACAGACAACTGACTCGCACTACGGCTCAAGAAACGCTCAAATACTAATCACACACTCTTAAAAAAGGTCAAACATAACATGTTCAAAGGCAGAAGTTGCTTGCCTGAAAGGCCATGAAAATGAAAGCACTACAGAAGAACCTGCCGCGGTTTTGAAGCACCCAAATGATAATAAAAACTTACGATAGGAAGTATGAGAGTGGTGAAGATTCTGGAGCTCATGGGTTTCAGAAGTTCTTCTTTCCGTCTTGCCAACACTCAGCATTTGACCTCCTTGAGACCGTGGGCAAAATACAAAAATGTTGGATTGGTGGCACCATCCTTGTAGTATGCAAACACCACGCTTCCATCATCATGCATGCCCTCACCAACAAAGCTGCCAAAAACAGGAAACATACTCAGCCCACCGAGTCAACTAAGACAAAAATGAACTATGAAATCGGCAAGCTCATGGTGAGCTTCCAATAAAGTATGTTGATGAAAATATAATTAAAATGGTCCAACGACCTTAAAAGATTTCAAGATACTAGACTAGTCAGTAATAAGGCAGATCAGAACCAAACTCAAAGAAGATCCTCCTAGAAAAAAGGCTCCATGTGGGAACCGGACCACCCCTTAATGTCTGGGCCCTTCATATGAACCCACCAGAGGAAGAGATGGGGAGAGGAGAGAGAGAGAAAGAGAGAGAGAGATGTGTGCATTGTCTATTGTAGGGCAACCACATGGAAAGGGAGATACGGGCTGCAGGTAGGAACTTTTCAACACCCAGATAGACACAATTCAAGGTCAAATTCTCAGACAATACTTGAACTTGAAGCCCAAAAAAGCAGTGAAATCATCACTAGGTTGGGCTCCATACCGGTCTGACCTATTGAAAACATTACCCAACACTAAGGAATACTAGAAGCTCTTTTTGAATCAAACAATGTACAAAATAAAAAAAATAAGCACATACAATTGCAAGTCCTTGAGTTTGGAGAGTAAATATTTTGTGGCACCCTCAACGCCCTTCTTGAATGCCTCCTGCTGCGTCTCGTCCAACTTAGGAGTCAAGTTTTTAATGTACCGCTTAATGTAGGCCACAAACTGTTTCTTGTCGAAAGGAGGTTGCTCCTATTCAGAGAAAATATCACAACTGTTAGAATGCTCAGAGGTGTAAGAGAACAAGCTGAAACAGTTGATTCGAAGAAGGAAACACCTGAAGACGGAAAGTGTCAATAATATCAACAACTTTGACAGCCTGATCATCAACGCCTTCGTCTTCTCCTCCACCTTCAGCAGATGGGTTTGCTCCAATGTCTACATCAAGAGCTCCTTTAACCACCCACTGCACTTGAACATTAGAAGCATATTGTACATTAAAAGCAAGCACAGAGAAGAAGCAGTAATGTCCACAGATTCCAATATATTTTAGGCGATCCCTTTTATAAATGCTTCAGGAAAATTTAAGAGGGATCAAATAACTCGAAAATAATTGACGAATAATTAAATTTATCCATACTAATACCATAAAAACAATCTCTCCAAAACCTTTTACAGACCATGTAAACACTTTCTGCACCCCTCGATAACAGATAAATTAGAAAAACATGTGTAAAAAACACTAAATTCATCGAAATCAAAAATATCTTATGATATAAAGACAAGTAAAATCTATCAACTAAAGCAATAAATTAAAAGCTATCGTCAACCCGGCATTGACCCAACATGCAATACAGAGCTAACCCAGGGCGCTCTTACCAACTTCTTCTCAAAAAATAGATGGAAAAAGCCAAATATTTAGCAACCAGCGATGCAAAAAATTAACAATATGACACAGAAATCTAACAGGGCTAACCTTTCCTTCGACTTCCCACAGTATTCCATTCTCGATCTCCTTGTATGGGAACGAGTCCGAAAGAAGCTCGTCACCTGCGTAGGAATACAAATTAGGAAATGGTAAACAACCACAAACAAAGGAAAAATGAATAAGAAAAAAAAAAGTTATTCCAACCGTTGACTTTATAGAAGGTTGTGGTCACCGCATTTCATTGAACATAAATTATAACAATATGATGTGCTTATTGATGCCCATTTACAAGCTCATGGAGGAGAAATTCGTATCCACATTGTGTAAGCTGTAGAGCTGACTTAGATAAGAACGACCTTAAGGAGAAAGATTACTAACTAAACGTTTTCAAACATATTGTGATCTCACAAGATAATGGATGATCAAGGTTTCTACTTGCAATGATGCCATCACATTGAAGTTCAAGAACCTAAAAAACTATGATGATCATAGCATTCTAGCCCCACTAAACACGATTGATGGCATCTAAATGCAGAAAATGACAATGAAATACAACACCACAAGGAAAAATGTTCCTTGGTACACAGATATTTCATTTCTCAATGAAATCTGAAGACGATTTTTCACGAACAAGGAGAGGTAAGTGGAAATAGCAAGCAGCGAAAGGACACTTAATGCTCATCTCTACGAAACAGCTTGATGTTTTGAATTTAAATCTGAAGGAAACCTAATAGGAAGTGTTTACTATTGGCCTGCCAAACTTTGAATCAAAAAAATGTGCAGTACGCTGCTGAGCATATGACAGGCTAATGTTGATCATCATAGGCATTATTTTCATAACAAACCCAATCTCGGAAGGCTGATCTAGCATCCCACATCGTTCTCCTTGGAAATGAAAGAGGCCAAATCTCATTAAGATGATACACTAACATGCGGCCAACAAATCCATTACTGAATGAGACAGAGATCTCAAGATTTCACCATATATGCCTGAAAAGTACATATTACCAAATATAATTTAGTGGTCGCTGGAGCGATAGTGAAAGAGACAATGTAAGTCATGGCACGGGAAACGTTTTCAGCTGAATATCTGTTTCCGTATCAAAAAACTACTCTAGATGCTAATTGGGGTAGAAAACGTGTCTAGTCTACTATTAGATTGTCTTAAAAATGAACCGGTATATATTTTCTCCGAACTGACAAAACAGTGGTATAAAAAGCTTACTAATCCAAACATGGACTATCTAATAAATTTCTTTGTGTCAGTATTAGTTCATTTGCTTGCATTCAATGCATCAAGAAAAAAAAACTAGTTAGCTAAGAATATGTTTTTTTACGTAGAACCATACCCTCAATGTACATAGAAAAATAAGGCATCCAGTAGACATCCCAACAAATTCTTCTAGAAAACTAGAACGTTAGGTTGTTCTAAAGCCCATAATACCCACTGAGTACAACTACAAAAAATACCGATCCTCTATGCATGCAATATCAGCATTGAAAATCATGTGAGGCATATTAACTGGTTGGAGTCTAAAACTCCCTAATTTCTTAGAATTTTGACACCTTCAATCACACAGAACGTATCTAATATCAAGTCTTCCACACTCCTAGAGTAAAAACTATCACCGGAACAGGAAAAAATTCGAAAGGTCAAAAGCACCCATCTACAGGCCACAGAACAAAGATTTATTTCACTAAAAATCAGATATTGCGTACGGCCTCAAGGAAGCCCAAAACACAAACAAAGAATAGGTGGATAAACCAAACAGCCAATATCAACAGAAAATACATCTGTAACCCTACTTTGTCTTCAAATGTCCATATAAATCTTATGTTTTTAAGAGCAGATCCCACGCAAAGACGGGAAGAAATACAAAAAAAAATAGCCTCACGAAAAGGGAAGTGAAAACCAGGAAAAAAACAATTTCCCTCCCTCCAAGATGTCTGATCCTTGAAAGTTAACAAGCAACAACTGACAGATTTGGCCAAGACCCGAGCCCAACAATACCGACATGCCAGCACAAATCCAAAATGAAACATAATCACATTTGAGAAAGGCCGAAGCCAGAGGTGTATAATTCGCCCTCGAGAGACGGTGGAAGATAGGATCCAGATCCACTAGTTTCATTACCTGAAATAAGATCGTTATAAACTAGCATTTTCGCACTGTTCTGGAGCCGGAGAGACGGGAGTCGAGAGGGAGAGGGGGGGGGGCGCCCACCGCGACGAGTATCGAGAGCGAGAGGAGACCCAATTCTTGGAGAAGCAAGGGTATTTATAGTAAGGGTTTCCGGGTGCACGTTGGGGGTCATCAGGGTCCTACCGTAACTCCGAACTAAGTCAGTATTGTCACGCACGGAAGAGATGCAAAGCAGTTAGGGAAAGACCGAAACGTTTCCACAACGCCTTATTGTGCATGTTGAAGCCCGGCCCGGAGGGCCCGAATGCCAAAAAAGGCTCGCCCCCCCGAGAAGATGATTGTTCCTCTCACTCTCTCTCTCTTCTCTCCTCTTTCCATTCTCTGCTCTCAGTTCTCTCACTCTCTCTCTTCTCTCTTCTCCCCTTCATTGTCTCCCTCCTCTCACTCTCCTGTTTAATCCCCGAGAAAAGAAAAGGTCTTTTAGCTTTGGGTCCCATATCACATTGTCCGGCTATCACGTGAACGCGGAAAGGGACGGACACCAGGGCACGTCAAAAGGAGAAGGGAGGGTCCGACCATAAAACAGAGATACCAATCCACAGGGAATATTCCTTCCAGCTTTTCAGATAGAGCGATCGAGAAGGGACGGCCGCCTCTCGGAATACCAAATGAAATTGTATACATTCACATTATAAAATGACGAAGAACAGACCTCCTTGAAACTTCTTCACAGGATAGGCTCCTACTCAGAATTTGCTTCATCAAAATTGGGTATTCCCCTCGGATCCGGCCTGATTGAGAGGCACTGCAATAGACCTCATGTAGCTAATTTCCCTGTCTAGAAGAGGGCAGCAGAGAGATGCCGCCCTTTAAGAGAGAGAGAGAGAGAGAGAGAGTAGTTGATGAGGCTAATTTCGTCATATTTTTACCTCTAAAGTATTAATTGTGCTTAGTTACATTAAATAGTCAAATATTAAGACTGGTTGAATTATTGGTGCAACTAAGTTAAATTGCCACACAACTTATGAACTATTCAACTAGTTTGTGGGAAGTTTTATGATTATTACTTTGCTTTTTCTTGTGGGGCTGAGCAAAGACCTAATCTTTTATGTCAAGCATTGGGTGCATCATTCTGGGCTTACCTTCATGCTTCAAAATTCAGTTGGCATGCATATGCATGCATTCATGTTTGAGAAAAACGTCATTTTTCTCTTATTTTACCTTCTACCTCACCTCACACAATATTGCAATTGAATCCGTAGAGCAGATTGGATGCATGTTAGGTTGATGGAGATACATGCAATAGATAACGGAGATGTGTGTATACACATTCATAAAGTTAATATTGAGAGTTATGGGGATATGAATGAAAATTTGGGATGAATTTACAGATTTTGAGCTATGCATATTGCATTTATGGAGCTAAATTTCAAAATTACAATGATGTATGTGTAAATATCTTTGCAAAATGAGTGCACTCATTTATCAGGATAATAATATTCAAATTTAATAAACTAGAGATAGAGGGATACCGATACATAAGTTACATAAAGGTATGTCTATAAATCCAAATTAAAATTTTATATTAATTGATGTGCCTAAGTTTCAAATGTGAATATTTTTATGTGCATAGCCAAAACTTGGCATTGTAAAAACATATGCACAAGCAAGAAAATCAAGCATGAAAAGATCTACAAATAAAGTTACAAGTTTGTATTATGTTTTCAAACTTAAAGTTATAAAAAATGTATTGTTGTTCAACAATATTTTGGAAAAGTTGGAATGCCCAAAACAATGAAGATGAGAGTCCCAAATTGGGTTCCCCTTATTAGGTTAAGTAATTTTTTATTTAGTTGAAACCATGTATTTGTAGATTTCTTATTAACTCTCATTCTGCATGATCTAGACTACTTTTTGGCCTATTTGCAGGGAAATCTTCACCATTATTAAATAATTTATTTCATCTCCTCATGGGGATTCATGCCTCCTTTTAGTCATTCTCTAACTTCTGCCATGTTAGTAACATATAGCATGGGATAAAATTTAAAGATATAGAGGTGAGTACATAGACTTAAAGAGTTGAAATTTGAGGTTACAATGATATAAATACATAATTACGAGGTAAAATATTAGATATGTAATAATGTGCAAACAAACTTACTAAAATTAAAGTTGTTAAATGTGTATACACATCTATGGAGTTTATTAGTTCATCAAACCTAGTATTTTAAGTCAATCTAGAGTCAACAAGACTAATTATCAAAAACATATGCTATCATTTAAAATTTTATTTGGAAAACAAGATCAATGAATCCCATAATCAAGGTATTTATAGTTTAATATTATAAAGTAAATAGAATAAAAGGAGGTTAATGGACAACACTCTTTCCCTTAAATTTAAATGCATCCCTTATTTCTAAACATCAAACCCCACCCCAAAAAGACAAGATTTGAATTATTCCAAGACTCTAACATACTTCAAATTGCCAAAATATTAAAAGTCACAGACAAAAGGGTGATTTTATTTCACTATTTTTACTAAAAAAATTATTACTTCCAACATTAAAAACTTAGGTTGCCATTTAGATAACCTACATAAAAAAGGCACAAAAAATTAAAATATTAATATTGCATAATCTTGTTCTCAATGGTGGAACTTCTTCTTCCTCCTTTAGTCTTTGTGCCCAAAATTCATGTTACCTAAACTATATAGGAAATCAACAATGTTATCAAATTCCACTATGTTAAATTAGAAGAAATCAACACTATATATGTGTGTGTGCATATTCATGTACATATTCTTATGGGAATTGTCTTCACTTCTCGTCTTCTTCCCCCTCTTTTCTCCTCCCTTCTCTTTCTCGAGCTTCTCTCTTTTTCATGGTGTTCCTCTCATCTCATTCATTCTTTTCTTATGGGACAAGTAGGAAACCATCCTCCATTTCTTCCTCAACAGTTTGGGTCTTTAGTTTCTGAGTTTTTACTGAATTTTCATTACTGTCTTACTCTCCCTTTCTCTCTTTCTTCTCGAGTGACAAATATGAGTTCATTTTTCTTACATTTCTAATATTCTTCCTTTCCTCCCATTTCCTATCAGCGAGTTCTACTCTTTCTACCATGTTTTTTACTCTTTCTCCTCATTCCATTCTCTTACTTGGTTTCTCATTCAATTTTTTTATTTTTTTAGTTTTTAATCATCCTTTATCATTTTTGTGAGTGATTTTTCTCACACTAGCAAGAAACCTCTCTCCAACATGAGTTCTTCCTTTTTCTGACTAAATTATCCTTTTTCTATAGTGTTTTCTCACACTAGCAAGAAACTCTCTCTCACATGTCACCTTTGACGAAGTAAACTCATTGACTAGTCAACTCTTCCACCTTTGCAACAGCCCCTCTCTCATCTCTCTCCTATTACCCATATCTCACTCTCCTCTCCCTTCTATATCACTTTCCCTCTTCCCTTGTTAATCTCTCTCTTCTTTCTCCAACACAAAAGAGTCCCTTCATGGCCTTCTGAATCCAACACTATGTCATCAACTTGTAGGAGATAATGGAGATTTATCATCTTATTATTTATTTATTATTTATTATATTTATATTTATATTTTTTATTTGGAATATAATTTTCTTTCATAAAGTCAAATTATCTTTGTGGATTTAACTTGGAGTCAACTAATATTAATTATATTTTATTAGATATCATAATGGAGATCATAGTTCTTGAACCAATTAATATAAACTCAATTATGAAAATGGCCCACTTGGTGGGAGAGATAAACAACATTACATTTAACATTCAAGAACTAGAGGGTTGTTTTAGTCTTAACTTTTAAGTGCCCAAAGCCTTCTTAAGTCAAAAAGGAACTAGGAACACAAATATATTGTCAAGTAAATTATCTAAATGTGGTAAAATAAGTCTCACAACATAATCAAGTCTCTAGTTAGGGTGTAAGATGATGTAGTAATACAGCATAATAACCATCATAGGGAAGGCAAGAAGAGGATAAAACTATTAGAGGCAAAAATTCAAGGACAAAGGATCCAATAGTTATATTTTGTATATAATTAAAAATAAGGCCCCTAGCAAGTCTGTAAAAGAAAGCAACAAATCTTATTAGTGCATGAGGACGATTAGGTTTTTAAATTAAATTCTGAAGAAGAAGAAACAAGGTGTTCAATCTAAGAGAAGAAACAAGAATGGAGGTAGGAGTGCCAAAGAATATGAAATTATCCCTTAACTCCATTATGGGATTGACCAAACATAGGATGATGAAGCTCACATGAGCAATGGAACCAAAAGAGGCAATTCCTATAGATTGCAAAGCTACCTACAACTTCATTTCAACAAAACTTATGAAAAAATTAAAGTTATTATTGACGATAACAACATACTATTGAGTAGGAGTTAACTTGTATATGATAGTTCAAGGTGAAGGAATTTACAAGCGAGTCTCTAAAAATGAAATAGTTGTGGTAGTAGATGATTATTTATTATTACAATTAAGCACCATTGACATCATCCTTGGAATGCAGTAATTGTAAGTATTAGACATCAGTAAATTAGGGTCAATTATTTTTTAAATTCAAGGTAGGTGGCATCTTCAAGATACTAAAAGGTGACCAAAGCCTATACAAATCAAGAATATCCTTGAAGACTTTATATGAGAAGTACATCTAAACTTAATATTTAGTAAAATTATATTAGACAAAGGAAGAAGAAATTGTAACATTAGAGCCTCTTATAGACCTTATGCAACAACTCATGGATAGGTACCATAAATATTTAATCCAACTATAAGATTACTGCCCAAGCAAGAGGTGGAGTATGTGAATTATATGGATCTATGAATAAAATCAATCAATGTTTGATTATATTGCTACCCATATTTATAATAAAATGAGATTGAGAGATTGGGACAAAAAATGTGGGTGCTGAAGATCATCTGACCATCTTACAAGCTCATATTTATTGCATGTGTTTTCAGCCAAGTAAAAGATAGAAGTTTGCACTTTTGTGTGAGTTATAAAACTCTAAAGAAAATCACTATTCCAAAAAGGTTTCACATATCAATGGTAGACAAATTGCATGAGGTTACTATATCTTCTAAGTTGAATATAAAATCAGATTTGAATGAAGTTTGAAGACATTTTGAAGACAACTTTCAAGATAAATGAATGACATTATGAGTTTATAATAGTACCCATTAGCCTTACAAATGCATCGACAACATTTCAATCTCTCATGGATTTAATATTTTGTCCCTACTTTCAAAAAAATATATTAATATTTTTTATGGCATCTTGATGTACAAAAATGATGAAGAGACATATAAGGAGAATATCTACCAAGATTATCAATGATAACCTAAATGTCACCTCAATGTTTGGGCAAAATGCATCAAATACTTGGGCTTTTAAATCTTAGCCAAAGGAGTAGAAGCGCAAAACAAAAAGTTTAAACTTATGCTAAAATGGTCATCATCATCATCAAATCCATAGAAGTTAGGAAACTTTTAGGTCTTATGGGATACTACAAAAGATTTGTGACAAGCTATAGAACCCTCTTTGATTGTTGACACAATAGTTGAAGGACTTGTTCAATTAAAATGACAAAGATGAAAGAGTATTCAACAACTCAAAAAAGTCATGACTAAAGTTTATGTCATAGTACTATCAATTTTTTCGAGACCACTTGAAATTGAAGTCAATGTGTTTGGGTGCAGTTTGGAATCAGTGTTATATATTAATACATGCATATCACAAATTTTAGTCACATAGTGTCAACATGAAATTAACCTTGGTTTCAATGGGGAGGTTTCAAATTTTTCAAGTGACAGAATGGTAAGTTTTATATTCAAAATCTTTTAGTCTATTGCTAACAATAATCCACAAATAGTATTGACAAAATTCATGTCGATGATCAAATAATTCTAATGGTTAAATCATTGATCAGTGTTTTACAGAAAAAATATGATTTAATTACATAAAAATAAGATTTTTGACTTTAGTATGATTTTAACCATCGGTCGCTCAACTACATGAGAGAGAGAATATGAATTACTCATATACCTTTACCCAATGATACCATGGAGTCATTTCATTCTTATATGTTAGGGATACTTTTTATATAAAAAATTAAAAACCTACTAACAAACATGACTATAGGTTTAGTCCCACATCAACTATTTTTTGATGTTGGAGACATATATATCAGTACTATATCTTCAATGTATTCTCTCACACATTTACATATGTATGACTACCCTTTACCATACGCTCAACTAGTCACTAGTGATGTGAAAGGCAAGTGACGTACACATGTCACGACTAGTCTTTAGTCACTTGAGCCCTCAACAAGGCTCCATCTAATTGTACCTTTGACCAGCATGTGGGCTTGGTTAGCCAACAGGTCTTTCTATTGTGTTTCTAACTTGCTTATGAGACCAACTAACTAATGAGTCCCCTCTTTTTATATATTTTTATTTATTTTATTTTATTTTATTTTATCTCAAAAATATGATTATAAAAATTATATAAATTCACATAAAATCATGATTAACTAAAAATTCACATTAATTAATTAAAAACCCATTTTCTTAATTCAACATAAATATAAATATATTCATACTTAAAATATATTATTAATTAATTATTAACCCATGATAATAATAAAATACATTTGATAAACCATATAATGACTTGCTCTCTCTCTCTCTCTCTCTCTCTCTCTCTCTCTCTCTCTCTCTCTCTCTCTCCTATTGATTTCCTTTTTCTTGTTTATGTAACATAAAGTTTGCGTTAGATTAGAAACGTTAAAACAAAGTCATCATAGATTTGATACACCCTATAGTGCCTTCCTCTCTCTCTCTCTCTCTCTCTCTCTCTCTCTCTCTCTCTATATATATATATATATATATATATATATATAGATCTCACACACACACACACATCTCAGATCACCAATTCTCCATCCATGTGAAACCAGCATGTTGCACTCATTGTATTGTCCTACAACAAACATCAAAACCCAAGAAAATATCATAGTCAAGTAATTACAAAACCCACTAGGAGAAATTTGGGAAAAAAATAAGGAAACTTTCACGTCCTCTTCTTCATGATGCGCTGCATGAATGATATACAGTTTTGAAAAATCTAAGCATATTCGTTTTGTTGGAAAAAAAATTCAAGGAAAAGAGAGTTGTTGTTTTAGCATTTGAAAACAAAGAATTTTTATTATTATTATTCCATAACTGCTTCAGAATCCAACAAAATCTACTTCACTGGGGAGTGTAGAACATCTATTAGTTGATATTTATGATGGCATGCTGTAGAAAATCTATATGGATAAATCTCTGTGAATTTTAGTCATAACTGATGCAGAAAAAATTAAAAGAAAGAGAGTTTCTGTTTATAGGGTCAAAAAGAGTGGCAATTTTGTATTTTTCTACAGCCATGTAAGAACCCAGGAAAATATTAGAACCAACCAGCTAAAATACCCACCAAGAAAATTTCCGGAAAATTAGAAATTTCCACATCGTGTTCTTGATGGCATGCTACAGGAAACCCACGGATATTTTGTGATCCTCAGTGAATTTTTTTCCCTACACCAGTCCCAGGGAATTTCTTTTACAAGGAAAAATGCTCTTCAGGGATTTAGATAGACCACCTTTGCAGCGTTCAAGAGGAGAAGATACTCCCAGCTTCATCACTTGCTTGGTTGGGGTTTCTTTACGATCATCACGGTGCAGTTGGCCTGATGCGCACAGTGGTCACTAACACTCCCCAAGAAGGCCCTGCAGGAAGCCCAAACACGCACAAACAGTCAAATCATGAGCTGACCATGAAGTTGAGCTGCTTCCCCCAGGACTGAAGAATGTCAACCGGCTCATACCAAAATATTGACAAAAATCAGAAAAACAAATTGGTGAAAGACAGAATTCTTATCCAATCTCAAACTGAAGATAAAATAAATGAATATCCGTGAGATTGAATTGAGAGATATCCGTTGCATAGTTAGCAGAGAATTGATTTACAATTCCACAAAAAATCCAGTATTTTTAAAGAAATAGTACCTTTTAATTGATCCATATCCATGACTACCAACGACCAAGACTGTTGCTTGGTGCCTCTTGACAGCGTCACAGAGAACTTCTCTGGCATCTCCCTCCACCATTTCAACAAGGGCATCGCCCACCTGAAATATAAAACACCATCGAATAAGGCGAGAAAAGATGAAGGAAACCCTCCGCGCAGGTGCCCATAACTGGATTGAGACACAGAATTCTTCGTGTAATTTCCCTTGAAGATGATCATTTCATCGTAGCTATCGCCTTTCTTTCATGTCTCTTCATATCTGCCATTATTTATGAGAGAGATGCATTGCTTTCTCCATATGATGCCACAGGAGGCAATCTAATGGCGTTGAGCCAAGTCAATAGATCCTTCATTCTACCTATATTTAATCCCAATTAAATCGGCTCCTCCCTATCACCCGTCAACAAATAGACGAATCAAATGCCACAAAGTGAACCAAAAACGGCTCGACGACCGTCAGAACAAGGCAGATGATGAGGACGCTCTGAATCGAATTAGAAGGCAAGAAATCAGTAAGAACGAGATGAAACGAGAGAAGACAAAAAGATTTTACCGATCTGGACTCGCAGAGCTGTTTGACCCTCTCGGCGACCCCGGCAGCGATCGTCCTCAGATTGGCCTCCACAAAGGGCAGTACATCAGCCACTCCCGGACTGCCCATTCCGACCACGGACGTGGGAAAGGGCCGGGCGTAGACGACGACGAGAGAGAAGACCGGGGGCCGGCTGCGGGCGTCGGCAAAGAAGTGATCCAGCGTCCACTGCAGCGCGTACTCGCTGTGTTCCCCCTCGTCGATCCCCACCACAATCACCTGCTTCTCGCCCGTTCCCACCCCAGCCACTGAACTTTCCGACGCCATTCCGGAAACCCTCCACAGAAGAAGGGCTCGGCCCTCTCCCTAAATCCCCCTTCTCCGGGGTTGAGCACTCGGATGGAGGATTACGAAGAAGGCCACCTGGATGAAGATCGGATTGCTTTCGACAGCGCACAATCGGCTCGGCTGCTCCCCAAATCCGGACACGTTCTCAATCAGTCTTGCCGCGTGTCCGAGAATAGGTGTCAATGTAGAATATTTGACAGAATATTTTATCAAAAGGAGTTCAAGTCACCGCATACTGAATACTATACTGGGCCCAGCCCAATATCTAATCCGATCACAAGCTCCGAAATGAAACACGTTCATAAAGAGAACCCGCTCTTTTCTTAAGCATTTGCATACTCCGAATAGAAGTTCCCATGGGTCTATACTCTTTCTTATTAATGGTTGATTTTTAATTATTTCAATGCTCATAAAGTATGTTTCTTCCCAATATCTATGACCAAATTTTCCCATTTATTTGTATCTATTGTATTTATGGGAAGTTAAATTTGGAGTATGCATGAATCACTAACTTTTATTCAATTATTTTTGTTTCAAACTATAAAATATTCAAATTTCTTATTATCTTAATTAATATTTTGTGTGAGCTGATGCTCGGATTTTGTGTAGTTTTATTAGTTAATGTATAACACATGTACATTGGAATTGTATTTTGATCAATGCACGAATAACTAATTTCTATTCACTGTTATTTTTCAATATATAAAATATTTTTCCCATTATTCTTATATTTATGGGAAATTTATTTGGAATATGCGTTTATAGAATATTATTATTCCCATGTTTATGCTTCGCAATATCTAAAATAAACCTGTCGAATTATCCCATGTAGAATGTATCGAGGAGAAATTACGTTTGGACAATACATTTATGGAATATGACATTTTTTTCTCAACATCTGAAATATAATTCCATTTTTTTTATATTACTGTCAATAAGTCTCAATTGATAAAGACCTTAATTCAAACCAACGAATTACTTTGAAGACTTTGTTTCATTTATTGTAACATGATGATAATTTTCCACAAAAAGATAAATCCACTAAAATCATGGGGTTTGAATGAATAATTATTTCCTTACATATGCCCTACTTAAAAAAATTCAGAAATAAATATAAATATAAATTTCAACGCCATTTATTAAATATATAATCAGATAAATCCGCTTAAATTATTGACTTTTAATGAATAAGTATTTCCTTATGTCCTACTTTAAATAAAAAAATATGTATAAATAATAAATTTATTTTCAAAAGTTTTTACTAATAATTAATCACTATCAAATGCTCCTAGTTAAGATAATTCCACTAAATCACAGAGCTTTAAATAATAATCATATCCTTACTAATGTCCTACTTTAAATTTTCAAAAATAATTTCAACATCATTTATTAAATAGTTAATCACTACAAATGATCCAAGGTAAGAGAAGGTTTCAGCTTGGAAGCCTCTAAAAACTCTTGATTTATTATACTATATATATTTATTATCAATATATATGCCCATGGTTATGGTTAAGGCTGGGCTGGGCCGGGCCAGGCCAAGCTGGGCCCAGGCTTCGTAGGAGTCCGGCCCGGATTGTTGACACGTGTACCGGACACCCTGCCTCTAATTCGATGTGATTGGTCCCCGAGTAGAAGAAGCTCGTCGGCATCTGAAGAGGTCTCCTCTGCACCGCCGTCGTCTTTGCTATCCAACCAGAAGAGACGAAGGCCAAGCAGAGGAGGCGCAGGAGGGAGGAGAGGGACGAAGAGGGAGGAGGGGTGGGGAGGGCGGCGCTGGGGGCGGGAGGGCTCTGAGGATTAGCCTGCCGCCGGTTTTCCCAGAATCCTGATTTCTCTTCCCCGAGATCTGTTCCTTCATTCTGGGGAGTTTATTCGAAAGAGTTCATCCTAATCCGATACTCTCGGATCGGAAGGACGAATCTGGCGAGTAAAAAATTCCCGGTCGATCCTGTGAAACGGGTGCTCCGTCGGATTTTCTTGCATTATTCTCACCTCTTCTTCAGTCATACGGGGCTTTTGGTTAGAGCTTGACTTGCTACTTTTGAGTTCGAATGCTCTGCGCCATCGGCGACTTATCCTCCATTGTGAGATTTCTATACCGCTGTTGGGAGCTCCATTTTCTGTTTCTAGGAGTGCCGTTGATTTTTCGGCTTATTTTGACGTTTCTTTGGTCTCTCGTTTTTCAGCGGTGTTTCTCGTCTAATCGGTAAGATTGGGCCTCAACGCCGATCTCAGCGCCACATTGGTGGCCAGGTGCAGCAGAACAATGCTGCAGCTGCGACAGCTTCTCTGTGGGACGAGCAAGCCAATGGCGTGGGGCCAGTGGGGGACGCCAGTGATGCAGTGATGACCCGGTGGCTCCAGTCTGCGGGGCTGCAGCATCTTGCTTCTCCATTGACTTCTGCAGATAACCGAGCTCTTACCACTCTTGTAATGCAGGTCTGGATATGCATCCCCTCATCCATTTTTACTTGGGGCGTTAAGATGGGATTAGTACTTCTCTCACACGTCCTTTTGTTTGTGTGTGTGCTTGCGTGTTTATTCTGTATCTATTCTATGTTTCTCATTTTTACTTTGGAAACATGACTGAAAAAAATAAGTGTTGTAAGTGTGCTTTAATTGGTCAGCATTTTTGCACTTGTAACATTTTCGTACTTAATATTTTCATTTTCATTTTCTTGCACATCCTTTGCATGTGCATTTTCCATTACTTGTCAGCTCTGTCTGGTGGGAATGGCATGGTAACTTAATTGTTTCTTTGGGTGACTCTGTCGTAATGGATGTTTATTCATGTCTTATTGACAGGACTATGGAGGACAATCTGCTGAGGAGAGGCAAAATCTTCTTATGCTTTTTAGGAACTTGAATTTTAATGGAGAGCCTGGCTTGGAACCGTATACTCCTTCACATGGCTTGGGAGGAGGGGGTTCAAGTAGCGTCTATTCATCTGAGCTGAGAGGGGAATTCGGTGCTGGACTTTTGGATCTCCATTCTATTGACGACACGGAGCTTATTTCAGAGGTAGGACCCATTATTTTACATAACATCCTCTTTTAGGCGTATTTTTTATGGGAAAATTTTAGTTAACCTTTGTTCAGAATCAACTTCATGTTAGATGTCAGATTTCTAACCAGTAAATTATGTTCTTCAGATGATAAATTTACGTTTTTTTCTTCTTTTTATTATTTCATTCTTATTGTTGGAATCACATAATGTCTTTATCACATTTTGTAAAAGGAGACTTTCATGTAAAAAAAATGAGCTTATATGGTGCGCCTAATTGGTAGGTAGCTGACGTGGTTTATAACGAGATGAAAATAATTAAAACAGGAAAACTTATTTACAATATCAGAGAATATTGAGTAGTGTTATGAAATTTCTGCTGTCGCATTTCCCTTTCTAAAAGATCATATTTAGCAGGTGGTTGTCGCAAGGTCTGTTTATAAATCACTATATCAATAGCAGAATTCCTAATCGGGTTATTTTGTATAATTTTTGAAGGACCGGCATGTTTTTAGGCATGAAAAAGAGTATGTATAAGATTTAAACCTCTAGAAGTGGTTCCCATTAAAGTGGTGATGATATTGTAATTGAGAATCTCGAAGTAATTGAATTGGATGTTAGCTAAGATAGTATCTATAAAATCAAAATCCTTGAAAAAATTTGCTTCAAGGCACTGTGTTGAATTCCATGGTGTATTGTTTGATTGAATTCTATTGGTATCTTTTCTTTTGATTCAGCTTGTGTTCTGTCGACTCTGCATTGGTGCAAGATATCCCACCTCATATTGTGTGTTTTTTGTTTTCCACATTTTAGACACTCTTGAAGGTCTTTTTTTTCTTGTTGGGGGTGTAAAGTGTTTTCTGCATTTAGAGATTAAAAAACCTGTGGTTGGATTATGTGGTACACCCTCTCGAGCTGAGTTGTTTGACTCTCATACTTTGGTCTTATTTCTTCAGCCTTTTTTTTTCTTGGTTTTACCGGTACTGCATTTGCTGGAAAATAAGAAGACATGAAGGTTAATTTTGTACGAGGAATTATTAGCAGAGGTTCCTTAATTCTAATATATTTGCAGTAGGCGGTCAAACTTATTCACTACCAGGAATTCAGCGAACTGGATCTGATGACAGTCTAGACAGATTATATTGTCTCGGATTTCTATTTTACATGGACTATGGCCTTGGCTGTTATGTAGATGTTATTTCTGGGGTTTTGGTCTTGAGAATGTCATGTGGAATACCTTAGTTGCGATCGATGATTTATGCTGGCACCTGGAATTGGATTGAGTGGCTTGTTTAGCCAAGTTTCACCTGATCGTGGTCCCAAATGATCACCAAATCGCTGCTTTAGGGAATATGAAGGAAGTAAAATATTTCTGTAATTTTTGGTTAATTAAAAGCTATAGTGCCTGTTATTTTAAACAAACATTGAAAGGCGGGGTTTCCTCCCATCTCTCCTGTCCTCTACTTCATTTTTCTTACTTTTATAGTAGCATTGTGGGGCTATCCACTACTCTCATGGATCATCCATCTTATGTGGATTATGTCCATGACTTGGTTTTTTGGCTCATTTGATGCCTCTCATCCCAGGAATTTAGATCCGGCTCCATTCTTTTCAATTCATTGCCTGACGAAAGCAATAACACTGAATCAGTTTCTCCATCGTTTGAATCCTCTTTTCTGATCCCTGTCTCAGGTGATTTGTTAAAAAAAGAAGACACTGGCACTTCGCATTTTATTGTACTATAGCTTTACTGGCTTTATATCGTGTAGGCATCACGATGAGAAAATGTATCATTACGCAGCTTGTAAACTTGGATATTGTTTGCTTAGTTTTGGCGTATTTTTCATTTGTCATGCACCATAAAGACAGTAGGCATCTGTTACTTTCCAAATAATAATCAAATTATGCCACTTTATCATGATTGATTTTAATTATCTTTCCAGTTGCACAGCTATATCTACCATATTGCTGTAAGAATTGTTTGCATTTCTCCTTCTGACTTAGTTGACAAGTTTTTTTTTTGTTCTCTTGTCAGCATACTATTTCAGAATCCTTTGAGCCGTCACCCTTCATGCCTAGTACAAGTCTTGATGATGAATTTGGTGCAGTGGCTAGCAAGCCGCAAAAGGGGCTAGCAGACAGTAGTAGCAGATTATCAACTGCCGAAAAGGAGCACAGTGGAAAAGAAAGCAACATATCGAAAATCAAAGTTGTGGTATGTTGTTATTTTATGCTAGAATTATGAGAAAATGGATCATTCCATGTTTTTTTTAATACGAGCATTGAAGCATGTATTATTTGAAGAATTTATGCAAAAATATTTATAATCATGCTTGTTTAGTGGATAAGCTGACATCTCCAAATAGAAATGCGGGTCATGAAGAAGAACTTGTGATGACAGAGTTACATGATGGACTTTCAGTTTTTGAAATGAAAAGTAAATTTAAAAGAAAACCAAGAAAATCCAATGACACTAACAAGCAAAAGACACTGGCACTTGGCATCCTATTGTAATACCTCATGGTTTGATTTTATGTAGCAATTTTCTTTCTGTCAGGCTCTGTTATGTACATCTGGTCATTTATGCAATTATGATCTTCCAGTGTTTGATTTATAATTTTGAAGAAATTGGTTGTTTTTTATCAAGAAACATTAACGGCCACGCTTTAAATAGCTTTCTTTATAGATGTTCATCATTGACGCCCATTCATGTGTCTTAATTCCTCTAGCGCACATAAGTGGTATGATAGTTTTTGAAAATAAAAGCTGAAAATTATTTTAAATATTTTATTTTGAGAAATATGGTTGTAGGCTTGTCAATGCATCAGACAAAAACAATAATGATCATTTCATTCTTGGAACGCTGTTATTTTATTTCATGCATTATCCTTGCCAATAATACATGCTTTGGTCTTTCCAATAAAATTGACGATGGTTGACTATACAAGGGAGAGCCGTTCTCAGTCTTTCTAATTACAATACTGTTAATTTAAAAACTGAACTTGTAATCTTCTAGATTACTGGTACTACCCGTGATAGTCTTATAAGCCTTACTTGTTTGCTTGTTTGATAAGTGTTGGTTAGTTATATCTTTTTTAACACATGATCCGTTCCAGGTTCGCAAACGACCTCTGAACAAAAAGGAGATCTCACGTAGAGAGGATGATGTTGTGACTGTGAATGATAGCACACGTTTGACTGTCCATGAGCCTAAGTTGAAGGTCAATACTTTCTCAACTGAGGCGAAGCCTTAATCTAACCCATTTGTTGCTTTAATAATTTCCATCGTTGGTGTGATCTTTTTTTTTAATCCACATCTTCTGTAGGTTGACTACTTGTACTTGCCTCAATTATTTGATTTAAAATATTTCTATCTCAATCCAAGTGGCCTGATTTCTGTGTCACACATTTGCTTCGGTTGAACACAGTCATGCATGGTGATCATTCCTCTCCATGGGAAAATGTCCATACGCTTGTTCCCCCAAACCCCCATCCCCCACCAAATACTGGTTGTAAGATCATGTGCAGGCCATCATTTGCAAACGACAATCTTTTCCAGCTCTTCAACCAAATGCAATTGACCCATGCTTATCCTCAAGGTTGTTCACGCTCAACAGTGTTTAAAGGTACTATTTTGGAAGATTTCTCTTCACAGAAAGAATCAGCAACTTTAATGACCGCCCGAGAACCTGATGTAGAAAAGGCTGAAACTTTTGATCAATATGGGATATGCGGGTGTAGGTGTCCAACGTTCAGAAGGAACCTTATAGATAGGGGATTGAGCAGTTCGAGGATCTGATTGCTCTGCTTGCTGCATGATTGGGGAAGATATTAGGAGTTGATCTGGGGAAGTGGAATGTTGGTAGCAGTGAAGTCCACGGATAGGAATCTCCCTCGTATCTATTGGGTTGGACCTGTATCTCTCTTGATTTTGTGTAGAGATCTTAATACGTCACTAATGTTTAATTATTGAATGCATTCAAGGTCCAAATGTAAGAGATAACGTGCGGAAATGATAACATTCTTGTCAGGTTCTAGGCAGCATGATTGTGTGATCCGTGTAGACAAACCAAGGAAACAGTTAGATCATAAACGAAAATAAATAAATAAAGTGACAAAGGTTGAAAACTGTAATTCATGAACTTACCCTGGAATCGAAGAAACATTTGCAAAGAAGAGAACATGATAAATTGAGACCTAAGAAATTAAACAAACACTGAGAGATACCTATATGCGTACTTCCCTTTATCCTTTTTTATACTGAATTAATTTTTAGTACCCTTTTGAAAAATAAAACTTCGAAGTGAAGCCAAATATAGAAGATACGGAAAAAAATCACAATATGAATAAGATTTCTGACGTTGTGCACCTACTTAGTTTGTAAACAAGGAGACAGAGGCTAAGCGGTCTCAAGAGGTGCCTTTAATTTTCTTTTGAGTGGAGGTTCCAATACCTTGTCTATCATCCCTTAGTCTGTCTGCTTGGCATTTGGTTGCTTTAGGTCTAAAAGGGCTCTTATCCCAGTATGGTCAACCTTCAATTTGTCTCTTAAAATATGTTTCTTAATCTTAAACGAGATTTTTGAAGCAAGACTGGGAAAGTCAGTTGGCTGAGTGTTAAGATGGTCTATTGGTAATGTATGCTCATCGTAGTCATCTCCTTGCTGGACTAGTAAGTGGACATTATATTTAGGGTAGATGGCTCTAGATAAACTTTCTCCATACTTGTGGTTCTTTTTGTGTGTCTTACACTGTTATTTCTCCTCTCTCTCTCTCTCTAGGAATATATGTATATGTATATACATGTACATGTGCATAGACATAATAAGAAACATTATGTCACCCCAAGAAAACTCTTAGGCTTTAACCCTGCTTGAGGCTATGCCTTACAATGGCATTCTCAGGGAAAACATATCTCTTTAAAAAGGGAGAGTGTTCTAGAAGAATAGACTGCATTTTGTTGCTGAAGAGATAGCTCGCATTTAAATTTCTCAATTTGTATTGTCCCAAGTTTTCTTTTGGGCCATTAATTTGCATAGTAAAAGGATGCCATGTTGTTTAGATATGCCCTCACCAACAATGGTATATCTTTCTGGATCCTCAATTTATTTTCTTTACACAATGAAGGCGGTGATGGCTACTGTTCCGAGGGTAAAACCTCAGAAACATGCCATTGAGAGAGTATCCATCCCTGAGACATAACATTGCTGGTTAACATCAGATGGCACAACTCAGTTGTGTGATGTCTTAGGTTGTGTACTGATAGGGTTTCGGACTCCAAATCACAGGAATGGAAAATGGATAGAGAACGATAAACAGGGTTCCGGAACCCTAGCTGTTTGTCTCCCCTTAACATCAAAAGACTCGATTCCCCTTTTCCTCCTTCAAGAAGCCTATTTTTCTCCTCAGTTTCCCTGGACCTTTCTAAAAACTCAGTACACTCTTGACTTTTGACTCTTTTTCCTTCTTACTCTAAATATATTGTGTTGGAGTCTTATCATGTACCATGTGGGTTTTGATAAATGTTCTACGAAATGACAACAACGGAGCACTTTGAGAAGAGACTCTTTCATTGAGGGAACCTAGAATAAAAAATATATATTCAAGAAAATAACGTAGGAAAAGAGGACTTTGAAAACAATCTTATAACTCCTGATGGAAACCAAAATAGTCAATATGCTGTTGGTATTTTTTAGGATTTTTTTCTAAAAAATGCAAGTAATGTTATTTTGATGCACTAGACGTGAAGAGTCCCTGCACTGTCATAATTTGTATGATATGTAAATAAGAATTATTTCGCCTCATAGTTCTATCCTATATTTGACACCATAGTTTGTCTCCTAATATGTAATGCTCTTTTTTGCCATTCCTTGGAGAATGGAAAATTATTTTGTACTTTGAATTTAATGTAGCTATATCTCCTGGTATTTTACACAATTATGGTTGTGCATGACAGCAGAAAAGAATGCATGGTTTATGATGGGGAGCGGATGGTTTATTTGCAACCATAATCTTTTAAATTTAGGCACTAAAATTATTGGCGGAAGTTAGTCAAACTTGGCACGAATTAAGTGAAATTATCGTCAATACGTCATTCTTGTGAGTGTCAAAATGAATTTGAGGTTCTCAACCAATGTCACATACATAGCTTTCTCGCTCCATACAAACCCGAATTGTTTCTCTCGTGGCAACAACATCCCATTGCATCAATATAGATATATATTTCCTTCTTTTTTCATGCCTGCAACTTGATCTGAAACGGTACACTGTAGGTAGACCTAACTGCATATGTGGAGAAGCATGAATTCTGCTTTGATAGCGTTCTCAGTGAGGATGTTACGAATGATGAGGTAGAACTCTTCTTCCATGTTATTATTATCAGTTTCTTGTGCTATCCTTTTTAACTGCATTTGTTTTCTTTTCTATAAACAATATATTTTGTGATCTCCTTCTATGATGTGTCTCATAGCATCCTGCTTTCTTTTATCCTGTCAGGTTTACCGAATCACTGTAGAGCCCGTTATTTCAGCTATATTTCAGCAGACAAAGGCAACATGCTTCGCATATGGTCAAACTGGTAAAAGTTCCTAATATTTTCTTGTTGCCACTATGGCAATTTTCTTTGTCTGAGTCATCTTTACAGTGACCTTGTATAAACTTTTTCAGTAATTAAACACAGTATTTGCAACAAGTAGGTTCATATTTAACAAAACTGGATTAAGCAAAATGTTAGCCAAATCAAACCCAGGGTCCGATTTTGGTCAATGTTGTGCTGATGTCAGTTAAATCCAAAAGAAGGGTATCATAAAGAAACAGGAGGATAATCGGTAGAAGAAAATAATCAGAGGAAGATGAAAATAGCACTGTTTTTTTAAAAGAAGTTATTTGTCAAAATCCTTTTTTTTGTTATATTTTGAATATTTTTCCTGCAAACAGGTTTTTATTTGTACAAATATTATTGTTGTCCGGGCTTATTCAAGCTGTGGATTGCGGTGACTCACAGCAAATTTGTCCGATTCATAGGCTCGACCACTTTTCTATTTATCCATGAGATTTCTTTTATTTAGCCACATGTTTCTAGGCCATAGAAGGTTTAGCGAAGATCATGTTGTTCAAAATAATATGATCAATTTCTTCAGAGATTTAGCAACAAACTATTGAAAAGTTTTCCCAGAATATGACCTGTACATAAACAGGAAGCTTGAAAATGGAACCTTTGCTGGTTTTTACCCATGTTATTTGATATGCAAAACATAACCCAGTCTACAGTAAAGACTAATATAAAATTCTGTACTTTTGGGAACTGTACCTTTGATGAATGCTTCACTGATGGAAACGAGAAACATTATGGTGACAAGACAGTAGTGGGCACAGTTTTTGTCATAAAATGATCATCCTTCTATTCTTGTAAGGAATACTTGTTCTTTTTTGTTGATTTTTAAAAAAAGGTATTTGACGGGAGTGAATTACAGGAGAGAATTTTGTGTTGACTATGCTGGGGCTGTCGTCTCGTTGGTCTTTGATTAAAATTATGTGGGGTTGAATTTAAATGGCATTAAAATGTCATTTCCATGTAATCATTAATGCCTGGATAACTTTGTTAAAATGCTTTTTGGTTGTGGTGCGACAAGTACTGCTGTTATTTTAAATACTTTTAGGATGTGGTTTATCTAGTTTGCCTGGACAGACGCTTTGGATTTACCGTTAGGGGCAGAATCGAAATTTTCTGTGTCTTAGTTGCTCGCTTTCTCGCTAAAGAAAACCCTGAGGTTAATTTGATACCTCTAAAGACTTATCCAAAGTTATCTTGTGTCATTCATTCCCTCCTCACCTTCGAGACTAATTAAGAGAGCAGGTTCCCGTACTGTGAAACAATTGGGTGAACGAACATGATTATTTTTAAAGTGTGAAGAAAGACGTATAACATTTCTTCTTCCCAAGGATGTTCCCTTTCTGGAATGTGAATGTATCTGTACTCTACTCTCTAGTTGAAAAGGCTTTGAAGCATACCTCATCATTCGGGGAGAAAAGCATTTAAGATGGAATTTCAGTTGATGATAACTGATGAAAGAGTGCAAATGAATGGTTTTAAGCTGTGATGTGAAACACTTACATTTTGTTCAATTTTATTTTATGTTCGGAGTCAATGAAATGATGGAGTTTACATCTGTATTCTGGTTTTGTATTATGATTTCATTTTATATTCACGGCATCTATGCTTGTTGTTCTTTTGAGCTCCTACATGCAAGGCTTTCTGGCTTTTTGTATGAAACAAAATTAATGCATCTCTACCATTGTTATGATTTTTCATTGGTAAAATGTACGTAGAAATCGTGCTCTCCACGAATTCTTTACATGCAACGCTGTTTCTGTCATCCGAACCAAAGGAGTGACAGGTAGTGATCACTCTATTCCCTTCGTCTGGAATAACTGTTATCTGGTTGAATTTGTTCTTCAGGCAGCGGCAAGACATTCACTATGCAACCTTTACCACTTAGGGCTTCAGAGGATATGCTTAGATTATTGCATCAACCAGTATACCGTAACCAGAGGTTCAAAATGTGGCTGAGCTATTTCGAAATCTATGGTGGGAAACTTTATGATCTTCTCAGTGATAGAAGGTCAGTTTTATGCCTTGCGCATTTATTGTCCCATGTAAATCCTGATGTTTCATTTACCTGCTGTGTATCATATTGTTAGCGATGCTCTTCATTCTTTAATTAGAAAATTTTCAGATACCAAAAACTTTTGGGGAGATTTTCATGTCCACAGTTTTTAAGGAGACCCTGACGCCTCAATTATGGCAAACATTCTCCCATTAATGTATGTTTACGAATTTCAATGGGAATTGTTTTTTCCTTAAACGTCCATAGATACCAAAATTTCATAGAAATACCATAAGAAAGGTTAGAGAATCGTTTTTCGCATGCTGAATCTTGTAAGATATTCTGCTGTGAATTAAATCTAATGAAGCGGAGACCTCACCATCATCTAGCCTACGATGTGTTCTTGATTCGCATCCATGCAATTACTTCATTTGCATGGAGGACAAGAGTGTCTTTTATTTCTGATTACTTTCAATTGGAAATGATAAAACTCTTTCTGATTATTTTCGATTGATTGTTATTTAGTTGTTTACACGTGTGAGAAACTGAACTAAGTTAGAAAAAGAACTCACAATATGATAAGTTACCGTCTATCATATTTTTAACCTCTTCTTGATAACCTTTCATTATTCAACGTGACCTTTTCATTTGCATGGTCCATCTGGAAGTTTTCTTGCTGGTCATTCTGCCTTCCATAAGTTTGGTTCGGTGTATAGTAATTCGGGTCGTGCGTTGACTTTCTCATTCTTGACAGGAAACTCTGCATGAGGGAAGACGGTCGTCAGCAAGTTTGCATTGTTGGATTACAGGAATTTGAGGTATCAGACACACGAATTGTCAGAGAATACATTGAAAAAGGAAATGCTGCAAGAAGTACCGGGTCTACAGGTGCCAATGAAGAATCCTCTAGATCCCATGCCATCTTACAACTCGTCATTAAAAAGCACGTAGAGGCCAACGGTTCCAAAAGGCACAAGGAGGTCAATGAGGCTAAGAACAGCAAGGTTATAGGGAAGATTTCTTTCATTGATCTTGCTGGAAGTGAACGCGGCGCAGACACAACTGATAATGACCGTCAAACGAGGTCTGTATCTTCCTAGTTTCCTGATATCGTACGACTTTGAGATACTGAGCGATTCGTGAGTAAAACATGCAGGATTCTCTCACCAAATGCTAAACAGCATTAGGTTTCTACCCTTCACGATTTGTTGCAGTCTCACTGCTTGAAATAATTAAGCTGATTTCCCAAACCTCATAACCTTAATCTCTTTCTGTACAGAATTGAGGGAGCAGAGATCAACAAGAGTCTTCTTGCCCTGAAGGAGTGTATTCGGGCACTTGACAACGATCAGATTCATATCCCATTCAGAGGGAGCAAACTGACGGAGGTGCTTCGCGACTCATTTGTGGGCAACTCTCGGACAGTGATGATTTCTTGCATTTCCCCAAATGCAGGTTCTTGTGAACACACACTAAACACCTTGAGATATGCAGATAGGTACTGAAATATAGCCAAATGAATTATCCCGAAGGAGCTTCAGATTGTTGTTATTATTCTGTTTAATCATCTTCTTACTCAGTCAATCACACTTCCTCATCTTGTCAGGGTCAAAAGTCTCTCCAGGAGTGGAAATCCCAAAAAGGACCAACCTTCTACCTCTTCAGTACCCTTGGGCAAAGAAGCATCACCAGCACTGTCCTTCCCTCTTCCCACTGTTTTGGAGGATATGCATGAGCAAAATCAAGAGCCAATTACCGTGGAAGTGAGAACGAGAATTCCAGAGGCCACACCCGCCAGTTCTACCTCTGATATGGATAGGCGCTTGACCAACGTGGCCTCAAGCTACAACCCTCCGGGAAGGGACGAGAGTGGGACAACTTCTAGTTTAGGGGACAGAGTGGATGTCAAGCATGTTTTTGGCTACCAAGCTGGTCATAAGTCTTACTCTGCCCAGAATCTCCCAGATAATCAGGAGGAGAACAAAGTTCCAAAGGTGTCTCCACCCCGAAGGAAAGTCAGTAGACAAGAGAAATCCGAGAAATTGGGCAGCAAGGCAAAGAGGGACAGTGGGCTTGAGTTTCCAACTACAAGTCATAAGCAGCAGCAGCAGCAGGCCGCTATTGACTATGACACGAGAAACGTTACGACAAGGCAGTATGATGAGGAAGCTCCATACGATGAAATGGGCATCAATGCAATACTTGAGGTAGACCCATATCACCTTGAGCGTCCTGTGCCATCCATCCTTTATCGAATCTTACTGTGCAATCTAACTTGGAATACATGTACAGGAAGAGGAGGCACTAATTGCGGCGCACAGAAAGGAAATCGAAGATACAATGGAGATAGTGCGTGAAGTGAGTGAACCTCTTTCTTTCCTATCTTGAGTTTTTTCTTTCTTTAGACTCTCTGCATGTTACCCGCAGACCACAGGTAAAGCCCAGGAGCTCTAATATCATCTGTATAATCCTGGTGTACTCAGGAGATGAAGTTGCTGGCGGAGGTGGATCAGCCGGGCAGCCTCATCGACGATTATGTGACCCGGTTGAGTTACATTCTCTCTCGGAAGGTGGCCGGCCTTGTCGGCCTCCAGGCCCGGCTGACCCGATTCCAGCATCGGCTCAAGGAGCAGGATATTCTCAGCAGTCGCAGGAAGGTCCACCATTAGGGCTCTCGCTGCTTGGTCTTGCAAGAAAAACCACCACCCCGACCCCGGCGTTCGTCTCTGTACATGCTAGCCACATTAATTAAAGAGGTTACATCGGTTGAGCATTACTAAAGTTTTTACCTAGGGTAGGCTCATCCAGTGGGGGTAGGGGAGGAACTGCTTGTTCTTGTGTGTGTGTGTGTGTGTGTGGTTTTTTTTTTTTTTTGGACTAGAGAGAGCCTTGAGTGTTGGTTTTGCAGGGATTTCATTGGTGAAGCTATTAATTTTGTGCAGCTTTTCATACCAACCCCAAGTACCCGTTTTACTTGAGAAAAAGCCACTCAATGGCTGCATGGAACGATCCGTCCCCCAAAGAAAATACGAAGAAGCACCAGTTTCCTCGGTCTTTCTTCTTCAATGAACTTTGTGGTCGGAAATGACTAGCCTCGATCTACATCTCCGCCAGACCAGATTAAATTGACAGGTCAAGGCGCCTAATATTGGTTCGTATCAGGCTAGTGAAGCCACAGGTGAAGAGGAACAGCGGCGACCACCGCTGCAGGGTCCGGAGGATCAAATGGAGCGGGGTGGGACGACTCCTTGAAAGCCGTCGGTTGACTCAAATCAGCCGTTAATCATACAGCGCAAATCCACCGAAGAGGAAGATGGAACTGTGAGTAAGAATCTACGTCGAAACCAAAAAAAATAAATGATAAGGTTAACCACATCACTCTCATCTTATCTTCTCGCCGTCCGCACCTCGGCAATGGAAATCATAGCCTCGGATATCTTGGACGGCCTTGGGCAGTGCTTGAGCCACAGCTGAGACCGCGTGGGGGCGGCTGAAGAAGTCTCGAGGCAGGGGAAGAGAGCAGGATCCGTCTCTCTGCGCAAACGGAACTTGCAGGCTATTATTCCGCCGGTCCAAGATTTAGTGGGCGTCAGCGTGGCGCCGGTTGTTTACTCCGCCCTCAGCCTCAGGATCTCTTTTGCAGTTCTCTTCCTGAAATAAGTCATGTTGTCCTAGCGAGAGAGAGAGAGAGAGAGAGGAAGAAGACGAAGAAACCGATTCATTTAAGGAAAAAAAAAAGAATAGAGAAATAAATGATAGAAGGAACACTGAAATCAGGGATGTCACTTCTGCCGACGGGGGAATTTGTGCGTCCCGATCTATGGACGGCAAGCGTACCTGCTGAAAGCAGAGGCCTAGGCCTCTGCTGATGAAGTCTGCATACTTGAGCATGAACATCCCGCAATCCCACCTGCCGAGACAATGCAATTTTTTTTTGAAGTAAAATAAATAAATATTCCAGCAAACAAAATTTTGGGCAAACAAATGTATATGCATATACTGTTCATAATGGAATATTTTAAATTGACAAAATTAGTGTGGTTCACCTCTATTTATATGCTGTTAAAAAATGGGTATCATATGATGCAGCATGCATGTTATTGCAATCGGCCACTTGATGCATGAATATTACCAAAGTATTCGTCTATTTTGTGTATATATAGCCCAAACATGTATGTGCATGTATGTATGAGAGTAATATAAATGGAGCTTGGCGAGTTGAGTAGCATACCCGTTCTTCTGCAGTGGTAGGCCGCCAACCGGCTCCTGCTTCCAAGATGTAACATCGATGGCCCTGTTACTCTTATCCTTGACTTCGTCCACAAGATATCTAGCCTGAGGTTCAGATAAAACACCCATCATAATATTTTAACATGGTCTCTAGCATACTCTGATATCTCTGAGCCCAGAACAAAAAAAAAAAAGAAGGAAACTGAATCTGCATGCGATCTAACAGCTAATACTTGAGTTCCTTGAATTATCCTAGAAAGTTTGATTTTTAAAAAAAAATTAAGACAGGTGTTAAAAAAAAATTAAAAAAATGAAAATATAAAATATTTTCTTCTAGGAAGTCTCAATCAGTAAATCGGCGATGAAATTGATGCATAAAGACAAGACTGTAAAACGACAATGGGAGGAAAATACTTGATGGCAGGGGCATATATGCAACCCCTCCCACCTCCCAGATGACGTCATCTTTGAATTCTATGTCAGTCAAAGCGTAAGCATACCAGTACTCCCAAGGCATTCCTGTCCCAGCCTCCAAGTGAGTCAAGATAGAGTAGCTTCTCGTTCTTCACGTCAATAACAGCTAGACACCAGTGAATCTCTTTGTGTATAGGAACAAAGATCTGTACAGCATTGTGAGACCAAGACGAAAGATAAGATATACAAAGCAGACGAAGTGAATGGTAAGAATGGGAAACCAATGAGGGTGATTCTGAGGCATTATAACTTTACTTTGTCACACTCAATAAGGCCATACCCTAGCTTCCTTTGAGTGGTCCATCTTCTGACGGCCTTGAACTCGTAACTACCCCTCCCACCAGTCAGCTAAGCAACAAAACAGCCAGAGTGAGGCCCAAAAATAATCAGATTATGCTCAACAAGTGGACAAAATTATTAAGAAATGCGGGTCCATGATAAAGTATTCTATTGCTTCCCACACCCAACAGTGATGGGAGCAAGGCTCAAAAAAAAGTAGAAGGCAAGTAAGTGCCCATGACGTGTGCGCAAGAACACATTTGATTTTGTTTGAAGTTCTAGGTCGTAGGGAGCTAGTGTAATAAGTTGAGGGTGTATCTGGAAAAGTGTCTAGGGTTTCTCCCTATATTAAGGGGTGTAATGGTTGAATGGAATTGCGGCGGAAAACTCCCCTCTGTCCTCGGTGACAGAGGTAGTTCTCCATTTCCAACAGATTTCTTCTTTCCATGATCACAATTACCCTATGATACAATTCCATTCTATCCCATACAGAGAAGAGAATCTATAAGGCCTCGAGTCCATACGACTGAAAAACGGCAAGAGTTTTTTCAATGTCGCATTCCCTCCCTCATCCCAACACTGTTTCATGTGGGCCTGGGACCAGCAGTACAAGTTACCATGTCCTAAGACCTGTATCGAAGCGTTCCGAAATCTGAAATCATGATCCGAAAATACTGCGAACAAAGAGCCCCCTTTTTGGTAAAAACCAAGTATGATTTAGTTTCTTGAAACTAAGATCGTGATTTCAATCTTGAAAACACCATGAGAAATGAGAGCAATCTGCCGTTTTTCTTCCAGTTAGCGATGGCATATGGGCCAACAAGAAACATATGTTTCACCCATTTGTTACGAGTTTCAAATATATAGTCTCATGAAAATACCACGCAGGAATAGAACTTTATAAATAAATGAAAAACATAAAACCTGGCAAGCTTCATAAAAACCTTGATATCTAGCAACTAAAGTACTATAATGCCAGTAGGCAATTAAATAAGGTCAGCTACATCCACAATCCAAAGGTGAAATTCGGATTCAGGAAATTGGGAAAAGGAATTGAGCTGAATGATGCGAATACAGACGAAATCATGCAATGAAGAACAACGGTGGAAATTTCACCATCAACCAATCAATTAAACTGAAAGTAAAATCACGCAGTGAAGGACAATGAGGGCAAAAGATAACCCAGTCATTTTTCCTTCCTTGCCCTAGGGTCGACAAGTCAGATCGTAGTTCTTTCGAGTCTTGATCACTGACACACATTAGGATCAACTAGGTATGACAGTCAAAACTTTAGAAAAGAAATGTCGAGTTAAGAGGGTCTGAACAGACTTAAACAGTTGGAGCCAAAGTTGTTAGAACTGATCCACTTTCTACTCCTCTGCTCCATTTCTACAAGACCACTAAGCAGATGTATCAAGGCATTTATTGCATTCTATGCGTTCATTTTTTGCATCGTTCATGCTGCTAGGTGGCAATATATGGATTTCTTTTTCTTCTTGTATCTCAAGGTTCCAGTCATTAGCAGGATCACCCCAACTTGCCAGATGCAAAATTAAGACTCTAAGCTGCAAGCACGTTGGAACCCATGATGGTAGCAGGTAGCCTTCTTACAACCTACCCATGACTGTTTATTCCCCTCATTGGTTATGTCCAAATTAAGTGAACTAGGGTGAAAATTTTCCTTTTTCTCCCTTAGAATGTTCATAATAATCTTCCCCCTTGCACTCCCGTTAACCAAATGGAAGTATCTCATCTTCCAAATGTTCAGAGCTGAAACTAGTAACAACCAAACGAATATAAAATTTAAAATTAAGTTTATTATCCCACACAAGAACCAAACCCACATAACTTTCCTCATGATCCACACTCAAGTGGAAGAGGTACTCAATAACAGCTTTAATCATCAACCTACTGAGAAGGTTCTCAGGCGCAGGATCTTCACCCTCACATCCTAGTACGCAGAGGCCAGTTCTCTTGAGTTCATAATGAGCAGCTGACTCAGCAGAAGCAAACAAGAGAGAGTTCAAACATCAGAAACAAATTCTGAGCTAAACCAACAGTTTGACCTTATTTCTGCTCATCAAAAGACCTAATGGAATTTTCCATGAATTCCAAGTATTGAACTTATTCTAATTATATACCTATGAAAATAAAATCTAGTGTAGAATATCTTCACGCATATTGCAGAATGATCTTCCTATCGTCTAATGATCACAAGTGAACGATCAGTATAATGTCTATAATATTGTGAACCCCTTAAGTTCTCAATAATTCTCATTGTACATAACGATTATTCTGAACCAGCACTGCACGTCTTACCGTAATTTAGGCTCTGCATTAACTCCACATCTTACCAAAGACCCCAAGAAAAATCGAATAATTTTTTGAAAAATGTTGAACGATAGGTTAAAAAAATGTTGTTGATGAATAGGTAGATAAGGATGTATTCCATCAATATGAATCCAACATGTACCATATATCGGTCCCAAAAATATTAAGAAATAGGTCTCACCAACTGCAAGGCTTCTTTGTTCCAACTAGTGAACCATCTACTCCAGAACCACTCCTCTCGGGAAAAGAGACACTGTTTGGAAGCTTTCATATTTCAGAAAATCACAAAACCACTTTTCCCTGTCTGACAGAAGAAACCTTGGAGGAAAATGTGAATCAAAGACATCAAAATGTTATGACATAGACAGTGAAGGATGTTGCCTTTTCTAGAGGAATCAGTGCACAGAAGCGGAGGCAAGAGGGTGTCGTTTGGAAATCAATGAAAATATTACCGTAACTCATGCTCAGTCAGGTTTGGGCAGAATAGAAGACTAAGGATTAGATAAAAAAAAAAAGTGCATTCCACTTTCATAAGAAAGATTGTAATCGATATGGTTCCGAAACCGAAGTTCAAACAAAGAATCGGACTTAACAAGACAATAGCAACGCCTGCTCCAGACATCCTGTGCAAAATAGGAAATGTCAAGAAACTTCTCAAGAAATACATAACCTTACCATTTTGATACAAAAAAACAGCGTTGCGAAAGATAATCACATATGAAGTTGCATTGATTCAACGAGATGGTATAAGAAAATTCAACTAGATGGTATAAGAAAAACAAGCAACAGTAGAAACATTTAGAAAATTCGAAACAGAGAATCTTTGCCCATTTCTGCACCTTTTTGTAGAAGAATGTGTTAAAGAAGTGGCATTTCAGGAACTTTTTTGGCTCTCTCTTTTCCCTCTCTTTCAATAGCTCGAAATAGAGGTTTATGACCTACAAAAGAAAGAAAAATGCACATTAAACTGATGTAGATCTACCACGGCTTCATTTGTTATAATCCATCTACATTCAAGAAATGAAAACCATCTAATTCGATCCCATAATATCTCAACAAAGTCATATCTGGGAAGTGCACAAAAAGCAAAAAAAATACCTCGTCGTTTAACCAGGCACCATGTCTCAAACACTGAATAACATCTCTGGTAATCTCAATATTAGAACCTTCATGAAGGACCAAGATCTCATGCTTGCGCAAGTGGAACCTGGTAAACATGCTTACTGCTGTAAATATCGGACGGTAATTCAATCTGGTCCGAAAAGGAAAAGCATTCATTAAAGCCATACTTATCACAATCTCGCAAAGCAAGACTGACTTCTTCTTCTTCCTCATCTGTAAGAGGAGTAAAGGGCCCAAGGAGGTCCTGAAAATAATCAAATATAAAAAATGACAAATATGACCATAGAAGAAAAAATGTGAAATTCTCAATACGTTTCATCAACTTTTGGGTTAAAACACATACAATATGGAATATAAAAAAGTAACAAAGAACCACAACTTGAGAAGGAGGAATAAGCTCAATTAAAAGAATTCAAACAAGAACGGAATAACTAAAAAAGAATCAGTGAAACAACAAGTACAAAATGCACCTTGAGAAGGAAGGGCATTGGTAGAACTCGAATGGGGAAACCCATAGGTTAGTAACAACACAAAAGATGGGAATCCAAAAGCAGTGTTGGAGCTATACACTACACAGACTTTGTTCGTATAGATAAAGGTATCTTAGATACCACAATTCTAAGGGTTTCTAAAAATTAAAGGGCTACCATGGAGTGTCCATCAATCAAAATCCAAAGAGAAAATATGTTTGCTGCAGCTGAGAGTTACCAATAGTACATCCAAGGCATGAGCTAATCACTGGATTAACCCACAGAGGCTGCAAGAGTAATTTTTGTGTGAACATACCTCCATATTGGTTCCTTATTTCCAAATCCCCACACCTTTGAATGTCGAATCATTTTCTCATTTCTATTAGACGTTTTAAAATGTTAGCCTTAGCCTTGCATTATCGAATAGAATCGGTAACGATATAGGAAAATCAGATTGACCCATCAAAGCAGCATATTCGTTTTCTTTCGTTTTTCAGTCAGAATGTCCAGTCAAATTTATGAAACACTGCTAGCATCATTAAAGATGTAATGAAAATTCGTATCTTACCAATGAAGTCAATTGAGTTTCCTCTTTTAGGAGAACAAGAATAACAAGGTAAATTATGTGATGCGATCGTGGGCAAGCACAAAACCAAGCCCGTGATCGAATGCTTAACTAATGAAATAAGAAACGATTCTTATAGGAGGACTAGTTTGACTAAAGTTATAACAAGGATATACACGTATCTATATAGGCGTATTCCACATCGATTTTGCTTCGAGCTAATTAGATTTGATAATATTTATAAACATATCAACAGTATAGGAATTATATAAATATAGCTATCATTCGAAGACAATAGACAGCTTTTTATCAGCATTGAGCATAGTTATCAGAACTACATTTAGACGTCAGACCAAATGAGGTAGCCATTTTGGCAAAGAGAGATATTTCACGTTTCATGTAAGAAATCAGTTTAGAGTCTGTTGAGAGCTTCACAATCTTTTTTTCTAACGTTTCAGCTGATAAGTTTCTTGATTACGATAAGGCAGATTTTTGAGAGAAGGTAAAATCAAGTTACAGGAAATACGTATAAAAGCACATCAACAAAAATATCTGAGCTTTGACTACTTTAATGATCTATCATATGCGATGTTAACTGATATTCTACGTTCTGCACATGAACACTTATCACGAAGAATGCCCTTTAAATGTACATTATGAGCTGAAATGTACATGAACATAGTCGCCAAAAAAGCAATCAAGACAACAAGAAAGAGCAATACATCATCCAATGTGACCAAGCAATCAGTCCACTTATGATGCCTTGTCATTTCACTAAATAGAAGCAGACACTGCTTACTCGATGCATTCGATATGCAATATAAAATCCAACTGAGATATTGGAGAGCAGGTATGAAGAGAGTGAAACACAAATCCCACTAAATCTCTCTCTTCAAATATCTATCTTCTGCTTCTTTAGGGGTTTCATCTAGGCGTTCTTATTGACTCAATGGAACTGCTCATTGATACAACCACCATGAATTCCCAGGTTATCTTTCCCCATGCTAACCACGAAATTCAACTATACTCTTCAAATAAGGAATGAAAACATCGCAACTGAAAAAAAAAAAAAGGAATAAAACCCCAAAGATGGATATTAGTTACCTCTTCAGGTTTCACTTTTGACACTATGCTGAACTCAGAAATCCTTTTTTCTGTCAACATCACCTCAAATTCCAAGCTACTTAGTTTGGAATCACGCTTCCTAGCACGCAACAACAAATCTTTGTACACTGGAGTTGTCCTTGCCTTGACACTTTCCGTTTGCCATGGAAAGGGATCTATCTTCCCTGATCTCTCGGCCTCTTCCACTCTGCGATTCGAAATATGTTGGTATGGCGATGCGTCTTCCTCCTCCGTCAGTATCATTACATCATGAACAGCAGAGGACACCGACTGAGGCTGCGTGGTTTTTAAACTTGATGTTTCGTGTGACTTCTTCCCATGGTCTTCCACAGAACGATCCAGCCGTGTGCTCTCCACCAGCCTCTTGTAATCTTCAAAATTTAACTCGTCTAGGCCCTCATCATCCAATCTGCGATCCCTACCAGGAGCCACTGACGCTTCCCCCTTTCCGCGGGATCTCAACGACGTCTCAGGAGATGGCCTCTTCACGGACCACCATACAGCACCGACTTTCCCCATCCCTGCGTCACGCTCCTTCCGGTCGGCCATCACCAGAGGAACCCTAGCTTCGGAATCTGCTAACGACAAGCGACCAAACGCCGTGATTATTCTCTGAGGGCCATGAACCGGCCGGCGTAGAGGGCAAGGATCAGGGAAGCTACGGGAGCTAGATTGAACGGGAGCTTGCTGCTGCGGCGGCAGAGACGGTGCAGGCAGTGGCGGCAGCAGCGGCGTCCTACACTCAGCCAATTCAAACGGATCAACGACCCTCCGCCTCTTCAATTGTGTGACATCCGGCGAGCCTTCAGACTGTAGCTGTCCTAGGGAAGCCGACGACGATAGAGGAACGCAAAGATCCACCAAACAGCGCTTCCGATTATCGGTTAGGGCACCCATAGCGGAGTAGCATGAGGATCCGCTCCAAAACCCTTAGAGATACTTCCATCTACGAGAAGTAATCCATCTCAGGAGAGAATGAGGAGAATCCTATGGTATCAAGGTCGCCGTAGATCGCAGAGCGCCGCCGCCGGCGGGAACGACCACGATCGGAGGGGCGGGACAGGGAACCCAAGCGACTGCCACAAGAGAGAGAGAATTAAATTTGGTTTGATAGTTTCTTCGACACTGTTGGGAAAGCATATTGTACTAATTTTCATATTACTCGTAAAAATATATTTAATAACGAAAAGAACCATGAGACCATCCGATTATTATTTTGAATTTTTTTTTTATCCTAATAATGAATTATCTTATTTAATTTAATGAATAATTTAATATTTTTTCAATAATCCATGTGATCATGGGAGTCAGAAAATATCATAGTTTCACAGACCTATAAGTTCTATTGACACAAAATGGCTTATTAGTAATTCAAATGATTTTGGCTGAACTAAAAGCAGTTATAGAGTTTAGCTTTTATCTTAAGGAATAAAAGCATTTATAATTATTTCCAAATTATATAAATATTTTCCCTTTGGATATATTATACTTCACATTTATTACTATGGTGTCATTGTAATCATAACACGTAATTATGGCTTCTTACAAACAGTATTATTAATTTATTATTGTATTTTCTGAGAAAACACAAACTTTGGTTGATACCTAAACATCGTCTCTCTCCCTCAAAACAATGACATCAAAATTATATTAAAAATAATTTATTTTACTTTAATTATGACCCCATTATTTATTTTGGAGAGGGGGTTACCATGGGCACCATGAAAATATTAGGAAGTGACCCATACTTCCTAAGGGGGGGTTGCTGGGCTCAGAAGTTTATATGGGCCTTGTTTTAGAGCCCGGTTTAAAGAAAAGAGGAATGGAAACCATTACAAGAAGCCCATTTGTTTCTGGGCTTGGGCCTCGATTACCATTTAAAAAGAGATTAACAATAATGTTATTCATTTCTTATTTAAGCAAGGGACTAAAATGAGAGGATCCTAAAACAAAAGTGACCAATCTAATTTAATCGCAAGGTCATTTTTCAATACCTAATTATTTTTATGTTAATGCCATGTCAAAAAAAATTATATAAATCGAATAAGGTATGGTTTATTTCATACCCCCGGCTATAAATTAATTATAATAATTGGTATATTATATTATACGACATTATGATTATTATGAAATATATATAGACAATAAGAGATTTTTTGAAAGCTTTTGAGATGAAGGAGAAATGTGATTTGCGGTCTCATTCTTTTACAAATTTGTGATTAATATATAATAAAATTAACCTTATCTTTTAAAATATATTTTATTCAGATTTTAATTTATATATATATATATTAAAATATTAAATATAATTTAATCATACAAGTAAAAAATGTTTTAAATTATCTACTATATTTTATGCGGGCTAAACGCTTACTCACCATGTGCATGGGCTATGGAATGGGAAATCATTTTCTAGAGCTTGATACCGACAGTACCCCAGAGGAAAGACGTTCGGGCTTGGGCCAGGCTGGAAAACTAACCAGAACGGGCCTAGCCCGGCCCGTTGACGCCACCCATTAGAATATTGTATACCAGAACGAGCCAAATCGGCCTACGTTTAATGAGGGGATAATATTATCACAAAAATGTCCGTGATTTAAAGCCAGGCAGTGTACAGCTCCTCTCTGTGTCTCGGGGTATCTGTCTCGATGTTTGTGCTACCACGTAGGATATGATCTGGCTAGAGGTTCGAGAAAACTACTTCGGTTGCATGTGGGGCCCACACGATGCTCTCCCGAAGCAGCCGTGTGGCGGATGTCTTGGGCTGTTCTAAGTGGGCACAGCTGGCATAGAAGGGGACCGGCCCGGCAGACCACGTTCCGCGTTGTTTTTATTAAATACCCTCCTTAGCGGCTCCACCTTTTATTTTAAACCCTTTTTGAAGCTAAATTTATATGAGTACTATCTCCCTAAACCGCGCTATTTTTTTGAAGAGAAGGGTATTTTGATAAAACTCCTCGCGCAGACAGGGCATTTACGTGAATATATTTTAGGATGGTTGAATCGTTAATTGTTCAGGTAAGCAAGGGACGCGTGAAGACAATGAACTAGGAGGCCTAGTCGGTGGAGCGGCGGTGGGAGCCGGCTGAGCCTTCTACGAAATCAAATGGTCTTCTGGTCGCTATAAATTACCTGTGGATTGGGTTTCTTTCCCTCTTTATTCATAATTTAGGGCTTCAAGTACGCCGGTGATGAGGACGACGACAGGCGGAGGGGGCGGCGAGATCTGGCGGCGATCTGCGGTGTTTCCCGGAGAAAAGGTCAGTTTCTTGCTTCCGGTAAGGTGTAGAAAATGGGGTTGGCAGATCTGCAGAAGACGAATGTAGGTTAATTTAATGACGAGAGAGAAACGCGGAGTCCAGTGTCAGTCATCGTGATTTACCCTAGGCAGGGAGGGCATTTCTTCCAGGCATCGAAGTTCTGGTCCTACACGCTGTGGCGGTCCCTACCTCCACTGCTTCCACTCCGTTTCCACACGCTAAAGAGGAGCCGAGGAAGGAGATAGCGGTTGAGAGAGAGAGAGAGAGAGAGAGAGAGAGAGAGGAGGGAAGATCGGGAGGGGAGCAGCGGCCGTTGAGAAGCAGCGGCAACGAGGAATGGGAAGCGGCGTTGGATTTCTCCTCCGTGTGGTGCTGGCGGCCTCGGTCCTGCTAGCGGTAATGTCTGTGGCCTGCGCTGGGGGGAAGTACCAGCTCGGTCTCGGTTTGGAGGGGCAGCTGGCCGGGTGGGTCTCCGCGAGGTCGAGCTGCACGGGAACGGTGGCGGAGTGCCTGGCCGAGGACGAGGACGAGTTCTCCCTTGACTCAGAGAGCAACCGCCGTATCCTGGCCGCTTCTGGTTACATCAGCTACGCCGCTCTCCGGCGGGGCTCGGTCCCTTGCTCCCGGCGCGGCGCCTCCTACTACAACTGCCGCCCAGGGGCCCAGGCCAACCCCTACAGGCGCGGCTGCAACGCCATTACCCGGTGCCGCTCCTAGATGATCCCCTTCTCTCCCATCTATCTACTCCGCCAAAATCCATTCCAACATCACACTTGATCCCCTCTCCGTGCCGTCTTCTTCATCCTCGTGATAATAATCACCCCCACCTTCCCCTCTCCAAATGATCCTCCCCCTTTCCTCCTATCACACAGTAGAATGTCTATTTGTTTGATCACTGATGTGGAATGCCGATTGTATGTTTACTATTACATGAGTGAAGTTTGAAAACGGTTCGGATTCCCTCGCAGTCCTCCGCTCTTCTCGCTGTGAAATCGAGATCTGAACGTAGATGATTCCTTCACGCCTTGATCATATTCTTCCTCTTCGTCTGAACGGGAGCCCTCTCTCCCGTGTCCATAGTTCTCCGATATCAGAGTCTCTCTACTCGGAGGGCCTCGCACGTGTGCACGTACCAGAGGCTGAACCCCACAAAAGGAAGGGTGGGCCCTACGGTGAGTTGGCGCCTGGATTCGATTCCTTCCGTTCCCAACTCAGCCTTCTTGATCTCTGGCTCCCCCACACACCCCCACTCATCTCATAGTCTCTTCTTGTTTACCTCGATGGTCAAGCAAAGTGGTTAGGAAGACGAGGAAAAGCCAAGCGCTTTTCGAGAAGGTTTCCTCCCCCACCTAGCATGTTCCTTTTCCCCGTCACGTGGGGAGCTAGGGAGGCTTGGTTGCTCTGATCTTGCGGGTTCGCCTGGTTCGACCTTAGAAACAGGGGTTCATTGCGAAGAGAGCAATGAATCTCTTTAGGGAATTGTAATCGGGATCACTTGATCACTTGCGTGGATGTCCTTGGGGCTTGGATTTTTGAGTCTGTCAACTCTGTTCTTTTGAAATAAATTAAAGCAGAGACCAGAATTATGCCCTAGAATAATTAATTGGTTCAGAATAGAGAACCCCCTCTGTCGTAGAAATGTTGAATTAGTTTACTATTAATTTAAATGTATCATCCCATTTTATCGTGTTCTTATCAAATAGCTCAAACAAACTGGTCTATCGGATTCGGATCATTCACTTCAATCTCTTAATTATACAGTTCACCTCCATACCCAGGGAGGTATGGTCACATGCCCTCTGAGCTCATTCCGAGCTTTATTTGAAAAAAGAAGAAAGAGTCTGACTTTAGAATTTTTTCCAAGAACAGGACCTTTAAACGGTGTTTGAATGTGGAATGTTTTTCTAAAACCATGCACAGATTGTTGAAAATTGTATGAATATGGAGGAAATTGTGTATTCATATCGAATCTCCCTGACAAAAAAAAATCCCTTTTGATTTCGCTATTCAGTTTTATCTGCATTTACACTCGAATTATTAAATTGTACGAATCATCGAGGTGAAATGTTACAAAAAATGAAGAATCTTTAACCACCATGAACTTCGCGTTGTAAATGCTGGTTCGCTCATTTCATTTCAATCTGCACGCTTTTTTCTTTTAGGTCTCCCGCGTGACAGACAGCGACAGCCCACCCATAACCACGACCCATTAAAGCCTCTCTCTCCATGAAGGCGGCGATGAAGAAGGGGAGGAGGGACAAGCCAAGGATGCTGTTAACGGCGCCGTGTGAGGTACGCTTTCCTTCCAATCGATCTTCGCACGGGTCTCCCTGATCGGGCGGCCGAGATCTATCCGGAGGGGGAGCGGCGAAGCCTGCGGAGGGTGATGGAGGTCCTCCTCCCCTGGCGGAGCTCCTCTCCTTCCCACATTTGGAAACCCGGCCGCCGGTCGATGCCGTGCTCCCAGCGGTACCGGGCCTCGCCGGACAGGACCATCAGTGATCCCGGGTGTAGCAAAACCGGGATCTTCGCCGGAGACGGCGACCCCTCGCCGGCGTCGGCGGCGGCGAGGGGGGAGAAGTCCATTACGCATGGGGACTCTAGGGAGACGACGGCGATGCCGTCCTCGAAGCGCATCAGGTCCACGTGGAAGCAGATCCCCTGCGAAGAAAGCACCGTCACGCATGTAGGGGTAAGGACCGGGGGGGGGGGGGGCGGGCGAGGGTACATTTCGCACCTCACCGGGGGCGTACACGTTAACGATGAGCTGATCGAACAGCGGGTCCCTCCAGAGGAGATGACCCGGGATGGGATGCGGCTCGGCGTCTGAGACGGCGGCGGCTTCTTGGATTAGGTCCGAGAGGTCGGAGGCCCAGATTGGTAGATCTCCGAACCTCATCGCCTGCGGCGAAAGGAGTTGGAGATTATTTAAATAGACATATTTACTTATTTAAGATAAATAATTAGTAATATAAAATTGCATGCAGGGGTGTTTTTTAAAGGAACTAATTCGTAGAAAAAGGGATCGGAAAAAGGACCCAGAGAACCCATTGGCTGATTTGCATGGTTTTTGTGGGGATGTATGGAGTCAAATCGGGTTCCTGATCGACGTGAGGATTGGGTGAGCTTTTCTGGTTTGGGCCATCCTGGGTCATATCGCCCGTGACTGGAGGTTCTAAGGTGCCATATAGATGCTGCTCTACAAGCGACCCATGGAGTCGACATAGTCGGTGGACCGCGTCTAGCCCCAACCGAGAAGCAGATGTCCTGTTCTTTTTTTCAGAGTCTAGAGGGAAGAAAAGCTTCTTAGAGAGAGTAAAACACACTCTTGTGTTGGGGAATAGAAAGGTTACCTGGTTGTGGGTTTCTTCAGTGAACCATCCTTCTGCAGAAAACACATGATGATGATCAAAACCTCATCAAAAGATGGCCAAGTGCCACCGGGAATCCGATTCTCATAGGCAAATGGGTCTAGAGAGGAGGGTTTTCATAGGACGAGACTGTGAGGAGGAAGATGACCGTCAACTTCATGCAGGTCCACGATGAAGATTCTCTCGGATTAGAGAGTTAAGAATCATTCCCAAACCCCACCGTCTTCATGGTTGGAATCACCTCTTCGAGAAAATTTCCCATGTAGAACCTCTAACCAATGCTGTAATCCCCATTGTGGGATGAAAGAGGAGATTATCAAAGACTGAGGATTCTGTTGAATAGCGTATACAAAAATAGGAAAGTTTTCATGGAATTAGGAGGTCTAAACTTGCAACATACTTTCTTTTTAAGTTTCTTAATATGGGGGGGGGGGACCTGGGTCTCATTGTATCGTCCCAATTGGATCAATCTAAGAAAAAATAGGAACGGAAACGGCTCGCCTTGAATTAATAGGTGGATTTATTTGATCCATGAGCTTCATTGGGCGACACGCATCATCTGTCTATTTTCCATGGGTTCACCCAAAAACGGTTGCATCATTCTACATGTGAAGTGGGGGATTCGTGACCAGGAATGGAAAATTTTATGAAGAAATTTCACATGGGCAGTGGGGTATTGGAGCAATCTCTCAAAGGGGGAGGGGAGATGCTGGAAGCAGGGAATAATATAAGGAGTATTGAAACAATGATCAGGAATTTCACATTGCGGGAATGGAGTATTTGGAGCAATCTCTGAGAGAGGGGAAGAGGGAAGTGGGTCAATAGTCGTCATATATATTAGCTTTCACCAGATGGTGAGGAGAAGGAGGGATTCGTACGACCTTATTAGTGGTTGTAGGGGAAGGAGCGGGAGATTTACCGTTCTCGATGGCGGCGAGAAGAGTAGACTGGAGCTCCGGCGAGAGGAAGTCCCTGCACAGCCACAGGCCTCTGATCCCTTCCACCTGCTCCCAGCTCGCCTTATCCTGCCTCTGATCGTATGCATCACCTTTAGTGCGGCCGGAGAATGGTAGAGATGGGAGGACGGAGAAGGGGGGGATGCCCACATGGAGATGGAAGGGGGTGATTTGCTCGCCACCGTCGTCGTCGTCGGATTCCCCAAATACTGCTTGCAGGGCTCGCCGCTTCTCCCTCTCCAATTCCTCATCCTCTTCCTCGTCTTCCATTTTCCCTCTTTGCTCTGGCTCGTTCCCGTTGTCACTCGGAGATACACGGCGTAGAGAAGGAACAGCTGGGGTATAGACGAGGCCAGTATAGGTTGGGGAGAGAGGGGCTGGTTTGGGCCGGCCCCTGCCGATCTTTTCTTCCAATTGAAGGCCCAGCTTGGAAGTATAGTCTCGGCGCAGAAAAATCACCGGAAATTATTCACCTCTCAAGCCCCCCCCCCCCCCCCCCGAAAAAAAATCCTGATTCGATGCTCGAACATAAACCATTGTCAAACTGGGTAGGTCTACCTCCAAGCTCACCCGGTTCCTTCGCAACCCTATGTTTTCTCTATGGCGGCATATATTTTCTTCATAGACACACCAAGGAGACACCCCCCGTGTGGGAGGGTGGCATGCCTTTCCTATAAGAGACACCAAGGAGAAAAGCCCTCGAAAACTAGAAGCCCTCCGCTCCCCCCATTTCTCTGTACAGTTCAAATTTTGAATTCATCTGGTCCGAAATCAAATCACTTGATTTCGTCTCCTCAATCTGTGGCCATCCCAACATTTTTACACCAGCCACGCACAAACGCATGCCGACTTTTTTACATGCTTGCTGTGTTTCTCCTCCTGTGGGCGGTGGGCTGCTGTCGGAAGCCCCCTTTCAGAGGGGCCGCCCTCTGCCCCGCCGCTGCTCTTCGGGGAGGCAACACCAGCCCTCCTCCGCCCCGCCGCACATCAACAAACCCCTGGCGGCGAAGCCCATGAACTCCGTCGGGGGCACGAGGCGGCGGATTCTCGACACCATGCCGCCGCCACCGCCATCGTAATAATAAGAGAAGCCGATCGTCAGGGAACGGCGATCAGTGGCCGCCTCCTCGGTGTCATCATTGTCTGCGATCGGCGGCAGCGGCACGGGGGGGGATGGGGCGGACGGCGGGGAATATCCTTCCTGTGGTGACGGCATGAAGGTTCCCGTGCCGAAGGCCTCCCAGTCCGCATGCCGCCATAGGTCGGTGGCGCGCTCGCCCGGCCGGAGCGGCGGCTGCTGCTGCTCGAGGGATGACGAGATTTGTTCTGCTTGAAGCTTCAGCTCCCGGAGCCGATGGCCGATCCTCGTTGATGCCGCATCATAGAAGGCTTCTCGCGTAGGCGATTCATCTGAGCGGAGGTCGAGGTCTTCGAAGGTGATGGGGTCGCCGACTAGGACCGTTACCTGCAGTCAACTAAACAATCAGAAGGGAAATTCGGGGTTTCATGATGAGCGTAACTGCGTGTGTGTGTGTGTGTGAGAGAGAGAGAGAGAGAGAGCAGGAGGTAAAATACCGACCCGTTTTCCGATTCTGGGAAGGCAGCTGCCGATGGGCATTATCTCCTGCATCCCTGTGTGCACCAAGGGGATGACTATCGGCGTGTTGTCAGCGTCCATGACCAATCTGCCATTAAAGATGTAGGGAGAAACGGGCATTTATGCGTCGTCAGGAGATGATGCAGATATTTGATTTAGAAACGATTTCATGCCATTACGAAAATGATATACATATATATATATATATATACTTTTTTTTTTTTGGTTGAGTTGAATGGCCTGGTGATTCTAGAGGAAAATGATTTTTATTTTTATGCCCTCCTTTTTGCATCGGGGGGTTACAGGAAGAGATGTTTGGGAAGTTGAGTGGTTTCATCTGATACTCGCTTCTTACCTTCCGACCCCTCTTTTTGAAGAAGCCATTGTCCTCCCACCATCTCTAGAGCGGCTCCCCTCGGGGAATATATGAACCCATCCGCCATTGTTAAGCTTGGAAAGAGCCATGTCCATTCCCTGAAGGGCGAGGGAGGGCGGGTTTAGGCCAAATACAAACTCCATGCTTTAAATTAACAACCGAAAAAAGGTCAACAACATGGAGGCATAGTCTTAATAGGATCCTGATGGAAGAATATAATGACATTTCATGCCCATTGCTATTTTGAAACAAAAACCAGCCCGGAAATGAAAGCATGAACCTGAATTCTGGATGGAATATTTTGAATGATTCTGATGCCAGGAATCTACGGAAGAATGTCAGCCTGATATGTGCATGTTTTAGTCTTGCTAGATACCAAAATTAGAAGAGATAAGAACAAGCCGAGTAGCAAATGATCTATATAAAGCTTGCGCTTTTTGAGCTCAAGTCACGTTATAAGTTGACCAGAAAGCATAAATCTGCATTTGGGTGGACGCAAGTGGCTCTTCAGGCTAATCGTTTAAAAACTTTCATAACCAGCAAACGGACCAATGGAAGAAATCGTACCTTCTGATAAACACCATCCCCACGGGAGACTGGCAGTACTTTGCAGCACGAGAAGAATGTAGACAGCGTTGGATTCCGAAAACAGCGATCAGTTGCACACAGCGTCCACCTCACGTTGCGTGCATCGAGCATAACACTTGGCGGTAGAAGGGAAGCTATAACAAATGGGTCATCTACAGAGGCAACATGATTGCTTACCTGCAAAAAAAAAAACAAAAAAGAGGCAGACAGAGGAATGGTTGGGGTAGTAAAAACGTTGGATTATAATATTGGGAGATGCTGCAATTATACCACCTTGGTTTCTACAAACGGAACTGACGGCAGAAATTATAGCTATGAAATCAGGTCACTAGATTCAGGTGGGCTGAACTCTAAAGAGTAAACCGTGCCAAGGACTTTTTAGCAAAATATCAGATACACGGATATGCAGTAGCCAGTGGAAAGGGACTTGAAAGAGTGGATTCCCCAGTTTAGACATTTATTTATAATTTCTAAGGTAGAAAACTAAGTAAAGCAATATGATGTCTTGATTACAGTATTATTTTCCCCATTTAGATTCAATCCTAGAAGTAATCTTGATGACTCCTATGGCTCACACTACCATCTGCCCATATAGACGTAGATGAGCTCACTTCTCGCCTTTCCACACTCTATAGCTGTATCAGCCATCTTCATTCACAGAATATTCATTTATTTAACGATTCTATAAGGATCACAACTGATCTTCTTCAATTCTTCAAATATTAAGTTCTTCCAATCGATCTTCCTGTATATCCTATTGGTGAAAAACAGCAATGTTCAAGTAGCAGACGCCAACAGGGGATTGAAAAATACCGTTAAAAGAGCTTTGCCCTTTGGTCTCCTTAACAGAGCGCTATGGAACTTCTCTAGGCCATAAATCTGCAAACGGACAAGGCAGATTTTCTTAGTATCTTTCTTGAAAAGATTTCTGAATGGAATCTGCGGTCATATGAGTTCACGATGTCTTCAGCCACCTGTATATGGTTGAGCCCGTGCATAAACACGTGACAGACGTTTCCAATAACAGGAATAGCCACATATTGAAGCAGTTGAAAAATGACTGAGCCATCGATTCTATCCTCGTCCTCACTCTCTGCAGCATCGAATGACAGAGTGAAGTTCATCAGAGGGATGGCAAATGCATGAAGAATAGAAATACACGAGTATATACATTCCAAATGAATCAACATCCGAAGCTGAATGATACTATCAAATCTCGCGGAAGTATTGAAACCTCCCCGCACGGTGACCACTCTATTCCCTCCGTCAATTCGCAAAATGCGCAATAAAACGGTGAAATGACTGAGAATCACGACCACTGCAGGTAAGTCCAGCAACGGCATCGGCGAGACGGAGTTAAAACAGTAAAATGTACGCTCATTTTATCCGTCTTGCGTCTACAATCTAACCGAAGAAGGTAGGAAGGAGCCGACCTGTTTTTACCCGCAGGATTCTCGAGGGAGGAGGCATCGGCATCGACGACGACGGCGACGACAGAGACGCATCTCCGAGGAGGCTACGGAGGCGGAGGATCGCGCGACGGAGTGTGGCCGAATAACAGGAATCCGCCGCCTCTGGGAGACCGGTTGTCCACCGCCTGGGACGAGTCACCGTCACGCGGAACCGATCCCGCAGCCGGATCTGCAGATCCCGAGCCTTCTCCCTCCATACCGCCCCCCGCGCCGCCCACTCTCCTCCTTCCATCTCACCGGCCGGCGGCAGTTGCTCGTCCTCCGCCGCCGCGACCTCCTGGTTTTCTCCAGTGAGAGACGAAGCAGACAGGAGCGGAGGAAGAAATAAAGCAACTGCTTGCCCCCCTCCTCCACCCTCTCTCTCCTCCCCCAAAACCCCCCTTCTCCGGCTTCTAGAATGTCCGCGGGCCGGCCCAGGGCCCGATCCGAAACGATACTCTTACCGGTCCCATTTTTAAAGTAATACTTAATTCCGTTCTTAAACTTTATTAAATAATACTTACTATAGAACTATTTAGTATTTTCCGTGAAGCTTACGCCATTATTATAAGGAGGAGGAGGGGAAGAACTGGGGAAAAAAATGATTATATTATTTAATTAATTGATGCCCGAGAATTGTCAAATCAAGAAGGTTTAGGTACATCAGGAAAACCGCACCATTTCTGGGGAAGCTCCTCCCTCCTCGCCAGCAGCTGGCGACAAGGCGCCGCCTGCTTGGCTGTTAGACCACAGCAGATCAGCATTCCCACAAAATTTCAATATAATAATAATATTATTATTTTACAGTTTTTTTTTGTTCTTCGCCCCTACTCCCAAAAAAGGGATTTTTTTTTTTTTTGGGTCAGGAGAGAGGGAGAATTGCCTACCTGCCCCTCTTCGTCCTGGTTCTTCTGCCCACGGATGCTATTCCATCATGGAGCACAGCTGCATCTCTGCTTCAGCAAGGGGTTGCCCCGCATACAGATTAAGCTGCCCCCTCTTCACGACGATCACATTCAATGCCTTGGACCTTACAGCATCATGAAGTTCCTGCGGCAACATCCATTTCCACTCAGAGAGAGAGAGAGAGAGAGAGAGAGAGAGAGAGAGAGAGAGAGAGAGAAATAAAAAGAAATTACCAGTGAAATCCGAAAACTTTGCAAAATGGCATCAAACTTTGGTCAGTTCCCGAGGAAATACAGAGATTTTTCATAATATTCTACTGTGGGAAGATAGCGGGGAGCATTTATCTCACCAAAATCATAGCTGATTAGCAACACAGAGAAGGCTAACCTGCGTTGAGAGAGGAACGACATCTGCGGAGAAATCTTCCAGATTGTGAAAAAATGTCTCCAGAAGATAACAGAAGTTTGTGGCATCAGCACGATCCTGGAAGGCAACGGTGTAGGAAGATGGGCTTCCTTTTTCTGAACCTGAATCGTACTTTAACGAGTAGAGACCTCTGAACTTCTTGCGGTCTGTCCCTCTGTGTAAAAATATAGCCTGTCACATCATGGAAGTTAACAAATAGGAACAGCAACTAACCCATATGAAACTATCCTAAAAATATTTCAAAGCACAGTCAACAGCCTACATGGAGAGAGAGAGAGAGAGAGAGAGAGAGAGAGTTAGTTCTGAAATTTGCATACCAGAACATACGAAAGCTTCAACCACCACAAGTTGTCTACAGCATCAGGCTGTGAATGTTTTGCCTTGTCAGGTACATGTTTGTGCTCAGTTGTCTTGCCTGACAAAACCTTGGGATCGGTGGAAACATTCCTACCGATTGTGGAAGAGCTACTCTCTTTATGCGGCAAGCTTTGCGAAGGGGGTATGCTTGTCTTCGATGTAGAGGCCACTGCGGAGGCTTCATTGGAAGAGCCAGTTCCTTCACGACGAATAGCTTCTCTACTGGTTGCCCTGTCCTCGGATACCTCTTCAGGGACAAGAAGGTCCGGCATCACCCTCGTGTTCTCTTTGGGCTGCTTGTTGCCGCCTCTTTCCACTGGACTTCTTCCGAACGCCTTTGCATCGCGGTGAACGCGAGGCAACCTCTTCCTCACCTTGCCGACTCTCTGGTTCACCTCCTCCATGATATCCCCCTTCGGTCCCTCATCTCCGCCCTTCTCAGAGGCCTTCCTCGCCTCAGCCGCCCTGGCCTCCTTGGCCATGGCCTGGATCGCTGACACCATCTGCCTAAACTCCACTTCTCGTTCTCCCAATTGCAGATCGCCTTCCTTCCCTTGCCCAAGCACCGCGGCATTGTCCACCGCAGAAGGAGCGCCATTATCAACGGCGCGTTTCTCTTTGCCATCGGCGGAGCTGAAGAACCAGGTAGCGCAGGCGACCTGAAGAGTGACAAATCCGACCAGGAAGAGGGACCGGAGGAGGAATGCCCCCACGGCGTCACCCTGCTCGGCTCGTACGGCCCTCGATTCAGCGAATTCCATGGTGAAGGAGTGACCATCGACCTGGAGCTCCACAGTCTGCGCATCTTCCCCTACTCCTCTTTCCCCCGGAGATGGATCAGCCTCGGGAACCGTCTGAGGAGGAGGAGATGACGGAGTTAGGGTTTCCAGCAGCTTCGGCCGCAGACGGTTCGTCCGCCTGGCGGGGCGCCGGAGAGAGGGGAGAGACGCGGCGGCGCCACCAGCAACAGACCGGAGGACGGCAAGCCGCTTCGAACGGAAGGGGATGGGCCGGCGGGGAGCGGCGGCGAAGCGAATGGCCGCCGGAAGGGCTCTCCCCTCCGCTGCCATCGCCACAATCGCCCCCTCCCCGTTCTGCAGCAACCACCAGAAGCTCCCATTAGGCCCTTTACCCATAAGCACGTTTCCCGGAGTAAACGGGCCGGGCCGGGGGTATAACCCCTGCCCTCTTATCTGGATATTGGGCCTCAAAGTGAAGCCCAAATAAGGAAAGCAGATCGTTTTTTTCCTAAAAAGTTTGATTCAGAGAACCACTTTTGAGTGCGAGGAAGAAGATCGTGACATGGGAAGAAGATCGGAGCTGGTGATTTCTGTGTACACATAGATAGAGAGGACTCGATTCTGCAGGTGGTATCGTGATCTCCCTGCCGAAACCCAAAGCAGATTCTTTTTTCCCTAAAAAAGTTATATTCTGGGAACCATTGTTGGGTGCGAGTAGGAAGATCGTGAAACGGGAAGTAGATCAGAGCTGATAATTTCTGTGCACATATAGGGGGGGGAGAGTCGATTCTGCTGGGGTTGATCACTGCGCCGCCACCGGAGGCGTCGACTCTTCGGCAGAGGCCCCGAGAATCTTGGAGATCTTCTCGGTGGGCACCAGGGGGAGGAAGGTGGCCACGGCGTAGCCCCTTCCGGCGGCGCCACGGACGGCGGTGTTGTACTTCTCCGACCAGTGCGCCGCCGTGGGGACCGCCATTTGCGCAACCTGGGGGAAGAGCGGGAGGCGGTGGAGGGCCTGCCACGCCATCGCAGCGCAGTCCTCCGCCACTGGCTCGTACCTGGCGTAGAGCTGTTTGGCAGCGGGTTCGCAGTTGGCCGCGACGTTCTTCGCCAGATCGGCCGCCGCTCCTACCACGCCGGCGCGGTGGATCTCGCCGGCCACAGAGCGGGTGACCTCAGGGGCCTTCCGAGCCGACGCGTAGGCGTTCTTCACCGAAGGAGGGAGGTGGCTCACCGTCTCGTCGACCTGTCATAGGAGGGGGGGAAATCACGAAATCCGTAAGGAAATCCGAACTTCTTCAAGTCGATCATGATCATGAATGCAGAATCGGACCAAATCATAAAATCAAAGAGGAAATCCGAGCTTCTACAAGTCGATCCTGATCATGGATGCAGAATCGGACCAAATCATAAAAACCGCGATGAAATTCGAGCTTCTTGAAGTCGATACTGATCATGGATGCAGAATCGGACTAACCTTCTGGTCGACAGACTTGAGGAGATCGTAGGGGATGCCCTGGAACTTGTCGTAGACGGGGCCGATGACGGTCTTGACGGCGCCTTCCATGGTGTGGACTCCGGGCCTCAGAGGGCCCGAGTTCTCCCTGGCATAGACGTAGAGCCTCGAGAAGCACATCAGCGCCTGCATCGCCGCCAGGTGGATGAACCCCAAGTACTTCAGGCTCTCCTCCGCCTGCGCCTGTGCCTCCATGCTCTGGAAAATTCCGAAATCAATTAACAGGGGATCTCCAGAAACCCTAATGGATGAACTTCCTGGCAAATTTTTCAAAGAAAACCGCATCGTCGGTCGGGAAAATGGAGGGAGATGATGACTTACCATCTCCGGCAGTTGCTCTGTTGCAGGTTCCGCCATGATCGACCTTCTAGGGATCTCCTCGTGGATCGTTGAAAACCCAGAGAAGAGGACGAATCGACCGGGAGAGTGTCGAAAGAGGGGGAGAGGAGCAGGGGGAAATAGAAGGAGCGTGAGGCAGAAGAGCGTGTATAATGGCTATTTAAGGCAAAAGCGGCTCTCTGCTGTTAGATCGAGTCTAATCGGACGGCTGAGTATTGAAGGATCGCATGTCGTTTTGTGGCCAATCGGGTTCTTCAGAATCGACACGGTTTCCCACAAGCTTCATGGCTAAGTTTCGGCCTGACCGTCCGACCACGGTACGTCACTCTCTCTCTCTCTCCCTCTCTCTGTCTCTCTCTACTTAGTGCCGTGGAAATCAAACGCTGTATTTAATTATTCGTGGGGAATCTAATCGTAAGGAAATAATTCCGGCGAGTTTTTTAAGATATCAAAGCAAAATAACTCAGATTGGAAACGCCTAATATCGTAAAATATTCCTCCCTTTGAAGACCTTCAAGAAGTCAACGGGTCATTAACCGTGGCCCCACAACTACGATTTGCAAATTTTTCAGTCAAATTTCAGTTTCATTAAAAACGTTTTTAACAAATCCAATTTTTACCGACGTTGACCTCCTTGAGATCGCGTAGACTACAAGTCAACGGTGAATTAAAGAGATCTTGAACAATTATAGAAGCAGTGAGAAAAGGAAAAAAAAGCCCTAACCCATACGCACATTAGCAAAAGTTCCTCTTTTTGCCAGACAACCCGGTGGAAGTCAACCAGGTCATGGCCCCAAGACTTTTTGATAGGAGTCAAAGAAAGTAAGCGGCTAAAATCAATGAAATCGCAGCCGTCTATCAGATGGAGTCAAACGGATCCCCTGATGGTTTTTAGGGAAAAGTAGGAGATCCTCAAGAGCACATTTACATCATCTTTCAAAACCAGAGGGACAGCATCAAGAGGATGGAGAAGAAGAACCTGAGGAGGATGAGTTCTAGAGGGAATTGACCATCTTCTTCATCTCGGCGGACCTCCTCGGGTCGGGCTCAGCGATCGCCCTCTCCGTTAACACGTGCTTGATGCGGCACATCGATTTCCTTACCTGGATTTCATACAACACAGGACAATATTCAAATATATATTCTACATATGTATATATATATATATATATATATATCGAGAGAGAGAGAGAGAGAGAGAGAGAGAGAGAGAGAGAGAGAGAGAAAGAGAGAGAGAGAGAGCCAGGGAAGGAGGGAGGACCCTTAAAAAGGAAAGTTCTACCAATCGATTTTATTGTGCTAGCCTATGGATACCACCGGACCATTTTAATTAGCTTTGATGAACACTTGCTCTCCAATTATATTCATCCATGAAGACGAGGGCTCTTCATGTATTATGACTCTCAGAAGAGGAGAGGAGGATGAAGAGAAGTGAAAGAGACTAACCTTTGGGATACGCTCCGGATTGGGAAAGCGTAGGTTCTGTGCGTTGAGCATCTGCCGCTGGGACATGAGCATGTTCTTTTCCTTCAGGAGCACGTACCACAACTTCTGAAGATCATCCCACGATTTGAGACGTAGTTCGGAGGCCTTCCAGCTTCGTCCTGGAAAACGGTGAAGATTCCAATGGTCTTTCAGGTGAAATATCTGTGGGTGATTTGTTGCGATGAGAGCAAATAACCATCTTATATGTCATAAATATTCAACCGAACCAAATTAAAAAAATTATGGATTGCCCTCGACCATATAAACCATACAAGCATAATAAATCAGGTAATAGAAGATTAAAAGAGATTTTCTTCCATCATAAGGAATAAGAGCTATATTAACACTCAAACAGCGATATACCAAACTTGAGTGCACTAGAAGAGCAACAAACCTTAAAAAAAATTAAAAAAAAAAAAAAAAAAAACCATTATAGAATCATCTTCACGTTGCAAAGATGAGAAGCACTCTATTGAAGTAAGTTCTATCATTGAAAGAACTTAGTAAAAGTAACATTGAAGAAGAAGGATTTTCTGCACAATGTTTTACCTGACATCCTTTGTCGAGTTGGATGCGTTGAGGAGAATGTATTGTTTCGATGCAGTCAAGGGATTTTATTCTTCTTTATTTAATATTGGACGCATTTTATCTTCATCCTTTGAAAATTCCACCTTTTTTTTGACAAACGAATTTGGCTTAGCTGTGAAAATAATACAAAATGTTGCATCTATACATGATAAAGCCCAGTGCAGTAATTCAGAAGAAACAGATTCACTTTAGTTCAGTGAATCTTTAACACATTCACGTCGTATGAATCCAGTATTCTTTCACGTTATGTCATCCATTTGCATCAAAGTGATGTACAAGCAAGAAAATCAAAGAGACTAATGGATGAATACTCGTTATGCTTTGCTGTTTTCAGTTTATATAAACTGTTCAATTACTTCCAATATTTGATAAACATATATCACCACTTTTCTTATCTCCAAATAAATTAAAACTATGAGTGCTTCAGATAAACTATAATACCGAGCATAACTCAAAAGACTGATGAATCAGGGGACTGTAAATAACTTGGAGTTTTGAACTCAACCCTAATTTTCCCAGACAACTGATTTTTTATAAGATATGTTTTCGAGTTCCTTCAAACGCATCAACGAATGTGATGTTTTCATTTCGACACATAAATGTTTTTGCCGCATTTTTAGTTCAGCTGCTGACCATTATTTTAGATCCTCCTCTTTGCCCAAATGTGATTTCATTGATATTGATAAATATTGCTGGTAACATAGATTGGATCGTTAATTTTAATGAATGGAAGTTTTCTAAACATTTAAAGCCCAAAATAAGTCCGTCATTCTGTTTAGGTCTTATCCAGTCAGTTTAACTTGACCAGATAAGAGTTCTCATTCCTCACCCCGTCTGGTTTCTAGAACATTTCCCTAAAAAATAACCACATCTCTTCTTGGTTTGAGCATTCTACACAGGAAACACACAACTTTCAAAGCTACATCCACTGTCCGCACACATTTCCTCAGTTAATGTCTTTCGAAAGGCAATGATCTATCCTTCCTGTACGCTTTCACCATTGTTCCAATTAGAATTTCACGATGCGGAAGAAGACCAGAGCTTCCATCTTTGATGTTTTTCATCTAAATCCCTGATTATGACAACAATATGTCTCATACCCCAACAGACATATCATACCACGGTTTGCGCGAGCAACATCCTTCATCATGCCTTGATACTAACCGCTTTTCCAAAGCATCCGTCACCGCCGCAAACCTCCTATTCGGAGGCCTCAATCCACAGAAATCCTACGGAAGGGAGTGAGGAAGTAAAACATAACAGGAGATGGCGAGAAAGATCGAGTACCATACACCACAGGCGTCTCATCGTCGGGATTTCTGTCCAGCTCAAAGAACTCTTCCAGAGGGTTGCAAGCCACCCGAGGTGTAGCTGTTGCGGCCGCTGCAGAGCCGGCGGAGCTCTCCGACTTGGCGGCGGCGGCCAGGAACCTCCTCCCGAGCAGTCTGTACAGGAGCATCGTCCTTGCTTCGGGCGATCTCTCCGTCTCTCTGAGGGTTTTCTAGGGCTTTTCTCCAGATCTGCCGGAGAGAGGGGTTTAGGCCCCCTGGCGCTTCCAACTCGGCATGACCCGCCAGTTTCGGCAGAGTTAACACGGGAGACCACTCGGCTGATCACGACCGTTGATTGCGCGGCAAAATTTCGAGGGCTAACGAGCCGGGCCCACGCACCCCTCTTCCCTGACATGAGGGGGCTGCCACGCCACCATCGGGCCCGGGCCATGGAGGGCCTGGACTTAAGGATTTGTCCGCCCTGCGACAGGCCCAGCCCCTCGATAGGCCCTTAAGACTCGGGGTACGTGGCATCAAAACGGAAACGGTACGGGTACGGAACGGAATCAGTCAGCAACTCGGCACGGTTCGTCCGCCATGACTCGGAAACGGTGTCGTATTTTAAATAGTAATTTCTGGGTCTCTCATTTTCGGCGGGAGTGGAAGAGGGCGGGAGCGGGATTACGAAGGCGATTGGCGGGGGGGATGGTGGGGTTTATCCATCGCTCGCCGGGTGCCCATGAGGGATCTCGGGCGAACTAGGGTTTTCTTTTATTGGCGCGAAATCGCAGGGTCTTGTCGTTCCCGACTTCATCCAAGTCGTTCGCCTCAAGTGGCAGATTACTCTGCCCCGCCAAGAAGATCTGTTTTCGAGCTGTTTTTATCAGTTTGTATCAATTGGTCTGGCGGCTCTGTCTCTCTTTTTTGCGTGGGGTTCGTGTTCTATCACCTGCAGTGTGCGCTGGTTCCTGGGTTTAGGCCGTCAGAACAGAATTCGAACAAGTTTGCCCGCTCGAGAAATGGAGTGAGCGCAGCCGACTTGTGGACCATTTTGCTTCGCTGAGTTCATGAGGTGATCTTCGTCTTTACTATGCATTTTCCTTCGTTTTTGTTACTTGAGGATGAGATATGCTGCTTCTGATGTCACTGATAGGATCAAAGGGCTTTTGGGGTTTGGGGGACCGGTGGGGAGGGATGGGGGGTGGGGGGTGGTTGGGGTTGAGTGCAGGGTATCTCTGAACAGACTCTCTCTCATTAAGGGATTATGGTTGATGATTAATTGATACTTATTCTGGACAAGGATGCTTAAAACTTGGAGGAGAGCTTTATTCATCTTCCAATTTATTTGATCTTAAAGATATTGCGATGCTGGCTCTTTTTTAGATTAACGGAATTGGGGTAATTGATTGATTGATATTTTTTCTCGCCAGGGGATAATTAGAGCTTAAAGGAGCCATTTTTTGTATTCAATTTAGTCTGTCTACTTATTTTTAGTCGTTATTTCGGTGTTTACGATCTTGACATGTTGTTCATGTCTATTTTCCCCTAAGATCTTTTCAATGGGCTTAAAACACTGGTCATTTTTTTTAATATTTTACTTGTACGCTTAATTGTGTTTGGTTTTCATTTAGATGGCAGGAGTAAGTGGTGATTGCCCGACAATCAAGGCTATCACTAAGGGAGTGATTCACAGAATTTGCTCAGGGCAAGTGATTTTGGATCTCTCAGCTGCTGTCAAAGAGTTGGTTGAGAATAGTCTGGATGCTGGTGCGACCAGTGTTGAGATTAGTCTAAAAGAGTATGGTGAACAATACATTAAAGTTACAGATAATGGCTGTGGCATCTCACCGAAAAATTTTCAGGTAATTGATGTAATATTCTTTGTTATTGTCCTTTTCTTCCTTGCCTCTGCATTTTTATATCTCTCTTTTGTTAGGTTTCTTTTTTTAATGGTAGTGAGAGTCAACATCTGCTGTTTTCCCCAAACGTATGACATTCAACTTGTCTACCAAGAATGATAGTTTAATTCATATTCTAACAGTTCGACATCATGAACATCTCTTTTTTTAAATTGATTTTGAATACATTATTTTGATATCTGGTTATGAATCAGCGGATTTGTAAATAGACTGTTCATCGTGAAATGTCCTCAAGGTAGTCGGGGTGGTGATCTGCCAACTTACTGCCTAAGCAACATGGTGACATTTCGTAATGCCTAAGTTTAAAATAATCTAAGATAAATTATTTTAACTCATACACTTGTTTTTAGTTAAGTTCTTATACTATGAATTATTTATGTTCCATGTAATGAAAAAATCGCTCATAATTTTCTCAGCCATTCCAGACTTTCATGTCCCAATTCAATTTCTAATTGGGCATCTTGGTTCCATAGCTGCCGTGGTTTATGAATGTCTTTATCTGATGCATCCATTTAGTTTCCGATTGTTGAGGATTAGGCTGACAGACCTCTTTTATGAATAATAATTCATCTCATGCATTCTTTGACGAAGCCTTTCCTCTTTTAATGGGTAGAGATCATTACTAGTACGTGTCATTGCTGGAAGCTGGCTCATAAATGTGTTTTCTTCTTCATCGTATAGCACGCCTGATGTAACCAGACCACCTCACGGATGAAGCTCCCTGCAATTTCCTGAGCTGTATGGGCTCGAAGGTTCTCAAAATAAGCAGGCCTTCCTTTATTTAGTACCCTGGAGTAATTTCATGGAATAATGAATCATCAAAAGACCAATAAACTTTTACGTCTTTCACTCAGCCTGTTAAAACCAGTTACCGGGCATTAACCTTCAAAATTTCCCTCCTACCTTTGAGCATAGATCTGGTGAAAAGAATGCCTTTTTTAGTTAACTAGTGATAGTGTGGTAATTCAGAGAGCTCTTTTCTAGTTGTAGAAATTCAGAGAAATTGCATAATCCTTTTTATTGTTTGTTATGAACTTTTTCTTCTTCCCAGGACTGAGTTACTGGTCGCTCTATTCCTTGCAGGTTCTTGCACTGAAGCATCACACCTCTAAGATATCAAACTTTCCTGATCTTCAGTCATTGACAACGTTTGGCTTTAGAGGGGAGGCCTTGAGCTCTCTTTGTGCATTGGGGAGCCTGTCTTTGGAGACAAGAACTAAGAATGAGCCAGTGGGCACGCACTTGACCTTTGACCAATCCGGTATAATAAAATCTGAAAGAAAAATAGCTCGGCAAGTTGGCACAACTGTCACTATTGAGAATTTGTTTTCCACTTTGCCAGTAAGAAGAAAGGAATTTAGTCGTAATATCCGACGAGAATATGGGAAGCTTGTTTCTTTACTGAATGTGAGGAAACTATATTCTCTAATTCCACGTGAATTTGTTCTGGTTGTATACCATATGTGATTTATATGGCTTGATTATCATGTAATATTTTCATGACGGTGGTCATAGCTTTAGAATTACTTTTCATCCTGATGAGTATAATTTAGTGTACAATGCGATTGTCATATAAAGTCTGAAATGATGAATCACTGAAGAGCTCATGTTCGAAAAGACATTCAGGTTAGGCCAACTAGCATCCATGCCTAGGTTCATGTTCCTGTTCCTGTTCCTGTTCCTGTCAGCACTAAGTGGCATTTGGATTTTAGTCAACTAAAAAGCATCTCTAATCTTTCCCCAGAGTGCATAGAGTATAACGCTTTGAAGAATGGCTTATGTATAAAAGTGGTCTTGTGGAGCTTGTTCTAGTTGTTTTTTTATCTCTGCTGGTAGGATTTGCCTTTTTTGTGTGAAATAATAAGGTTTTGTATATAGCTCTCATTTTCCTCAGATTTGCGTTCATATTCAAATCACTAAAATATCATGCCTGCTTCTCTATGTGCATCTGACATAGCAACTGAACTTACATCCTTCTTTTTCCTTTTAGGCATATGCACTGGTTGCAAAAGGCGTCCGGTTTGTTTGCACGAATACGACTGGGAAGAATGCGAAATCTGTGGTACTTAAGACTCAAGGAAGTAGTTCTCTTAAAGATAACATCATAAATACATTTGGTCTGAACACTTTCACGTGCCTCGAACCACTGAGTTTATCTGTATCCGAGGCCATCACGGTTGAGGGCTTTCTATCGAAACCCAGGCAGGGGACTGGTCGTAATCTAGGTGATAGACAATTTTTTTATGTCAATGGACGTCCTGTGGATATGCCGAAAGTTGGGAAGCTTGTGAATGAATTGTACAAGTCCTCAAATTCAAAGCAGTACCCTATTGTCATCCTTAACATCATCATGCCAACACAATCATATGATGTAAATGTAACTCCTGATAAAAGGAAGATTTTCTTCTCAGATGAGTGCTTTCTCATCAGTTCTCTAAGGGAAGAGATAGAGAAGATTTATTCTCCCGGCCAGTGTGGCTATACTATTAGCAAGATTGAGTCCATTGAGGAGATGGATGCTAATGACTCAGATACTCCTGATAGCGGCAATGATCTCCCTACATCAGCTAGACCACTTACTATTATAGACAATGAGCAACTAGAAGCTGGCAGCTGTCAAGACTTTGTGTCAGATGATATTTCTTCTAAGATGATTGAAGTAATTGACCGAGATGTTCATGGGGACAAAGTGACTTCTCCAATCAGGGGCGAAATTCCTGTAACAAAGAAGGCGAAATATAGTGCCCAAGATGAGCAGCATGAAATTTTGACTGCATATCAGTGTACACAATCCAGAAGCTCTCATGCCTCTCCTCCTGGAAGATTAGTTAAGTGTGATGTTGTTGCAAATGCCAACTCATCCTCTGGACTAAAGTTCGTTCAATCTTCTCTCACCAAATTTGTAGATGTGAAGAAGAGGAAGGATGAAAGTAGTGTATGTTCTGAATTGCCTGTGCTGAGAAACAATATCACGCTGGCCCAAGAAGGGAAAACAACTTCAGAAGCCGATACTACATGTTTTGAAATGCTTTCCTCTTATCTTCAAGACGATACTTCCTCAGAGACCAGTCAAAATAAATTCTTGGAAAATTCTGGGTCGTGTAATGTCATGGAAAAGATGAAAGTTCATAGCTCTCCTGTATGTTGTGTCGGAAAAAATGAGGTATGTGAAAGATAATTTAGCAAGTACTTTAGATATAATCAATGTACACAATTTCTTTTGATATCTATTTTATCTTATATCAATCTAATAGTGGTACGCCATTTTATGATTGGAAACTTCATTACATCCTTAGCCAGGTCGTGCGTATGCTGTTTATATTGGCGTCACTTTCAGTTGCTGATAGCTACTAACCATTCTAACATACCGTAATTCCATGTTTTGTCATGGTAATATCAATAAAATGTATGCTCACTTGGACATGGAGACTGCTTAATCATAAAGTGAGCAAAAAAGATGTTTGTGGTCTTGCTGTTGTTTGCTCTACAGGGGAGTTACTTGACACATTTAAGCACATAAACCTAATTATGAAAAATGCAATTTTTACGAAAAATGTAAGTTTGTAGAATGGAGCATAATGTGGAGTGAGTGGATTTATCTTTCAGGTTTATTGTCTTTAGAAACCAACATATTCCATTCTCTCTGTTCCTATTTAGCAGGATCAAAGTCATGCTATTGTCAAATGGATTATTCAGAAGAAAATGATATATAACTTTTGCGTTTCACGTCGTTTGAATGTCATACATGCATTTCGCGTTTAATTTTACCAATATTACTATTTTCAAAGTAAGCTTTATAAGATTCTTCTTTTTCCCTTTTTTTTTTTTTGGAGCGTGAGATATTTGATATTGAGTCTACCGCATGCTTACCTACCTTCTTATTGAGACATACTCCAGATACAGTTTTTTGAAGCACTTCCCTCTTCTGTTCTTCTGTACACTACAAATACATTCCTGTATATACACTGTCATAGTTTATTTTATATCAAATTTTATTTTATCAGGTTTTGTATTCTTTTTCTCGTGTTATTATTCTTTGAAATCTTCATATTCTTGTTGTATGATTCATTTGCTCTAATGAAGCAAAGGTTTCCTGTATTCTCTCTGAAAAATCTTTTATACGTTGATTACAGTGTACGACCTGAATATTTATATCATCCTAGCTGCTTTGACTGGATTTGTCGTACACTAGAGATCAAAGGATTCAAGCAGAAAATCTTTCTCAGATTTTAACTCTTGTAGATGCGGTAATATCCATTTGTTAGATGATCATATACTTCTATTGGAAATATGTTGCGTGTTCATATCCGAACTCTTACTGATTATTATGTTTATGTACTTTCACTTTGATGTTTGTGATCCTGACTATGAATCTCTCTATATTTTCTAGGAAGATTTAAAGTGCCAGGATTTATCTTTATACCCAGATGATGTGGACAGACAAACTCCACCTATTGAGAATGCTGAAAATTTGGCTGGTTGTCTTTCCAGCCCTACATCAGATAATGAAACTGCCAGCTCATTAAAGGCCTGTTCTTCCGGAGGATCTTCTTTTCTGCAATTTAACATCAATGCAGTTAGAGCTAGAAGGACTCAGTGCTCACGTTTTCATTCAATCATCTCAAACAAAAGAATAAATACTCGAAGGTCATCATATTATTGTTTTCTTTGTTAGTCTGACATGTATAAGGATTCTCAGCTATTTTTTTCTCATTTATTTATTATTTTTTATGATGTTTTAGGTGCTACACTGCGGCAACGTTAACCATTTCTCAATCAGAAAATGAGAACGACAAAGCTGAGCTACTGACGGCAGCTACCATCGAGTTGGAGAAATATTTCAGAAAACAAGACTTTGGAAGAATGAAGGTTTTTCCTCCCATTCTGGCACCCGTAAAATGTGATGAGTATAGGATCCTGTAGATTCTTTCTTCTCATGAGATGTAAAATGAGGATACTGTCTAGTAAATGACTCTATGTTAGATTATATGCAATAATTCACTGAAATGCTAACCTAGCCATGGGAGATTATTTAAGTCATATTTTGCAGATATAGATCCTTACATGTTTTTCGTACAATTTCCTACGTTGAATATCTTGCTTCCTTTGTCAACTAGTCTGTTACTTTCCGTTTTTTTTTTCTTTGTTTAGATCTTCCAACAGAACGCAGCTGATTGTCATTTTGTGTCTAGATTTGGCTGATCTTGTATTTTTTTTTACAAATGTATCTGACCATTTCGTCCGGTGATAATTTTCTTGTTAGTTGAATGAGTGGACATCTGTCTTCCTGTCTTTTACGAACTTTTTTTTTTACCACTGGTTTACTCAAAGCGGCTTTCCATAGAGAACAATATTTGTCCATGTTTTGATTTTAGCACTGGGTTGTCTCATAATTTTTTTTACTTGTGCCGTCAGCTGGCGTTTGTGTTGGTCCTTTTTGTTGTTCCTACGGTCCCCAGAGTCAACTTCATTGGAAATCATAACTTTGGGATAATGTTCCTTGGACAGTTTCTGAAGCTTCGTATGAGTTTGTATTAAAAATTTGTTTTTTTAGTCTAGTATGACAACTTTCTTTAAAAGTTCTCTTGGAATGAAAAAAATGTGGGTACCAGTCTCTTGCCTTTATTTTTCTTTGGACTTCTGATGGCAGACATTCTATAATAATGTTCATATTGTTTTTTTAACTGGTGTGTTGTATCGTTCGTTCCATTTTCTTTTTTTAATCTTCCATCACGCACAAAAGGTTCGTCTATCAGCAATATGCCTGCCCTCTGCTACCTTTATCAGCAAAACGCACGGACTTCTATTCCTTGTTTTTCTTACTGGCGACTGTGGCACGTGGATACATGTCTTGGCTAATCTCTAGTTAGTCTTTAGTGCAGATTTTTTTTTTCTTTTCATAGCTTTTTATTCACCACCTTTCCCATGGTGATTGGTCTTGTTAGATTCAGTTCTGAGGAAAACGTGACTGACAGGATGCGTACTTCTTATCAGGTCATTGGACAATTCAATCTTGGTTTTATTATTGGGAAGTTAGATCAAGACTTATTCATTGTTGATCAAGTAAGGCTCCAAGATCTTTTTTTCGCTGTTAGTCTCATGGGAATGATCCTCTCTTCTGATCCTTTCTTCAATGTTTCTTGAAAATTTCTCTCATGAGAAGCTTGAATCTTATTAGAATAGTCTTTTTTTCCTTTTTATAGAAGAAATTTTGGAACATATGAGCTTCAGACGACTCTAAAAACTTCCTTCCTTTCGTTGCCTCAACTTGCAGCATGCTGCGGATGAAAAATATAATTTTGAACGACTTGCGCGATCGACTAACTTGAGCCAACAGCCACTACTTAAGTGAGTTTCTTTCCCTTTTCTTGTGCTTTGTATTTTAGGCACTCATCAACAAGCCTATTGAACAGAGTACTACGGATTGAAATAGTTATATTTAAAAGGATTCACCGGTGTCTTGACAGAACGGATGAAAATAATTTCAGACTGAAATGATTGCATTCACAGAACGGTGTACTGTTTTTGATGACCAGTGCCTTAAAAAGGATTCATCACTTGGAGAGTCTTACGCTTTTTCATCCTTTCTTTTTCAATGCTACAGGCCTCTGAGGTTAGAGCTGTCACCAGAAGAGGAAGTAATTGCGTTTATGCATACGGAAGTAATTAGGTACGCTTGCTTCAGAATTGTTAAGTCCCAAACCCTGTCCATCAGTTAACTCTCATTCAATTGTTTTAGCCCATTGAATTGCCTTTCCTTGAGCTGCTTTTAATTGTGCAATTTAATTGGACAATCTTGTTGATTATATGTCACATTTTATAAGGTAGAGGATTTGGTTTTCCTTATGTATCGACTGTGAAATGCATCTGGATGGGTCTTCCTCTGGGAATCCATGTTACTATATTAAATTATGTTGCCACATAAAACTCAAATATATGAGATATAAATTGGTGGTACACGGAAAATATGTTGATCGAATGTTCAAAGGCACTGGTGCCAGGGTTGGACGAATGGTTATGGTTAGCCCTTAATGTCACTAATCAGTAGGTTACTTTTAGACTTCACCAGTAGTGACTCTTTTGGTAATGTACAGAAAAAATCTTTTTAGGATATCACAACATCTTTGGAAGAACTTCATTCTTTATCACCATTTTCCTCTTGAATGATTGCATCTTCGTGGGGATTTTTCATGTCATGGGTTCTCTGGAAGAGGGGCACCAGAGTGCTGCCATCATCAAGAATGATCATTTACTGGAGAAGCTTCTTGATGCATAAGTTGTGTGAGAAGTCAAGGATCTTAGATATTGATGTAGCATCACAACCTGTAAAGTTGGAAGGAGGAGGCTGAATCTCAAACAGGTTGGAGAAAAGCTCACAGACCGTCGAACTAAAGAAATTATAGGAGTTTTATTGATATGATCAGAAAAAAGGATGCCCCTATATAGCCAACAAAATATTAGCCAAATGAGTAATATATCTTCTGGTGTAGTCACTTGTCAGGGGTGATTTTGGCCTAGTGAGAAAAATAACAATTAAAATTCTTAAGAAAGAAGTACTCCGAGACTATCCTATATGGTTATAATCAGCTGCGTTTTACACGACTTACGGTTGACTTATCTAACTTTAGCTAATTCTTGGGATGGAGAATCCTCTACATTAGGCAGGCATCTTTGGGGTCCTTTCACAATGTTTTCCCGACTTTATTGATATTCATATAGATACAGCTAAAGACTATTAAAGGCTTGGCCTGACCAGGGCTATTCTTTTTGTCTGACGCAGAATAATCAAAGAATTGCTCAGCTCTGGGTTTTACATATCAAAAACAGGTTACTGCAGATCTGTAGAATCTTCTGGCAGATTATTTCATCTGCTGTCGTGGTGTAATGCAGAGACATCGAAGGGAGAACATGAAGAGAGGGTAACATAAAAATTCGCTGATCTGAAAAGAGAAAAAAAAGTGCGATTTATCACGTATTAAGTCTATCGAATAACCTTTTCTCAACCTAAATTCGTCGCCTATAAAATTTAAAATAAAAAATAGGAGAAAAATGCATTTCTCTTAACCATGCAGGATTATCTTCTCTATCTTGCTATCTTCTGAAAGCACCTCTGATCCCCCCATAGAACTCGAATTTTTTCTTCTATTCGGCAAGTGATACCTAGTTCTTGTCTGTGCATGGTTATGTACACTAGTAACTTTTTAGCCGTTGACTTTTGACAACTCTTCCTTTTTTGTATCACTTGGTCCTTGTATTTATGTCTACAGGAAAAATGGTTTTTCTCTTGTTGAGGACGTTGATGCTCCCCCTGGCCAACATTTTCTGTTAACAGCTGTGCCTTTCAGTAAGAATATGACTTTTGGAGTGGAAGGTAATCATATTTTGGTCTTTTTGCATATAAAAATAGTGGGTTTAGTAGACTAGTCATTCTGAAGACACCTGGTTCTGCAACGTCGTTGAAACAGATGTTAAGGAACTCATTTCCATCCTTTCTGATGCTCATGGGGAGTGCTCTATAATCAGTAGCTACAAAATGGACACTCAAGATTCTCTCTGTCCATCAAGAGTCCGCTCTATGCTGGCTTCGCGTGCTTGTCGCTCTTCTATTATGATCGGGGATCCCCTTGCAAAGAACGAAATGCAGAAGGTGATCCCCTTTCTTTTTATTTTGGTTTTTTTCTAGTAGCGACCTCTTCCAAATATATTGGTTTTATATTTGATACCAGCTTTAATAAACCTGATAAATTAATTTTTTCCATTTCCTTTTAAATCGTTAATAATGCAATTCGGATCTCTCTTCTGGGGGGGTGGGGTGGATTGTTCTTTGACCAATCTTTTGAGAAACCAGTGAGGAAATTTGGTGATGAGAACTGTTTGATATTGTTAAGGTTGATATGGTCACTTCATGCCACACAGTCCCATTCGATGAAAGAACTTGAAGTGTGTTTGAGAAATCATAGGACATAATCGAGCAATTTGGATCAGCCAAGTTCCACACACAGAGGTTGCATGGATCCACTTCATGTGGAGCTGTGCGGGCATAGATGAGGGCCAAACGGTTTGATTGAGTAGAGAGAGGGCCAAGAGAGGAGCACTGGGTATTTCTTCTGCAGCAGCCAGGAATTGAGGCCTGAAACCATTTTATTATGAGAGATTTGGGGTGATGGATAACCTTTTTCCACATGAAAGCACCTCCCACCATCACTCGTGCACTGGCTGAGGAAAAATATGCTGCCCAGTGAGTGAGAAGCTGCTCGTTGATGCTGCATTTTTATGAGCGAGAGCGAGAGAGAGAGAGAGAGAGAGAGAGAGAGAGAGAGAGAGAGAGAGAGAGAGAGAGAGAGAGAGAGAGAGAGAGAGAGAGAGAGAGAGATAGACGGACAGACAGAGACAGACAGAGACAGACAGAGACAGAGATAGAGACAGAGATAGAGACAGAGATAGAGACAGAGACAGAGACAGAGACAGAGACAGAGACAGAGACAGAGACAGAGACAGAGACAGAGACAGAGACAGAGAGACAGAGAGACAGAGAGACAGAGAGACAGAGAGACAGAGACACAGAGAGACAGAGACAGACAGAGAGTCCATAAATTCAAACCAAATGCCCGTCTAATCCTCCAATGACTTTCATTCTCTAATAAGCTGCTTATTGACGCTTCAGTTTTTCCATCTTCTTGCCTCCCTCAGTTGGACTCACATGCTACCCCTTCCTTATGGGCCACAGATAGTCCAGAACCTGGCGGGCCTCAAGTCCCCATGGAACTGTCCCCATGGCCGGCCGACGATGCGGCACTTGGTGGACTTGACCAGCATCTCGGCGGCGCCCTGATCCGACGGTCCTTCCATTCAGCTCCCAAAGGCAAGTGACGTGCCTTATTCTTGTATATGTTTCTCTCTTCTTCTATGAAAGGACAGATGAGAATGGGAATGCCATGTACAGACCAGCCGGTTTTTCCCTCAATGGAGCCGCTTTATTTACTAGTCTGCCCCGAAAGTTCAGATTTTGAGAACTACCCAAGGTCGCCAGTGTGTATACATGTCCATTTTCGGGCTTTTTTTTCTTACCCACATTTTTTTTCGTAAAAATATCATCAGAAAATTAATAATTTAAGCACCGACTTTCCACCTTGGGCAGTGGAGTAAAGAGGAAGGGGGCCGGATGGGGCCTGTTGCTGGGCAAATCAATGCGATTCAATGCGTCAGTTCCCAAATTTGGTACCTTAATTTCTTATTTTTCAGATCAAATTAGTTAAAATGAACACGCGGATCAATAAAAACCATAGCTAAAGGTCAACAAACAAAAATGGCGATATATATTTTTTAGCTTAGCTTGTCGGATTTCATACCATGACCTGGAGACTAGTCAGTCAATGCACCTTTCTTACCAGCCTATTTTTGGAAATAATCACGCAGATAAATAAAACCATGGTTCAAGGTCAACCACAAAGATCTTAACATTTTTTTTCTGAACCAGAGACTAACCCATGACACTTCAATTATAGCTACATAGGGCTTGGACTGAATGCCAAACCTGCTGTGGAAAAAACGACCAGTCAGCCAAGTGTTAACTATGTTGCCAGGATTAGAAGTTCACTTATGGAGAGTCAACGAATTTGAATTTTTCAAGGCAAAGTCAATAATTTGGCGGCAGGAGGAGAGGAGAGCGGCTCTTGTTGTCCCTAAAATGGAGGCGTTGATGGGATGAACGCTCCCCCATCATCCTCATCCTCCTCATCCTCATCATCTTCATCCAACCAGTTACTAGCATGATGCTTTGAGCAGTGATCACTGGCCATCTCTGCACTCTCTGCAAAACATTGGAAAGGAAATTGGTTAAAGAGCGTATGGAACTTTCCAACATTATGATTTGATTTGGGAATTACCTTGAAGCTCGTCCAGATGATTGGTTTCCATGTTGCAAGGAGATCTATTTCGTGGCTTGGGTCAAGGCAAAAAACTAATTAAAATATAATGAAATAAATCAAAACATAGATTGAGATCAAGATAGAAAGGTCAAAGATATAACAGGATCTAATGGGTAGTTCAGAAACAGCTTAGGATCGCATGCTCCACAGAGTGGGTGGGAGTCCTGGAATGGATAAATGGGCACAGGTGGCACTGCCTTGGGTTCTGAAAGCTAGAAGCCAATTATACGTTTGGGATTCGAATACATTAAAACAATGATCAATAGCATGTTCAATGCTCATGTAGAATATGAAAGAAAGACTGAAGGATGAATAAAGAAAATAAAAAGAGAAATCAGCCTCATGATGACCTGCAAAATCCATTGAGAAACCTTCTGTGCATTAAATCAGGGAAGGGAGATGAATATACTGAAAAAATGGGAAATAGGCCCCATGATATTCCTTGGTGTTAACTGAAAATGATATACATTACGGTAAACTAATTTCATCTAAAAAATCAGGAAAAATAATTGGCTAATGCAAAGGAATAGTTATTACTTCCGGTTCAATGTTTGCATGCATGGGCAATTTAAGGTAGTTTTTCCCTGGTCCTAGCACAGGTCCTCATACATGAGTAGTCAACTCATTGAGTCGACCTGATCAAGGAAAAAGTAGCGGTAGAAACCTGAGAAAGATTGAATCTCATCAAAGAAGAAATCCTTGTCATGGAGAAGAAATGATAAACTACATTAGAATAATGATCAACAAGTAGGGAAGAAAATAGGATCCCAATCTGTATAGAATGGCAATGGTCAAGAAAAACCTGCAAAGTATTACTTGATTTTTTCTGCACTTTTAAGAACAAAGAGCATACTCAAATCTGGTTGGTGGCAAATTCATAGTTTCAGTTACATAACTGAGCGACGATATCTGCTTGAAAGAGAAATAAATGTTGTTGAATGATTAAAAGCAAATAATGCCGGTAGATAATTATGTATAATAAATAACATGAAGTTCTTGCAGCAAAGAACACTTTCCAAGGATCACCTCGTAAGAGCTGACACTTTCAATAGCAAAGTCTCTCTGCTTACCAAATCTACTGAAAATGCACAGTGAGGATACGAGAACAATCTATCAACTCTTTCAGAAGGATTATTAGATCTATCCATTGAATTAGGCCCCATCGTGACATGAGAAGGGCAGCTTGGATTTCCATCATCTTGGACTCGTCTTTCTCTGGCAACATCAGAAATGTTTACAGCAATTCCTGGTCAACATTAGCAAGCCAGCCACATTATTAGGCATCAAAACTATCACTGGCAAGACGCTATCCATGAAGAGTAGTTACCTGAGAGCTCAGATAATATGTTCACGTTATCAGAAGGCTGGTTAGCAACAGGGGTTTGAGTTCCAGTCCTGGCGTGTTCTGCTTGAGAGCCTACTCTGGTCAGTGTTCGGCACTGGGGAGTGCTCCCTTCAGGAAGTTGAGACGCAAGCATAGTACAGAGAACCAGTGTTGCATCACAATCTGAATTGGACGCATCATCAAAACCGAACTTTGGTGCCATCAGAATCGGTCTGTTGAGACAGAAAGAAGTTTCCACATAGAATTAAATTAGGAAACTTGAGAAAAATAGAAGTATTCTGATCTCAGTTTATCTATCAAAATGGACACCATGAGAAAAATAAAAACAATGGATAGGAACTATGAATGGCTTACTCGCCAGCTTTCTCGAAACACAGAAGAATGTCAACTTCGCATCCTTCACAAAACGAAAGAAATGCCTAAATTTGAGAAGCAACATAGGCTGATTAGATGATCAATATAGTACTAAAAACGTTAAAAAGAGAAGCACAGGTATCAAAATAAATCAATTATGTCTGTTTTATTCTGATAATGATAAAGAAGGAGATAGGATCCTTCCCGTCTCTAAACAATATATTAAGCAACTAATGCACACATGTTATACATCAAATGCAAGAAACTAGGATGAGAAACGAAGGCGTGATCCACTTTTCTACTACCACCCATCATTTTAAGGCTTTTCTCCCATCCATTGGGGATCATGTCAAAATGTGTATGGCAAAAAGTTCCAAAATTCTTGACCAGTGTTCACCTGTCAATGGTCAGCGCCACAATGATGATAATTAGAACAGGAAAAAAAAATGCAAGTGTAAAAGGCCAAAGAATTCAACATGACAAGGAGGGAAGCGAATGCCATTGTCGGTATGGAGGATGGCCATAGAGAAGCACTAAAGTAACCATATATGCAATAGATTATTGAAGGTGGAAAAGACTTTATGGAAGTAGGTGTTTCTCCATCAAACCAAAAAATTAGCAGCAAAAGATAATTGACAACTGGAACATCATACCGAATGGAAAATCAATACCTTCAGTTCCTTCACACAAAATGTCACGTCCACAGGTTCCCCGGAATGTGTGTACTGCAAGAACTCTTCGGCAGGGTCTACCCACAGCTGGGTATGCAATGCTGTGTCAGTGTTGTCTGATAGAAAAATATGCACGGAGGAGAGGCCACACGGGTCGATTAGATACGGAAAAAGAGAGAGATGAGCCTCCAATTTTCTGTTCCCCCCACGTGATTTGCAGACAACCCACCTTTCAGTGGATCAATATAACTGCGGAACTCAACGACCTTCCCGCCAATCACATCCCAGGAATCGGAAGGCGCCGCAGAGGGATCCGTTGCGATAATTGTAATATCCTGCAACGTCGACTGGAAATTCCCAAGCAGACGCGCAAGGTCCCGCGGTCTCACCACGAAGCTGCTCGGATACCTCTCCCTGTCGATTGAAAGCTGGTGCACATCGGGTTCAACGTTGCAGGTGATCCAGTACGTCTTCTTCACCCCTACACTTCCCCGGTCACAATCCAGGCTCAAGCACCTCCAAAGGAAGATAACCGCCATGGAGAACGGAGGTAGAAGTTAGGGAAACATTCGGCTACCTACCACTGAAACATTCCAGAGTCCACTGGATTTTTGGGGCGTCCGGGGATGGTAAGACCACGGTAAGGCGGTCGACGGCGCTTACCGGCGTCCTGAAGATGGAGCAGATGGCCTTCAAGAGGACGCTGCACTGGACCTCGCGGTTAGCGCCGCCGGCGGTAGTCGACGGAGAGACGGCATACGAATCGAAGAAATCAGGCATGTAGGATACGGACTGGTATGCGGTCCGAGAGGAGTTGATCGTCTGAAAGATCAGCTGATCCACGAACAGATTTCAAATCCACAGAAGAATCAACGCATGGAAGATATAGAAATCGGATCTCCGTGATCTGGGGGGGGAGAGCGCAGGAGGGTCGATCACCGACCTTGGAAGCAGAAGCTTGAACGACGAGCTCGCTGCCGACGCGGGCCAGGCAGGTGACGGAGCGGGTGAAGGTCCTGAGAGCGTTCCCGCCAAGGGACAGCTCCATGGCTAGTCTCCCTCCCTGCTCCAGTCGCCAGCTTCACTGCTATATTAAAAGATATTTTCAAAATTGTACTTATGAACTAATGGGCCGATCGGACCATTATCGGTTTCGGATCACATTTCGAAATGGTTCGATCTCCTGTCCCCTCTCCAAGGGGTGTTCCTCTTCTCTCTCTCTCTGATCTCAAGCTACCCTCCATTGATGTGGTGGATATCATCCTTTTAACGATCTACAAACTAAATTATGAGAAAAAAAGGTTTTATGACCTCTTCCTTTGTGAAGAATTGGCCCAAACAATCGTTTAGAAAAAGTACTTCTAATTTTTTTAATTATTTTTGAAATATAGAGAGAATCCCTTTTGATTATAAAAGGTCCCATCTTTGTGAAGAATTATGAGAATTTTCTCTTAATGATCTACATACTAAATTATATATAAAAAAAGGTTTTATGACCTCTGATTTTGTGAATTTTTTTCCTGAACGCTCATTTCGAAAAAAATAATTATAATTTTTTAAATTATCTTTGAAATACATATAGAATCAATTCTGATTAAAAGGTCCCATCTTTGTGGGTTGGTGTGAAACTGAGTGAACAAGAAGCACTCAAGCTTGGACTTATAAAAAATTGAGATTCTTGAAGTAGTTAAATAGCCTAAGGAGACTACAATTTTGGGTGGAGTGAAATCTAGATCCATACAAGTCATATGTTGCCTCATATAAACTGTATTTTTATCATCAAATTGATGAATCAGCCACTTGTTCATGAATATAATAGGGTTTAAGGTTGTGCACTACACAACAAAGATCTAATGGGTCCTAATAACCATTATTTTCTTGTTGATTCAATTCATCTGCAACCAAATGTGTTTTTTTACCCATCGCTTGATCTATATGCTCATTTTTTAATCTTGAATACTCATTTATGTATCAAACATCGATGCATGATGGCACATTGACATGTGTAAAGAAGTGAATCTGACCCCAATATAGCTATGAAGGCTCACTTTGAATGGCATGACTAACCGTGCTTAGATTGTCAAAGAAGATGTAGGAAGGAGTTGGAGGTGGAGAGGGTGAGGCAGAATTTGATGGAGTATATGAAAAGGGTGTTAAGAAGCATGCAAATATTGTGGGAAAGGGAATGTGATATCTAGAAGGGATTGGGAGACATAAGTTAGGTTTATACAACTTTCTATGTAGAGAATAATATGGAGGATATATGTGAGCAGATTATTTATTAAAAAAAAATTCTACTATATGTAATAGGGTTCTCAAGAGATACCCAAATTTTGTGGACACATTTAGAGTGTGCCATTTTTGAGAGATTCAAAGGCTTGAAGATTTGATGGCACAATTTCACACTAGCTCATCTTTTTTTTGGTAGTATGCATATGTTAGATTGGTGTCAGAAGTCATCTGCCTACAGCTATATCTAGTTCTAAGAAGCTTTTAATAGATCAATCAGGGATTACCAATAGACCCCTGATGTTAAAAATTGCACCAATAAGGTCACACCATGATCTAGATAGTTGTGTCAAGATTGGTGCACCAGAAGCCCTTGAATTTGGGGAGAAGATTTCCAAAGTTGGAGTCAGATGTGAAGAGGTGAAAGGATGGTAGGCTGGGATATTTTCTGATCATTGGATTGTAGCTCTAAATACCTACCATATAGAACTAGCATGGTCTTGAAAGTGTTTAATACCCAATAGAGCAACCATGCTCTAATATCGTATAGTGTATGGTAGTTTATTGGGTCTTGAAAATAGTTGTAAAACATTCATTTTATGGAGTAGGTTTAACTCTATATTTTTAGGACAAAAATATTCCAATATAGTTATTAATATATGCTCAACCCTTTTTGTGGTGTTTTGGAATTTTTGATTTTGTGAAATGAGTGTATGATCCTTTCCTTTTTTAGAGTTTACTAAAGGCTAAAAATTTTGTGCTTGATTTATCAAATATTAAATAATTTCATTATATTTAAAATTTGATAATCTTTAAATTATAGAAAAAATGATTTTTGATTTACGTTGTCTTATAACTCTAAGGTGATATTAAGGTCGATGGGTTTTCATATCCTAAATGCACTCCTTTTGTATTATGTAGATAACAAAGCCTAAAGGTTCTCCTGCATGTGAGCAAGAATTTTATGATTTTGGAAGCTATACTAAAATAAGATTTCTATTGATCTTGGCACGAAATAAATAAATATTCAAGAATATATAAGTATATTTCGATTTTTAAATAATATTTTTTTAATATTAATGCTCATGTGGATGAGCTGAATTTTTTTCAATCATTGATGCCGAAATATTTGTATTTTATAGGCAAAACGACAACTTCACCAAGTTTTGTAAAATACATATTAAAACCTGTTGGGTTGACACATTGACTAGTTAATAGTGACCTAATGAAGAAGATGCCAAAATTTCTCAACCAAAGGGAGCAAGGGTCACCAAGGTGGACACTTGAAAAGTAAGTGTTAACCTGATTTTTTAAAAGCTCTGCCTATTTTCATTGGACATTGTCCCCTATATCTAGAATGTCAACCGTTGTGTGATGGGGTTGTATTCTCAATAGGGCTGATAATTTCTCAACTAGAGGAAGCAAAGGTCTCCAAGGTGGACACTTGACAACTAAGTGTCAACACCTGTTGAAAATACAACCCCATTACACAATTGTTTCCATTTTAGACATATGGGTCAACACCCAAGGAAAATAGGTTATATTTTTAAAGAAAGGGGTTGACACTAACAGAAACGTGTTCACACCTATTAGGTGCTATTTTTTGTGACATGGTGGAAAGGGAAAGATCTAAAGTTAGGTGCTGTTTTTTATGTAAATGGTTCATCATAGATTGTCAAACTTGTAAATTCTCAAAAAAGGAAAAGTGAGTAATATTGATATATTTGATTTGCAGTTGACAAGTCATGAAAAACAATTGGTGAAAATTTTATAAAAACTAGTCACGTGAGGGGGCATGAGATTAACCAAATCACTTAAAAATGTCTATGCATAATAAGTTTAGGACAGATCTTGTAGAAAATATGTGAAGAGAGACTTAGGGAGTGGAGTGGGCATGAAATCAATTAAATATAAGTTGGTAATTTGTGAAAAACTCTTAGTCTTTGGTACTTTGTGCACTTTTTTCACCCATGGTTTTGTCATAGTGCATCATATCATCTTAGACCTATTCTACTCATCATTAGGCTTTTTAGGCATACTAAGGAATATTTCATATCAATTATTACAAAAATAAACATGTGAATATGAACAACTCCTCCCATGGCCAATTGGCTGTTGAGTATAATGACCCAAATCATTTTAAAAAATTGTGAACTCAAAATAATAGTGATGTTAATATAATTATTATTTTATTTAGTTCATTAAATATTAATGTCATTGTAGCGCCTTGATAAGTCTTCATTATCATGAGTTAATAATTAATAAATAATATAGTTTTAGCCTTAACTCATGATAAATAAACTTATAATTATGTTAGTTTATGAAAAGTAATTTTTAGTTGATTAATGTCATTTTTTGACTAATTATGTGATTTTATAATAATTTATATTATTTTTATAATCATACTTTTGAGATAAATGAAGAAAAAGAAAATAAAAAAATAGAAAAAGGAGAGACCCCTCCGGCCAATCAGGCCTACAAGTGGGTTAAAAGTGCAGTCGGGGCGGAGCTGCGAGTAGGGGCTCGAGCAGCTATGGACCGATGGGGGCATGTGTGCGCCACTCCCCTTCTATGTCACTAGTGACCAGCCGGCTACAAGGCAAGGAGTGGTCACACACACGTAAGAAAGGGATTCGCGTTACTATATATGCATCTCCAAATTTGGTGTATAACCAATGTGGGATTAAACTGGTGGTCATATCTTTCTCGGAATGTTTTCAAAGATTTTAATATCTAAAATACTCCTTCTTTATAACAACAAGATATTATGATGACGTCACTATATAAGGTATTAGAGAACTTATTCCCTCTCTCTTATGTAGGTGGACGACTAGCGTGGGTTTGAATCCTACCAGAGCCAAAATTCATATTTTTATTTGATTAAATTGTGACTTTTCTGTAGATCACCAGTGAAGGATTAAGCTACTAGAATCGTTTGATCTTTGACAAAAATTTCATCAACGCAATTCGTAAAGCATTGTTACTAAAATTATTGAAAGATTCATGATAAAATGATCATGAATCTATTGAGAATTGATCTTCAATTGATCGACGAACAAACCGTTGTTGGGAAGAGGACGATCTACCAGGAGATGAGTCGCCACCTCTTGAGAGCATACCGGATGCAATGAAGAGCCTCCTCTTGCTGCGCGGACCTGAGGATGAAGCTTCCTAACATGCACCCCACCTCCATCCAGCTCTTTTTTGTCAGGTGACAGTTGCTAGAGAGCTGTTAAGTCGCCATTTTTTTGCTTCGCTAGGTGACAACCATCAGAGATGATTTGACAACCTATTTTATTGATCTTTAGACTTTGTAAGAAAATCTAGAAATTGTCCATATCGTCTTTGTCTAAGGAGAACCTTCGAGGCCATGAACATTGCATGACAATCCTCCTAGACGCTCAAGATTTTGATGCATTGCCGACGTATTGTCAACACATTACTATCGTGACGTCAGAACTCTATTTTTTTACTTTTAACTTAATTTTTGCTTCATTTAATGATATTTTTTGTGATTTAAATTTATCAAATTGTTCTTCATTTAATTATGATTCTTCTGACTTTTATAGATTTTAATTTGATCAATTAAATCATTTTTAATCACTTATGTAAGAATCACTAGACGGAACTCTATTTTCATCTTATTTGCATTACTCGGATGCTGATCTCATCTTGACATCTACATCCTTATTTCTTTTTTTCACAAATTTTAGATATATATTATTTTTATTTCTTAAACTAAAATTTATTAAAAATCATATTCTTTGAAGAAAAATCTAAAAGATTACTCGATATCATATTACATCCTTGTGATCAACTTAAAAAATTCTCACTATTTTTAGAACTTTTATTAAATTATAATTGATAGATTTGTTCAAAAGTACTTCTAAATATCTAAAAATTGATATTTTCTAGTGTTATAAATTTTAAATTTACGTGTTTTACTATATAACGACTAAGTCATGTCACTCTCACTTATATAAATTATTGAAGAATTGAGTTAGTCAATGCTCAATCATTATATACAATTTGGAGATAGCCGTATTAAATTTTTGATACTTGTTGATTTGTGATTTAGAGCTTGTGACAAAAAAAATAACCATATTTAATATAATTATTTCAACATTTGATAATTATGGGACACCATAGATAGTTTTAATTTGATGGTAGTCTCGTGTGGCAGATTAGTCACATTTGACTGATTTGTGTAGTTTCAAATGAAATGTTTATAGGAAATTCAAGTAAAATCTTATTATATTACAGATTGAAAAATTTCAAGGACTCATTTTTCATAAACAGCTTATGAGATAAATATCTCTAAATATAATTGTTGAGACATTACTTTCATAAAAAAATGGAAACTCTAAAGGATCTAAGGTCAAATCCTACGACATTATTTATTGTTTTATGATGTTATTTTCTTCTAGATATATCTTTATTTGATCATAATGATGAGATGAGAAAATTTCACCAACGAGATCTGAAGGCAAGGTGTCAACACCTCTCATTGCCTCCCATAAAAGATGATGACTCCTTAAAAGGTAAACCGTAACGGAGTCATATAATGACGACTACTCTTCCTTTTCCTCATACTTATTATGATATTTCACAAGTTTATGTAGGTCATTCCAGGTTTGCTATGATGACATGGAATCTATCTATGAATAGGTCTCATGATTTGACATCCTTTGTGTGCATCCGTCCAATCTGAGTAAGATAGTGTAATTATTATCGTTATATATCCTTAGATATGATAGGAGTTAAAAAAATTCAGAAGTAATTTATCGTCATCAATCGTCACGCATCACGCATCCAGAAGATGAACGGTCAAAGTATCAATCGCTATAGTCAAGACAGTCCCTTCCGGACAGGAAAATCATGAATCATTCATTAGAAACCCGACGATTCAGGAGACCGGTTCGCCGTTGACTTCTGCATCCACGTCATCGTTTTCGGTGGACCGGCCATTACCCGCCGCCGGTTTCACTATCTTCTTCGCCGTCTGCGCCCGAGAAAAAAGCGGTGACTGTGCCTCAGCTTTGCGCGGCGATTCGGGAGCTGTTGACCCCCACCGATATGGACTTCAGGTCTCGGCTTAGCTGCCGCCGCAATTCGTGAGAGGAAAACCGCCACCCTAAGCCGATGGTATTAGACTGGCGGCGGCGCTTCTGCTCTTCTCCATCGCAGATACCGGCGAAGTTCGACGAGGCAAGGGGAACATGCGGTGCAGAAGAAGCTCACCATTAAACTATTAAATATTTTATTTTAAAAATCATATAATACGTTGTCACCTAACACCATCCCGTAATTTAAGGGTATATATATATAATTTATTAACAAACATATTTCGTGAATCAAACCTTCATTAGCATCATCTTGATGGGACCTTTTATAATCAGTCATCCACCTAAACCATGATTGTAATATATAAGATCAAATCCGGTGGCCGAACAGAACCAAATCCAAGTCATAGATTAGATCAGAACAGATCGGCAGAATTGGGCCATCGAATCTCTTAGAACACGGCTGGAGCTGTACTATTGATCCCGATTGAGACCTACGACTCGATCGACGAACAAGATGTGGATCGAAGCACCTTTTATATCATCCAATGGTCGACGGAAACGATGAGCCGTCGTGTTCTTCCCGTTATTGATAGGGAATGAAAGGCCGTCAATGGTCTACATTGTGATGGCTGCTCTTTCCAGTTTCGTCCCTCTTGGTTAGGGTTGACAAACTCGGGCTTGACGCGTAGCTCCTAGAAAGTCTCTAAGGCCCCACCCCACCTCGATTGGCACTGAGCTGGTGTCGATGTGGACTCCAGGCCGCTTGATCTTTTGCTTCATTAGATTCTCATCGCCCATCCCCCGGTTCATGGCAACCGTGGCTACGAGCAATCGTTGGGTGCAACAGAGTTTCTTTGACCATATTGTTGACTTCCTCCCTAGCAGGAAGGAGGTAGGAGAGAGAGAGAGAAGGGGGGGGGAGTCTACGAAACCAGCAGGGGTGGTTAAGAACCTAAGGGCGGCCCCTGGATTTGACATTCCCTTCTGACTCAGTGGCTTACTGACCGGCCCATATTACTTATGTAGTTAGAACTCCGTCTCCTCCACCAGGAATCCAGAGCGGAGAAGAGCAGGCATTACGAAGTTTGCACACGATTTCTCCGTTTGTACGAAAAAGCCATCATCTTCTAGATAGGAGGAGGACGGAGAAGTGGACAACCCCGTCGTCCTCTCGGATTCGATTTTCCTTCTGTAGGTTTTTCTGGTTCATCTTCCCATTGTCAGAAACAAGTTCTGCGGCGAGACCTGAATTCGCAGCGAAATGGGTGGGATGAGCGAGAATAGAGGTGTTCAGGAGGTTTATCCCGACGGGATCTCCGACACTGACAGCGTTGGGAGCTCCACGGCCGGCTACAGTGGCCCCCTCGTCGCCGGCAAGAAGACTGGAAAGAAGAGGAGCGCTCGGTTCAAAGAGGAATCCTACGTAGAGATCACACTAGACGTCCGTGGAGACTCCATCGCAGTCCAAAACATCCATGGTGGCGACCCGCAGGATACGGCGCTACTGACGCGAGCCATGGAGGGAAGGCCCTCCTCACTGGCCGCCAAACTCCGGCAGGTCTCCCTTGAACTTCGGAGGATCACTTCCTCCTCCTCCTCCAAGAGGCTGGGTAAGTTTGAAAGGAGCATGTCCGGGGCAACACGCGCTCTCCAGGGTCTCCAGTTCCTCACCCAGAATGTAGAGGCCGGCGGCGAGGTCTGGCCGGGAGTGGAACGGCGCTTTGAGGATCTCGCCATTGACGGCTGCCTCCCCCGGTCCAAATTCGGACAGTGCATAGGTTTGTCTCGAGGACTCTCCCCCTTCTCTCTCGGTCAACCTCCATGGTTGTCCGAAGGATTAACGGAGAATCTCATCCAGATCTCGTTGGCGTTTGCAGGGATGACGGGGAGTGACGAGTTCGCCGGGGAGCTCTTCGATGCGCTCGCTCGCCGGCGAGGGATCCTCTGCCCATGGCTGTCCAAGTTCGAGCTCAGGGAGTTCTGGGAGCAGATTTCCGACCAAAGCTTTGACTCCCGCCTCCAGACCTTCTTTGACATGTAAGTTCTCAAGATATTAAACATTATAACAATAGTTTACGACTTCGATAAAATAATACACTCATCGACGCTGTATCCAGGGTCGACAAGAACGCCGATGGACGGATCACCGAAGAGGATGTGAAAGAGGCGAGTCCTCGCACTTTGGTTTATATCATCAATAATTGATAAGTTTTTGTTTGTAATCCCCATATATTTCGTCTGGGTTTCGATAGATCATCTCTCTGAGCGCGTCGGCGAACAAACTGTCGAAGATCAAGGATCGGGCTGATGAGTACACCGCCCTGATTATGGAGGAGCTGGACCCGGATAACCTGGGCTATATCGAGGTCAGTACCCGAACACTTTGACCGTGCTCGCTTGGACCAGCTGAGGGTGTGGTCCATCGTGGCCGGTCCACGTGTATTGAATATCTCCGGTGTTGGATTAAGTCGATTAAAGCATAAAAAAATATTTATTAACTCTAGCTAATTGGGTTTAAGACAGAAACCTGTGATCTACTACCATCGCATCAAATATGTGCATTATTAAACGGATGATAATTTTTTTTGCTTTTATTTACATGTTGTTGGGTGGCCGTGCAGCTTGAGAAGCTCGAGATGCTGCTGCTGCAAGCTCCCAACGAGACGGCCAAGATGGGGGGGGCACACAGCGCCAACATGAGCCAGCTCCTGAGCCAGAAGCTGGCGACGACGAGGGACAGAAATCCGTTGCGGCGGGCCTACAGGGCCACCGCCTACTTCCTGGAGGACAACTGGAAGAGGCTGTGGGTGATGGCGCTGTGGCTGGCCATCTGCGCCGGTCTCTTCACCTGGAAGTTCATCCAGTACCGCGACCGTGCGGTGTTCCACGTTATGGGCTACTGCGTCACCACCGCCAAGGGCGCCGCAGAAACCCTAAAATTCAACATGGCCCTCATCCTCCTCCCCGTCTGCCGCAACACCATAACCTGGTTGAGAAGCCGCACTGGGCTTGGCGCTGCTGTGCCCTTTGACGACAACATCAACTTCCACAAGGTGGTGGCCGCGGGGATCGCCGTAGGGGTGGGGCTCCATGCCGGAGCTCACTTGACGTGCGACTTTCCGCGGCTTCTGCACGCCACGGACGCAGAGTATGAGCCCATGAAACCCTTCTTTGGGGAGCGCCGCCCGCCGGATTACTGGTGGTTCGTGAGGGGCACAGAGGGCTGGACGGGGGTGGTGATGCTCGTTCTCATGGTGGTGGCGTATGTGCTGGCTCAGCCGTGGTTCCGGCGCAGCAGGCTGAGCCCTGGGAACCCTCTCCGCCGGCTCACTGGGTTCAACGCCTTCTGGTACTCGCATCACCTCTTTGTTATCGTCTACATACTCTTCATCATCCACGGAATCTTCCTCTACCTCAGCCGTCAGTGGTACAAGAAAACGGTAACATTTCCTTCTCTCTCTCTCTCTCCTCTCCCTAACTTAGAATACTTAAAGGAATGTTCAACCTTAGTCAACCAAATTTGAAATGATTCTTTAATAATTGGCCATTCTTCATTCGAACATTTGTCAGATCATCTTATGAAATCTACTCATATTTTTGGGTTATAAATAATGAACGAACAGAGGCAATGAAATTTTCTATAGTATAATTTCTGCTTTAACCAAAAATGGCACATTAATTTTCTAATCATGCGTCCCTCTCAAAAACTTGTTCCATTTCAACAGACATGGATGTACCTCACCATTCCGATGATGTTGTACGCATGCGAGCGCCTTCTACGGGCCTTTAGGTCGGGATACAAGACTGTGAAGATTCAGAAGGTGAGATATTTTATTTACTATGCTCTCCTCTTCGGCTTCTCTGATTGCTGATGCTAAGTTCATCTTCTCCGGCGCTGGGGGAATACAGGTGGCCGTCTATCCTGGGAATGTGATGGCAGTGTACATGTCAAAGCCCCAGGGATTTAAGTACACCAGCGGGCAGTACGTCTTCGTCAATTGCGCCACCGTGTCTCCCTTCCAGTGGTAATCATCTCTTCTTCTCCTTCGCTAGAAATAACAAGTATTGCTGGACCCGTTGTCGACCTCATGAAATCCTCCGTGTTTCTCTCTTCAGGCATCCTTTCTCGATCACCTCTGCGCCGGGAGACGATTATCTGAGCATCCATATCCGGACGGTCGGCGACTGGACGTCACAACTCAGGGCCGTCTTCTGTGAGGTATTGCTCTCCATTTGGATCATGGAGGTCGCCGGAATGGTGACTTCCCTTGAGGGAAGTGTGGCTCATTCTTCAAACTATTGGATGGCAGGCTTGCCAGCCAGCGATGGCCGACCAGAGCGGTCTCCTCCGAGCAGACGCCATTAATGGCCGAACCGGCAGCCCCAGCTTGCCCAGGCTCCTCATCGACGGCCCTTACGGCGCCCCAGCGCAGGACTACAAGAAATACGACGTTGTCCTCCTGGTGGGACTGGGCATCGGGGCCACCCCGCTGATCAGCATCGTCAAGGACGTCCTCAACAACGCCATCGCCGCCGATGAGGAAGACCCAGAGGCCGCCGGAGTGGCGAAGAGGAAGCAGCCGTTTGCGACGAAACAGGCATACTTCTACTGGGTAACGCGGGAGCAGGGATCCTTCGAGTGGTTCCGTGGGGTGATGAACGAGGTGGCGGAGAAGGACCACGGCGGCGCCATTGAGCTCCATAACTACTGCACAAGCGTGTATGAGGAGGGAGACGCACGATCGGCGCTCATCGTCATGTTGCAGGCGCTGCACCACGCCAAGAACGGAGTGGACATCGTCTCCGGGACGAGGGTGAAGACCCATTTTGCTCGCCCTAACTGGCGCTCCGTCTTCAAGCATGTCGCCGTCAAGCACACCGATGAGCGCGTCGGTGAGAAATTTTTCCTTCGCCGTTCTTCTCCCCCATCTTTTCCTTTTCCAAAGTCCTCTCCTCAGCCTTGAAGTTTCCGATTCTCCATTTTCGCAGGAGTATTCTATTGCGGGCCGCCAAGCCTGGTGGGGGAGCTGAGGAGGCTGGCCAAGGATTTCTCGCGGAAGACGACCACCAAGTTCGAGTTCCACAAGGAGAACTTCTGAGGGCGGGTCCACCGCCAGTTAGATAGGAAAAGTCAAAGAGAGAATACAAAAAATAATGGAGACAACTTTGGGAAGTTGTAAAAAAACTTGGTCATCTTGTCATGTAAATAGGTGGGAATGCAGTGGTCACAAAAAATTATTTCGTAATTAAAGCCGAGACAATTAGGTGCTTGCTACTTGGAGCAATAGAGAAATTAGGGGTGGTGGAGGTTTATGTGTGTGCGGTATTTTCTGGTCATTACTAAATGATGAACCCAATATCTAGCTACACATTTGCTACAAAGATAAATCAAGGGTAAAATTTGACTAAAAAGCTCTCACAGACACTCTACAATCATCATGAAAAAGGAATCCCCAAGCCTATGGAATCAAATATTTTGTTATTATTGTCTAAATTAGGTATTAATTAGCTTCGAATGTAAAAGATGTGTTTATCCTTCAAATATTTCAATTGATTAGGACAGTGGGACGTGTTTGGATTCTGATGAGAAGTTCCTGTAAATAGGTAAGTTAAGTTATGATATCAAAACTATTCTAGATTTGAGATATATAGAATTAGAATAGAAAGCTACTCATTGTTGGAACTTTGAAATATTGTGGTTCTGGATGGATTGACATTAACACAATATAACATGAAGCCTGAATGCATTTGACATTGAAGCCTGGATTTTCATACCCTTAGGACATTTAAATTAATACTTTTATCTTTTCAATAATTCCATTAATTACTTGAATTGCTAATGATAAGTCTTTATCATTTTTTGTGATAATCACAACATATTGGGTACATTAGTGATTTGGTTATGTATTGACTTGAATAATTTATTAAAAAGAAGATCTTAAATATTTCTAATTAAGTTAAAGGTAATTTCATGATTTGGGCATCTGGATTTCAATATTTTCTATTGAATAATAGTGTGAAGATTTATACATTTTATCTTGATTTATTTAATTTTAACCGAAGTAAAATTGATTTAATTATGTGGCTTGAATTTAATTTTAAATTGATTTTATTTTTGGCCCTGAATTTAAGTGAGTTTATTTGATTATTGGGCCTATTAGTAAAGGCATAAATGATCCAACCGAAATGGGTCTAATTAAAACTATATCTGAAAACTAACCTATTTTCAGCCCAATAAAGATCTGAAATAAAACTATACTATCGCCCGAAATAAATAGCTCTCTTATATTTTAATATTTAAATATCTCTCTGATTTAATGATCTCTTTAATAATAAATTATTTTTATCTCTTATTAAATGATCTCCATTATTATTTAATATTATACTCTCTCTCTCTCGCTCTCTCTCTTTCTCTCTATCTCTCTCGTTCTCTCTCTTTATCATTATATTAAATGTTCTCTCTTGTGTGGCAGAGAACATGATGGAGAAAAAACAATGAAGGTAAAAATTGAAGAAATCAAGAGAAAGAAAAAGAAAAATAATCATGACGAACAACTAACGAAAGTGAAAAAATTGATGGTAGATCACGATGGAAAATGAACGAGTAATCACGATAGAAAATAAGAGAAGAACAAGAAAAAGGAGAGAAAACTATGATGGAAAATGAATGATTCTTCACCTAAAAGGAGAGAAAAAATAATTGATAAGTTTTCATTATCATGAGTTAAAATTAATTAATAATATATTTTAAATCTTAACTCATGAAAAATAAACTTTTATTTATGTTCAATTGTGAAAAATAATTTTATTTAGTTAATTTTAAAAATTGGCTAATTATGTGATTTTATATAATTTTTCTAATCATATTTTTGAGATAAATAATGAGAAATATAATAAAATAAAAATATATAAAAAAAGAAACATGTCAATCAATTGGGCCTACAAGCGAGTAAAAAGCATAGTCAAGTGAATCCGCGAGCGAGGGGCTCAAGTGGCAAAGGGTTGGTAGAGGTTGGTGACGTGTGAGTCACTCCCTTTCCACATCACTAGTGGCCAGTTTGACCGTACACATGAGAGAGAGAGAGAGAGAGTTAATGATTATATAATCTTGTATTACTATATATTTGTCTCATAACTTAGAAAATAATCGATGTGAGACTAAATCGCTCACAACTTGAAAAAGATTTTTTATAATTTTTAATACTTACAATACCCCTAGTTTGTGAGAAATATATACTCTTAGGATGTCACCTTATAAGGGTATTCACATACTTACTTTACTCTCTCTCTTATATAGGTAGACGACCGATGAGGGTTTGAATCTTACTAAAGCCAAAACTCATATTTTTATCTGATTAAATCGTGATTTTTCTATAGATTACTAGTGAATGATTAAGCTACCACAATCACTCAATCATCAACAAAAATTTCGTCAGATATGAATCGTAGAGTATCGTTACTAAAATTACTAAACGATTATGGATAAAATGATCACAAATTCATCAAGTAAATCATCTCTAATTGACTGACAAATAAATCGTCGTGAAGAGATAACGATTTATCGAAAAATGAGTCACCATCCTAGAGTGTACTAGATGTGATGAAGAGTCTACTCTTACTGTACGAACCTAAAGATGAAGGTTTTTAAGATGAGCTCCACCTCCATCTATCTTATCTTTGTCGGGTAACAACCACTAGAAATTCGCAAAGTTGTCATTTTTCTACTTTGCTAGGTGAGAATAGTCGGAGATGATTCGTCACCCACTTTATTTGTTTCTAGGCTTTGTAAGAAGATCTAGTGATTGCCCACATTGTCCATATCTAAAGAGAATCTTTGAGGCCATAGACATTGCACGATAATCATCATGAATGTTCAAAATTACAACACATCGCTACTGTAATGTTGGAACTTTATTTTACTATTTTTAATTAGTTTAAACTTCCACTATTATTTTCTATATTCTGAAAGTTGATTCAATAAATGTCCAAGTCATCCATGTCCAAGGAGAACCTTTGAGGCCATGGACATTATTTGATAATCTTTTTGAACACAAAATTTTAACAATCACTATTACGAGGCCAGAAATTTACCTTTCTTACTTTCAATTTAATCTTCACTTAATTTAGTGATACTTTGTGTGATTTTAAGTCTTGAAACTCTTTTTCATTCAAGTACAATTATTCTAGCTTTTACAGATCTTGTCGGACTGTAATCGCTTACGTAAGACTTGTTGGGCTGAACTCTATTTCCATTTGAATCGCATTCATTGGGGCATTGATGTCATCATGATGACTACATTCTTATTTTCATTTTTTGTAAAATTTTAAATTTCTTTTATATTCATTTTGTTAGATTATAACATTAGCCCACTATAGACTTAGCCAATTAGGGCCACTATAAACCCTTGTACTCATTTTCTTTTTTCTCTCTCTCAATTCTAAGGGTTTACAACACTCTTCTCTTCACATGGTATGAGAGCCATAAGAGCTCGATCTGTCACCCCCGCACTACCACTCATGCCATCATTCCTCGTCGCCAATCCTCTGGCGGCATCTTCGGCACTGCCTATATTCATGGGGCCCCATCAGGGAGCTCTATCGCCATCAGGGCACCCCCCTCTAGTTGCTGATCTCAAGGCATCCAACCCCTCGCCTATGGCCTTTGCCATTGGTTTCTCCACGCTGCATCCTACATGGTATATGCACTCGCTTTCTCTTGTGCGCATCCTGCCCTACCCCACACCACATGCTAGTCCTCTCTCGTGCATGTTGTGTGCCTGCCCTTTCTCGCCCTCCACACTAACACGTCCATACCAACATCTCTCGTCCTCTATATCAGCACATTGGCCCTTTGGGCGCTGATCTCAGGGCATCCAGCCCTCTCTCGTGTTGGCCCATGATCTTCAGGCCTCTTGCACACTAACCACTTGAGCCTCTCATCGTCTCGGTGAGTCCAATCTCTTCCTTCGATGAGAAATACACCGGGCTCATCCTCCCATGACTCGCCCTTGCCTTCGGTGATGATAACCTTCACCTCACCTCTTCCCTCATTCCCTCCCTAGCATTCTATTATGGCTGCATTAACTCACTTGATCTACATCTTTAACAACACTAATTATGGCTCATGGGCATCTGTATTTGAAGATTTCTTTCACGCTCAACAACTTCTATATCACCTCGAGTTGTCTCTGCCTGATGTCACGTCTCCAAACTATCTTCATTGGGGGCACCTTAACTCTGTCATCAACACGTGGCTTTGTTAGAATGTTGAGCCTTCCCTTATTTTGTCTCTTAGTAGCTTGAAGTCAGCTCGCCTATTATGGCAAACTATTGAGCTGATGTATGTGAACAAGGCCAATATCAGCCGTATAGTCTATCTTTATGAATCACTCTTTGCTTCTAAGCAAGGTAGTTGATTGTTCCAAGAGTATTTTGGCGAATTACAAGATATCGTCTCTGAGCTATTTATCTATCAACCACTGACTATGGATCTGTCCAATCTCACTCGCTATCATGATGAACTCTACATAGGGGCCTTTCTCAATGGTCTCCATCTGGAGCTTGCTAATTAGATTTGTGGCTAGGTCTTCTCTAGCACTCAAGTTCCTCCAATGATAGATATCTTCTCAGCGGCTCTTCATGTGCACACCAACATGCCTCTCTTTTCTACTGCTCCCACAGTTCTTGACCCCTCTGCACTTGTTGCCACAGATGCTGGTGGAGGTCATGGCTCCAAGACCATCGGGAAGAGGAAGGAATTGACTAAATGTTGGAAGGAGTTTGGCAAGTTGGCATGAGGTTAAGCTGTGATCATTAGCAGCTTACCTTCTATGGCTCCTTTGCTTGCATCATTTGCTCCCATGATCCAAATGACCATGACTCCTGAAGAGTATGTGGAATAGAAGGCCTCTTGCACTTACTCTCGTGACTCCTCCACCAACCTTGACTCAACTTCCATGTATGGCATGCCCACTCAAGGGCCTACTCGCCTCTCGTACTTCTTGGCTTATTGACTCAAGGGCCTTTACCCATATGATGGGGTCCCCTTTCCTTCTCTATTCTCATACATCCACTAATTATCTTTCTTCTATCTCCATTG